ATAGTTAGAACTCTGTCACGCTGCCCCTCCCCCATAGAGCCCCTCCCAGGCTGCCCCCCTCATTAGATCTGCCCCTGGTCCTAAATCCCTCCATGTACTGCTTCTTATGAGCATCAATGTACCAACACACGTTTAGAACAAATACACAACGAGCAGCTCGTCTGTAGTTATTCGGGAAAAGTCACTTTAATACCTCAACTTTCAACCTTTATTGCTGCTTCATATTATGAACAGAAATGGATAAAAGTTATGAACCTAAAATATGACTTTCAGTCATAACGTTACAAACGTTGAGAAGAAATACACAAAGAAACTGAACTTGTTGCTTTATGGTGTGATTATAAACTAACTATACATTTAGTCTTAGGAAGCAAGCGTCTGGTCACATTCAGCTTCTGTAGCTTGGACGAATTTCTTAAATTATAGTTAAAGTAGCTTGAATATACCAGAAAGAAACAGAGTGTGTGCATACAAGTTAATAAGTTTGCTGTTGTAGTTTTCAGTTCAGGGTTTAACCGATTTGAATCAAAATACTGTAAAATGTTCTTCTCTTAACCTGAAATATACATCATGCTCCAGAGGAGAAGCATATCTTCCTATTATTATTCTAATGTATTTTATATATTTATACACTCAGCAGGTTGCCAGGCAACAGGAGCGGCCTAGAACAGCTGATGATTCAAACAGGAAGTCTCTCGTTGGACAGACTTGGTTCAGCCCATGAGGACCCACATCCTCTGGAGGATGCAGCCCAGCAAACGAGACTTGAGACTGAGATCATGAGACAGGACTGTGGAGACGCTCACCTTGCTCTTCTCTCTCAGGGGGTAAAGCGACGGGTTTGAACTCTGACCCCTGAAGCGCGTCCTGACTCACAGCAGCAGCACTGACAAACAGACAGACATCATCTCAAGAATAGATGAAAAAGGCAACGCAAGCAAACATGTGCTTACACACTCACATCTTTACACACTAATATATTAACACACGTATACACTGTGACACTTGTGAACTAACATACTTTTAATAAAGATTGTGTTGTTGGAATGACAGACTGGGACTCACTGGAAGGACGGAGGTCTGGAGTCTCCTATCACACCTGTCCTCTCTATGGGGGGTGGGGCAGGTCCAGTGGGCGTGGCTAGAGATTGAAGGTCCGACCCCCTAAAATCTAACGGACAGGTCTCTGAAGACACCAGCTGGAGAAAGAGAGGAACACCTGGGTCAGCAGGTACAGGGAGGTGTGTGTGCGTGTGTGTCTGTGTGTGTGTCTGTGTGCGTTTCGGACCCAGCAGATGACTCGTCCGTTCACAAAGGGAAGTATGGCATCTTCATCACTGATCTCTTCTTTAACCACCCTGCGAAAGACACATATTATCATCATCTTCATCAGATCTACAGTACGCCACAATGACAATTCTTTCTCGCTTTCTGTAATAATTCACATCTCATTAATGCGCAACACTAACTTTGTTTCTTCCACTGAGTAGTTGTGCTTTCTCGCCTCACAGGTTTCTATCTGGACCCCGTTCCTGCCTCCTGCCGTGACCCTGCTGACACCTGCTGCTATCATCATCATCATCATCATTATCCATCCATCCATCGTCAAACCGCTCATCCTGCACACGGGGTCTTGGGGGGCTGGAGTCGATCCCAGCAGACTTCAGGTGATAGACGGGTTCATCCTGGACGGGTCACCAGCCAATCACAGGGCTCCACAGAGACACACAACCACTCACACGCACACTCACACACCTACGGGCAACTAGAGTCCCCAATCAACCTGATCCCCAGAGCAGGTCTCTGGACTGTGGGAGGAAGCTGGAGAACCCGGAGAGAACCACGCAGACACGGGGAGAACATGCAGACTCCACACATCACCATTATTATTATTATTATTTTAAACATTAATCATTTTACTATTACTGTCATCATAAACCATCAATACCCTCTCCTAAAGTCTTTGTGCTCTCCCGCCCACAGGCTTCTGTGGATGGTGGTTCTATGTGATGGTGATTATATTTCTATCTGATGGTGCTTCTATGTGATGGTGCTTCTATGTGATGGTAGATCTATCTGATGGTGGTTCTATGTGATGGTGGTTCTGTCTGATGGAGGTTCTATGTGATGGTGGTTCTATCTGATGGTGGTTCTATGTGATGGTGGTTCTGTCTGATGGAGGTTCTATGTGATGGTGGTTCTATCTGATGGTGGTTCTATGTGATGGTGGTTCTATCTGATGGTGGTTCTATGTGATGGAGGTTCTATCTGATGGTGGTTCTATCTGATGGTGGTTCTATGTAATGGAGGTTCTATCTGATGGAGGTTCTATCTGATGGTGGTTCTACGTGATGGTGGTGGTCCTGCAGTGCACCTGCTTACTACTCTACATATTTGAATCATTTCTGTCTGAATAGAATGTGTTGTTCATCTTCTACATTGTTCATTCTGTCCACATGACGTCATTGTAGTCGGTCCATCAGGAGACGGATCCTCTGACTCTCACTGAGGTTTCTTCCCTCTTTCTCCCCCTTAGCCAACAGGTCTGTGGACGATGCTGTCAACATGGCCCTCCACTACATCCTCCAGCATCTGGACTCCCCAGGAACCTACGCCAGGATCCTGTTTGTGGACTTCAGCTCTGCTTTCAACACTATCATCCCGTCTCTGCTGCAGGACAAACTCTCCCAGCTGCACCGCCCGACTCCACCTGCAAGTGGATCACAGACTTCCTGTCTGACAGGAAGCAGCACGTGAAGCTGGGGAAACATGTCTCAGCCTCTCGGACCATCAGCATCGGTTCCCCCCAAGGCTGCGTTCTTTCCCCTCTGCTCTTCTCCCTGTGCACCAACAGCTGCACCTCCAGTCACCAGTCCGTCAAGCTCCTGAAGTTTGCGGATGACACCACCCTCATTGGACTGATCTCTGGTGGGGACGAGTCCGCCTACAGGTGGAGTCTGACCATCTGGTGTCGTGGTGCAGGCAGAACAACCTGGAGCTCAACGCTCTAAAGACAGTGGAGATGGTTGTGGATTTCCGGAGGAACAGAGCCCCACCCTCCCCCATCACCCTGTGTGACTCCCCCGTCACTATTGTGGATTCCTTCCGTTTCCTGGGCTCCATCATCACCCAGGACCTCAAGTGGGAGCTGAACATCAGCTCCATCACCAAGAAGCTCAGCAGAGGTTGTTCTTCCTGAGGCAGCTGAAGAAATTCAACCTGCCAAAGACGATGATGGTCCACTTCTACTCGGCCATCATGGAGTCCATCCTCTGCTCCTCCATCACCGTCTGGTACGCTGCAGCCACAGCCAAGGACAAGGGCAGGCTGCAGCGTGTCCTCCGCTCTGCAGAGAGGCTGATCGGCTGCAATCTGCCGTCCCTGCAGGACTTGTTCGCTTCCAGGTCTCTGAAGCAGCTAAAGAGATGGTAGCCGACCCCTCTCACCCCGGACAAAACCTGTTTGTGCCCCTTCCATCTGGCAGGAGGCTGAGGTCCATCAGGACTAAGACCTCCCGCCACACCAACAGCTTCTTCCCGTCGGCAGTCGGGCTCATGAACAGAGCCGGTCCCCCACTGCCTGACTATAACACTCCACCGGTCACTCCCCTTCACACTGCACACGTCACTTTAACTGCAATTCATCACTTTGTCGTCACTCGTCACTTTGTTACTTGTTCACTAGTGCACTTTATGCTTAATATTTTTTAACTTTTTTAATATTTTAAATTCTTAACTTTTACTTTATTCCCTTGTTTTATACTAACCCATCGCATTAGCATTTCATTCTACTTTATTTTATTACTTGTGCACTGCTGTCTTGTTGTCTATTGTTACACTGTCTTCTGTCACGCACCAACCATCATTGTATGTTTGACATATTTTGGTAATAAATGTTTCCTGATTCCTGATTAAGGGGTCTTTAATTTATAATTTGGGATTTTGGAATATACAAAATAAAATGAATTGAATTAAGATACTTACTCATGTTATCTTTTCATACTATTTTTCATTATTAGCCATAAACAATTAGCGTCTAGTCGATTAATAACAAAAACAACACCAATGACGTCACGCCCCGTTGTCATCAATATTGACCACGTGACTAACCCAATCTCGTCGTCGACGGACTTGAAGAAGAATTTGACGTTTGGTTTGTTGAGGACGTGTTTGAAGTCCGCCAGGGTGACGCGTTGCGCGGGTACGTTGATCCGGATCAGGTAGGGGGTCTCCTGGTCCTCCAGGTGGTAGATGACTCGCGTCTCCTCCGCCATGCCGCCCCCCTCGGTCCCGGCACAGCACGGAGCAACGGTCGGGGGGGATGCTGAGGGGGAGACGGGCACCTGTCTGTCCGTCTGTCTGTCGGTCCGGCTGTTCCGGTCCAGATGTGTCGGTCCAGATGCTGCAGGTCTCTGATGCTCTGTCTCCTCTGAAAGACACGGTGACGTCAAGATAAAAGTAGTAAGTGGAGGCTTCCGGTTGAGCTCTTCAAAATAAAAATAGAACGTGGTTCCGTCACATGCGGAGCGGCCTCATTTCATCCTCCGCGCGTCGTTCGACACGCACAGTTTAGTGATTATGAACGAATATTACATTTACATGTCATTACATTTAGTTTAGAGGTGTAGGCGATGTGTTCGCTGCTGTGGTTTTTATTGGCTGTATTGATTGATTTCCCCGCCTTTAGACACTACCAGGAATCAGGAACATTTATTGCCATATAATACGTCAAACATACACGGAACTTTAGAACGACAATGGACAACAAGACAACAGTGCACGAGGAATACAATAAAATATAATGCTATGGCTTAGTTTAAAAATAAAGGAATGAAAGCTAAAAGTTAGAAAGTTAAAAATGTTTAAAAATAAATAATAAAAATGATGATGCAAACAGTTTGTAAATGAAAGCAAAGAGTTTTATAGTCCCTTCAAAATAAAAGTTACGAAACCTCCTTAAATCGTTCTGGAATCAGTTAATGTTCTGCAGATAAATGACAGTTTGTAGTTCAAATGGTTTATTTGTAGTCCAACATTCATGACAACAGGCATTCACTGACAGCTACAAACTGTCAGACATTACAGCTTCAAATAATTTGTGCGGAAAATATATAAATACAACGTTGATTTGTTTATTGAGCGGTTCCTGATCAAAGCGTAGATAACTTATTGCTGCTGGAGGTGAGAGTTCCCGGTGGCAGTGAATGCAGCGTTAAGGCCACTCTGGTGGAAGTCTTTCTAGAATCGGTGGGTCGCTGTGGAGTCGAGGTCTGCAGGCTTCAGTCAGCACCAGGAGGTAGAAGTTGAAGATGGACCTCGGGGGGGAACTGATCTGAGCAGTTTACTTCTTCGCTGATGTTCTAGTCCCTTCTGACACTTTGTCCAACAAACAGTTAAAAAGGTCAATAAAGCAGAATTGTTCAAATATCTGAGATCATTAAGTAATACATCAATAAATAAAGTGTTCTTCACAGTGATGAAGATGACATCTCTCTCAAAAACAGACATCCAATCAGAACGAGCCGTCCAGTCAGAGGATTCGTCCATGATGATGTGTCTGACTTGAGCTGTAGCTGGTGTCCATTAAAACCTGATCAGTCACATGACCAGTCTCAGCGCCGTTGAACTTCAAGCGGAGACGTTGACGTCTCGCAGAGCAATGGCGGCGGTCGTCCCAGCAGAGGCTGCCGTGGCAACTTGCTGCGAGAAGGGGGAGGAAGAGGCGGAGGGGGGCACGGCGGACAGAATGGGGACGTTCTGATTGGTCGAGGCGCTGCTGGTCTGGAAGAGGATCTGCTGTAACGTGCGTCTGAGGTTCGGATGTAGGCGCCGCTGAGTCTGGTTGAAAACCTCCACGGCAACACACTTCATCACCCCGGCAACCAGGTCGTCATACAGCGGCACGGTGTACATCCTGGACGTCTGGGGAGAGAAAGCGGTTAACCACGACGGATGACGGCCATTCAACATTAGCTAAGCTCTGACCTAGTAGCATCTACACAAGTACTGCTGTGTACTGAGCACATAGGTAGTAGCATATGCAGAGGTACAGGTAGTAGTGCGTGCTGAGCACATAGGTAGTAGCATATACAGAGGTACAAGTACTCATCATGACTGTGCACATAGGTAGTAGCATATGCAGAGGTACAAGTACTCCTGTGTACTGAGCACATAGGTAGTAGCATATGCAGAGGTACAAGTACTACTCAGTACTGAGCACATAGGTAGTAGCATATGCAGAGGTACAAGTACTCCTGCGGACTGAGCACATAGGTAGTAGCATATGCAGAGGTACAAGTACTCCTGGGGACTGAGCACATAGGTAGTAGCATATGCAGAGGTACAAGTACTCCTGGGGACTGAGCACATAGGTAGTAGCATATGCAGAGGTACAAGTACTCCTGGGGACTGAGCACATAGGTAGTAGCATATGCAGAGGTACAAGTACTGCTGGGGACTGAGCACATAGGTAGTAGCATATGCAGAGGTACAAGTACTCCTGGGGACTGAGCACATAGGTAGTAGCATATGCAGAGGTACAAGTACTCCTGGGGACTGAGCACATAGGTAGTAGCATATGCAGAGGTACAAGTACTACTGTGTACTGAGCACATAGGTAGTAGCATATGCAGAGGTACAAGTACTCCTGGGGACTCACGTGCTTGTGGAGGAAGGCTCGGACTCGAGGCAGCTCGGGGTGGAAGGAGTTCCTCACAACCATCTGAAGCCAGCGGATCTGAACCTCAGCATTCAGTCCATCAAAGACAGACGCGTAACATGCAGACAGACGGGTCATCACATCTGAGAGAGAGACGGGTAGAGAGCGCTATTATAAACCATTGTTTTTATCTTATTTTTATAACATGTTGTCAACTCTGCGTTTGAGGTGGGGTCAGTCGGGTTTGTGCTGTCTGAGCGTACCGATAAATGACCTGCTGCTGGAGAAACAAATAAAGGATTCCTACCAGAACGTCCATCCGCCTGCGTGTGCTGAGTGACCCCGACACCCCGACGCTACAACACTGTATATAGTCATTTGATGACGTACACATGGCGTCCGTAATGGAACGTTCTGTCTAATCCTTCTCAGGGATTTCTTCCTCATTTCATCCCCGTTTAAGGATTTGTCTTCGGTGTCCGGTCTGAGTTTTGGAACAGAGAATGTTGGAGCCCTGCTTGGTAGCACCTCCACCCGCTACCCCTGGACTAGGTAGCACCTCCACCCGCTACCCCTGGACTAGGTAGCACCTCCACCCACTAACCCTGGACTAGGTAGCACCTCCACCCACTAACCCCTGGACTAGGTAGCACCTCCACCCACTAACCCCTGGACTAGGTAGCACGTTATTAGCCCTCTGTAGTTTGAATGTCTTGGTTCTTGTACCTCGTGGCAGCGGCGTCTGGTCCAGCATGCGGTCAAGGAACAGGACGATCTGAAAGGTGCTCCAGGCTGAGAGGTCAAAGGACACCAGGGCTTGTGGGTCGGGGGACTGGCAGCCCCTCCACAGGTCACACAGGTCCTGGACGGGCTGGGTCAGAGCCCCCGCCGCGGACAAGTCTGGCTCAAACAGGGGGGGTCCTGACCCGTTGAGCCAGCGCTCGAACTCCAGACCTGAGACACACACAGCAAGTGATGTCACAGCTGGGAGTTTACTGACATCATCAAGGAAACATCCTGCAAAACCACATGATCGTACTTCAGTAACACACAGTACCCCCCCCCCCCAGACCCTCACCTTCTCTGTGGGAGACGTCCATCAGCTGAGGGAAGTACTGCAGGAAGTAATCGATGAGGTCCTGAGCCACGACGCTCTGAAACTTAAACTCTGAGATGTAGTCCTGAAACACGCAAACACGACACATTTAAATGCAAACACGGATATTCACACATATTAGGGCTGTCAAAGTCAATGGGATTATTGTGGCAGGGATTAACGCAATAAAGTATTTGAACGCAGCTTTGTTTACTTTCGGCGTGCGTTGACCCCTGACCCCTGAAGCCGCCGCGTGCTGCGGTCAGTTAGATGCAGAGAGCGAGACAGTAGCTGAAGATGGACAGAAGAACTGAGCAGAAGAATTCCTCCACGTGTCAAACAGAAAGGGGACCACGTTAGGCTAAGCTAGCTGCTAAGCTACTTCCATGTCAACATCTACCTGCAGAGGACCTGCTAAATGTGGGACATCGTTGGGACTTCAAATGCGTCAAATGATGGAGAGATGAGAACAAAGAACGAGGACGACAGGAAGAGTCGTAGTTCCACATGTTCCACCTCAAAGACGATCACATGGGAGTTTGTGTTTACAGTTTACAATACAATTAAACAACAGTGTCTAAAATACACACTTTCTAAAGTGATTCATTTATAGAATTTAGTCTTTAGTAGAAAAACAAACTTTTGATCGCAAATCAATGAATTTCAAAATATAAGTATATATAATACACTTTATATATACACACACACACAAATCTAAGAAAATACACTGAGAAATACTATACATGTTATATTTTGGATATTTACATACGTGTATGTAAGTGTGCACTGCTGTGTAGCGGTGTGTAGCGGCGTGTAGCGAGGTGCACTGCTGTGTAGCGGCGTGTAGCGGTGTGTAGCGGCGTGTAGTGGCGTGTAGCGAGGTGCACTGGTGTATAGCGGCGTGTAGCGGGGTGTAGCGGCGTGTAGTGGCGTGTAGCGAGGTGCACTGGTGTGTAGCGGCGTGTAGCGAGGTGCACTGCTGTGTAGCGGCGTGTAGCGGTGTGTAGCGGCGTGTAGTGGCGTGTAGCGAGGTGCACTGGTGTATAGCGGCGTGTAGGGAGGTGCACTGCTAGCGGTGTGTAGCGGCACGTAGCGAGGTGCACTGGTGTGTAGCTATGTGTAGCGGTGTGTAGCGGCGCGTAGCGGGGTGCACTGGTGTGTAGCGGTGTGTAGCGGCGCGTAGCGAGGTGCACTGGTGTGTAGCGGTGTGTAGCGAGGTGCACTGGTGTGTAGCGTTGTGTAACGGGGTGTAGCGGCGCGTAGCGAGGTGCACTGGTGTGTAGCGGTGTGTAGCGGTAGCGAGGTGCACTGGTGTGTAGCGGCGTGTAGCGAGGTGCACTGGTGTGTAGCGAGGTGCACTGGTGTGTAGCGTTGTGTAGCGGCGTGTAGCGAGGTGCACTGGTGTGTAGCGGCGTGTAGCGGCGCGTAGCGAGGTGCACTGGTGTGTAGCGGCGCGTAGCGAGGTGCACTGGTGTGTAGCGTTGTGTAGCGTTGTGTAGCGGCGTGTAGCAAGGTGCACTGGTGTGTAGCGGCGCGTAGCGAGGTGCACTGATGTGTAGCGGTGTGTAGCGGCGTGTAGCGGCGCGTAGCGGCGCGTAGCGAGGTGCACTGACCCTGAGGAAGCAGTCGAAGCGTCTCACGTCTCCACTCAGCTCAGAAAGATAAGAAACAAAACAGAATCCTTTCTCATATGTAAAGAGATTCATCAGAGAGCTGGGGTTCACTCCTAGAGACAGAGACAGGTCACAGAGACAGAGACAGGTTACAGGTCAGAGGGAGGACACACGTGTGTGTGTGTGTGTGTGTGTGTGTGTGTGTGTGTGTGTGTGTGTGTGTGTGTATGTGTATGTATGTGTGTGTGTTACCTGGCTCAAACTTGACCTGCAGCTTACTAACAGGGTTGTTGTCTCCAAGGAGACGGAGCTGTTTGTGTAGAGCGTCCAATCGTACGGCAGTCTCCAAACAGGTGAACGCCTCACCTGAGGGAGGGGGGGCATTACATCTCAAACAGTACTATTGATGTAGTACTATGAGTCGTAGTAGTAGAAGTAATCTTAGTAGTTCTACTACTAGTACTTGTACTCTTCCCATAGGCCTCGTCGTTATGGGTCTCTGGGCATAGGTAGTACTAAGAGTAGTACTGGTAGTACTCTTCCCATAGGCCTCGGTGGTAATGCGTCTCTGGGTGTAGGTAGTACTAAGAGTAGTACTGGTAGTACTCTTACCATAGGCCTCGGTGGTGATGCGTCTCTGGGTGTAGGTAGTACTAAGAGTAGTACTGGTAGTACTCTTACCATAGGCCTCGGTGGTGATGCGTCTCTGGGTGTAGGTAGTACTAAGAGTAGTACTGGTAGTACTCTTACCATAGGCCTCGGTGGTGATGCGTCTCTGGGTGTAGGTAGTACTAAGAGTAGTACTGGTAGTACTCTTACCATAGGCCTCGGTGGTGATGCGTCTCTGGGTGTAGGTAGTGCTAAGAGTAGTACTGGTAGTACTCTTACCATAGGCCTCGGTGGTGATGCGTCTCTGGGTGTAGGTAGTACTAAGAGTAGTACTGGTAGTACTCTTACCATAGGCCTCGGTGGTGATGCGTCTCTGGGTGTAGGTAGTACTAAGAGTAGTACTGGTAGTACTCTTACCATAGGCCTCGGTGGTGATGCGTCTTTGGGCGTAGGTAGTACTAAGAGTAGTACTGGTAGTACTCTTCCCATAGGCCTCCGTGGTGATGCGTCTTTGGGCGTAGGTAGTACTAAGAGTAGTACTGGTAGTACTCTTACCATAGGCCTCGGTGGTGATGCGTCTTTGGGCGTAGGTAGTACTAAGAGTAGTACTGGTAGTACTCTTACCATAGGCCTCGGTGGTGATGCGTCTTTGGGCGTAGGTAGTACTAAGAGTAGTACTGGTAGTACTCTTACCATAGGCCTCGGTGGTGATGCGTCTTTGGGCGTAGGTAGTACTAAGAGTAGTACTGGTAGTACTCTTACCATAGGCCTCGGTGGTGATGCGTCTTTGGGCGTAGGTAGTACTAAGAGTAGTACTGGTAGTACTCTTACCATAGGCCTCGGTGGTGATGCGTCTTTGGGCGTAGGTAGTACTAAGAGTAGTACTGGTAGTACTCTTACCATAGGCCTCGGTGGTGATGCGTCTTTGGGCGTAGGTAGTACTAAGAGTAGTACTGGTAGTACTCTTACCATAGGCCTCGGTGGTGATGCGTCTTTGGGCGTAGGTGGCCAGGCCCTCACTCAGCCACATCTCCTCCCACGTGGCGTTGGTGACGGCGTTGCCAAACCAGCCGTGAGCAATCTCATGCACAACGTCGATCAGCAGGAACTCGCTGCTTTCCAAGATGGAGGCTATAATGAAGGTGAGGCAGGGGTTCTCCATGGCAACGATGGGGAAGGAGGGGGGCAGGAACACGATGTCACACCTGAGGGTCATCATTGAGGATTACTGGCGTCTTTAACCTTCCTAACTTACAGGGACCCGTAACTCACCTGCCCCAAAGGTAGGGTCCAAACAGCTCCTCTGCTACACCCAGCCAGCGCTCCACGCTGCCCCCCAGCTTCTTCACCGCACACGAGAGCAGACAAGGCTCCGCCCACACACGGCTCCTGGAACAGAGGTAGTAGTAGAGTAGAGACCAGAGTAGAGACCAGAGTAGAGACCGGAGTAGAGACCGGAGTAGAGACCAGAGTAGAGACCAGAGTAGAGACCAGAGTAGAGACCGGAGTAGAGACCGGAGTAGAGACCGGAGTAGAGACCGGAGTGACTGACCGCGGGCCAACGTCCACGTGCTGCAGCTCCCCGGCCACCAGGGCCACCAGGTATGAGGGGACAGGGAACTCCATGGAGAACTGGAAGACCCGGTCCGGCGTAGAATAGGAGCTCAGAGACGCACTCATCAGAACAGTCACTCCTTCTGGAACCTGCAGAGGAGACCAGGCGTCCGTTTCAAGAGGTTTAACAAACTCTGAGTCAACGGCGTTACGGGACGGGTGTGGCGCCACTCTGCGATCCCCTGGTGATTCCTCCCATTCTCGTCCGTACTTTTGCTTTAGATCTTCTTTCAAATCGACACTCTGCAAAGAGACTGTGATCGGCCGCGAACCTGAAACAAACCAATCAAATCAAACAACGGCAGCGAGTGTTTCCCAAGCAGGGGCCACAGGACAGAATACGGGAACAAACCCGTATTGATTCACAACAGGACGCGCTATTTTATTCTCAAATACGGGACGATCCGTATTTTAAGGGACTGACGCTACTCTGGTCTCGCGTTCTTCCCACTCGATCGCTCTTTTCTGTGTTTTCATGAAGCAAACATCACATGTTCCTCCATGACGTGTAAAAATAAATTCTCCCGCCTGCCAAAGAGCAACGTCGGGTGTTATGACACCGGTATGAACGGTATGTGAGCAATCCTTGCCGTACGGAAATCTTATCTCTAGTATATATAATACAGTAGTACATGCACGTAGTACCAGTACTCACCCTCACGGTGGCCGTGTACGTGCTCTTCACAGCCGGCGTGTCGAAGCAGGGGAAGAAGGAGCGGTTGCACACCGAGTGGCCCTGAGTGAAGACCAGAGGACGGGACTGACCACAGGTCAGCTCAGAGTCCAGCCACCAGATCTGAGCACGCACGCGCACAGACACACACACACACACACACACACACACACACGCACACACGCACACATTACATCACATGTCATTTATCTGACGCTTTTATCCAAAGCGACTTACAATAAGAACATTTAACCAGAAGGACACAAACTCAGGAGAACAAGAAACTCAAATAAGCCGATGTACAACTCGCTGTAGATAAGAACCATTATAAGTCCAATGTAAGTGCTGCAGTTAGTTAGTGTGTTAGTGGAGGTAGAGTCTGAAGAGGTGTGTCTTTAGTCTGAAGATGTGAAGGCTCTCTGTGGTCCTGATGTCTTCAGAGACCTCCTTCCACCATTTAGGAGCAGGACAGCAGAGAGTGGAGATCTAGTCGAGTGTTTTGCTCTCAGTGAGGAGGAACAAGGACACACACACACACACACACACACACGTCACCAACAGGAGTGGGATCTGGGATGGGGGTCTCCTCACCGCTGGGCCGTCCGTGGTGGTGTAGCGGACCGTGATCTGGATCAGCCGGCCTGGCTTCACAGCGGCGGGGGGGAGGCTGATGTTCAGAGAGGAGCCGTAGTCCGTGAAGGGGTCCACCCGGTAGGTGAGGGAGATCGGCTCCTCTTGTCCGGCTCCGGGGTCCTTGCAGTCTATGGAGTGGATGAGGAGGGAGGGGTGGGAGTCCAGGACCAGGCTGGTGACCCCCTTCTGGGCCGGGACCAGGTCCAGAACCAGCCATCCGCTCATCTCCTTGACGGCAAAGTTGAGCCGCAGATCGAGGTGGAGGTGTCGCAGCCGGAAGGAGCGGAAGTTAGAGGCCGAGGCCACATCCACCAGGGGGCCCCGTGGGGTCCCGGGTCCCGGAGCCGCCAAGGGCCGGGAGTCCCCATCGCACCGGGGCCCGGAGGCCAAAAGGGGCTTACGGCAGCAGCACAGCGAGGTGGGCGTCTGGTGGAGCTCCGCCATCACGGGCCGAGCCCGGGACTACAACCCCCGCTTAGACCTGGACTGACCGCATCCAGTCTGGGTCGGGCTGAATCTAAAACCAGTTCTAAACTACAGCAGACCGTTATGGAACCAAGGCCAGACCACAGTCAGAACCCATTAGGCCACAACAGCACAGAGCCAACAAACTAGAGACCACATTAAGATTCCGGTTGCAAACCAGAACTTTATACTAATCCCATTGAAACAGAATCAGAGAACATTTAAACCCGACGGGGGAATTTCTCTCAGACTACATTAAAAAGCTCCTTTGGCGGTTTTGACCCGGGTCCACCTGCTTCTGGACCCCAGTGAACCAAATACGGCTCTGTGATAACCAGCGTTCACGCTGTAGTGGACCGGTCTGGTGTGGCCTGAGGACCCATTTTAAAGAGGACTGAAATGCTTTGTGAAGACTAGACTGCATTCAGAACCTCATTAGAGTCTAAATCAACTGTAGACCCCGTAGACCAGTCAACACCTTCATAACCCGGTTCACCTATGGATCAGGTTCCAACACTTGGATGTATGAAGTCACAATTAAGTATGTTTTTTAAAAGTATATCTTTACCTCGTTTTGAGACCGGATGAGTCCTCAATGTGAACCAGACTTCATTCAAAAAGCTGCAGATTTAAGGGAGCCGAGCAGCTGCTTGAAGCCCCGTAAGGACGCTGGACTTAAAGGCTTCTTTAACATTAAGCTACACTTAAACCTCTGCGCGTCCACACATTTAGCTTCAAATGACTTCAACAAAGTCACTTAAATATTTAAGGCACTTGAATATTCGGCTGTAAACTAACGCAGCTAGTTGAACTAACCTTGTTAGCGCAGCAGGCTAATTAGCATTAGCATCAAAGACAAGACACCGGTTCCTCCTCTGAGCTCAGCCCGGCTGCCCGGGCTGTGTCCCGGGCCCTGAGAGCGGGACCGGCCGGTGAAGGACGTCGGGCCGAGGAAGAGTACACGGACCACACGAAGACAACACAAGACAGAGGAGCCTCCGGACTAAACAGGAAGTCACTACGGAAGGAAAAAAAGTTTCCTCAGGCCGGAGGAGGCGCTGTGGAGCCAATCACTGGAGGTCAAAGGTCACCAGCCTCTGCTCAGCAGTGCATTCAGTCTGATCGATAGAACTCAATGATCACACAGAACACTATGCATCGTAATCCTAGTTATCTAATAAACACTATTTATTATTCTGTTAAATCATAGTAAATCTGACCACTAGAACCACACATTAGTCACATGACAGCAGCCGGGTCTCATTTGGTTGACTGCGTTCTCCAGAGGACCTGGGCCTCATTTATAAACGTTGCGTACGCCGCTCTCTACGCAATAATTGGTATTTATAAAAAGCAAACTTGACGGGAAAAATGTGCTGTCCTTCACGCGAGCTCGGACCCGTGAGTACGCACAAAACGGGTGAAATGAGAACCGTCGGCAAACGCAAGAAACACGCAAACGTGTGAAAGTGTAAAACTAGACTGTTGTAAAAGAAATGCCAATACTGCCTCTCATAAATAACACAAACACCCGTTTGATCTGCAGCGTAAAACAAACAGAAATACTAATTAACACATTTTCAAAAAAAAGTGAAATGTTCTGCAATAATATCGGCATGTTATTAAATTCATCCTCTAATCACAGCTGTTGCTTGTCAGATGCGATCAGACGGACGGTAATAAAACGCCATGATGTCGTCACAATGCGTAATGACGCTGATGGCTGATCTCACGCTCTTAGAAGACGTGGCACATGGAAGGATTGGCGCTGTAGTGCAGCACCGTCGGCCTGTTTAAGGGCAGATGGCGCCGCCTCGACTGCACTGGAGGAGGTTGTTGTTTACTCCTGAGAAGCTGTGAAACATCCTGCGTGTGCTGTGCTACATGATGTGGCTCAGCTTCCAAACGCGCCTCCACCCCCTGACGCCGATGTTGGCCCAGACCCTGTCCCCGATCCCCAATCACTGCCGCCACTGTTTTTAATTGTCTTTTAATTCCTGCATTTTATTTCACTTGTTATGTGAAGCACTTTGAGTCTGCCTTGTGTATGAAAAGCACTATACAAATAAACTTGCCTTTATAAGTCTGAATATTTCAGTGCGTACACACGTCCTACGTTTCATCCGTACGACACTTCTGGCGCAAATCCTACGCACGCTTTTGTAAATGAGGCCTCAGTCTTCTGGTTCTACCCAACCTACAAAGGCTGGTGTCTTTTCTCTCGATTCAGGATGGTTCAACACCGGTTTCTCTCTGGCTTAAAACGTTTCTCAGTTTTACACTGGTTACAAAATGATTTCTCAACTCACTAGTTTGAAAATAGTTTCTCACAGTGAGGAAACCGTGCGATGCGTACTGGATTTAGAGCCCACCTCCTCTTGGCTGGACGCTGACCTGCTCACCGGTCTGTCCTCCACCCGAACCCTGGTGCACCACATGTTACAGGCCTGTTATCGGACTTTGGGGCTTGTCATTGATCTTATGAACATGAGACTAAATTGAAGAGGCGGAGAAGCGGCTTTGGACCTGATGTCAGTTTTATTGTTTCTGTACAAACAAGATCGGATGCTGCAGATGTTTCCTCTTTACACTCGGGAAGGATACAGCATCTGGAAAGCAGACAGGAAGTCACACGGTCACAATGGAGCACAGGTTCAACAGTAACATTTGATCTGAGCTGCAAAGGGTTCCTTTAGAACACCAACTCTTTAGTCACATACGTGTGTGTGTGTGTGTGTGTGTGTCTCTACCGCCCGTCACATCACAACAATGCAACTCACCACTCTGATTCGGTGTCCGATGGCTTTGGCCGGCAGGTTGCTGCTGAACTTGGCTCGGACCATCCCGCTGCTGCCGTGGGCCCGGGTCACCTTCCCCCAGATCACACGGGTCTTGTTGGGTTTGCCGCCCGGCGTCACTGTGTTCCTGCACAACACGGGACATCGTGAACCCACAGTTTGTTTTAGAGAGCAGCACGTGGCAGCCGGAGGGAGGGACTCACTTCTTGGCTTTGTAGACGTAGGCGCAGCGCTTGCCGAGGTAAAAGTCCACCTCGTCTCTTGTGTAGCAGCCCTCCACCTTCAGGAGCGCCGTGTGCTCACGCTGGTTCCTCAAGCCGCGCTTGTAGCCAGTGAAGATGGCCTTACTCCACAGTCTGACGAGTCAAACAAAGGGTTAACAATCAAGTCTGACAGGCCAAGAAGACCTACTGATCCAGTAGAGTCAACAGCAGTGTTTCCCCAATTCTAACAGGCGGGCGAACAGTCTGCCAGACTACCACCCCCCCCCCCCCTCTGAAAATGTAAACAAATCTGAAAAAGACCCCCGGTAGAAAATCGGCTGTTAAAACCCTTTACCGCAAATGTTTTCTGACTGACACCCCTCAGTATAAGCCCTGAAGATCAACAGTCACAAGACTGAACTTCTTCCCAGGGAAAGACTCCCACAGACACGACCGCCATCTTTGACAACTCCGTCCTGACCCCACCCCGAGTGACCGACCGACTGACTGACTGACCCCACCCCGACCGACCGACTGACTGACTGACCCCCACCCCGACCGACTAACCGACCGACTGACCCCACCCCGACCGACCGACCCCACCCCGACCGACTAACCGACCGACTGACCCCGACCGCTAGGAGCCTCTGTGCGACTCATCTTCCCCTCACTGCCAACATTACAATCTCACGTCCCAGTAGATGCACAGCATCACAACACGTAGCCTTCTCACTCAGAAGGTCCAACCCGGCGCCCCCACAATGCACCACCTGGTCTTTAACCTAAACTCACCCAGTGTTTCAAAACACTGGTACTTCTGTACCATGCCAGGAGAAGATGGCAACCTTCAGGACGAAGGTCCGACCTTGCTGTGCAACAATCAACCCTTTGCTCCTCACTGAGCCAAACATCTCACTGGCTCCTGGAGAGTCTGGTCACCTGGGCAGGTAGCGGGCGTGTAGGTGTGTCTGCTTACCTTCCAGGCATCGTTAGTCTTCTCCAGGTGAGTCACCTAAAACAAACAATAAAGCTGTTTAACAACATTATGAACAGTCTTCATTTATTACAACTTTTCACCTACGACACGCAGCCGTAGTATTTTGACTGAATAGTGTTTGAACACAGTAAACTACTCCACACACGCCGCATCATACACACGCAGGTGTCGTGAATAATCTGGATAATGAATGAATGAAGGCAGCTACATTTCATACGTACGTCTATAAACTACAAGGCTTCAGCAGCATTGCAGGTGATGGAGTTACAGGTACGTTAGCTAGCAGTAAGCTAACATGGAGCTTGTTGATCACCCAGCTTGTTTCAACACTGAATCTTAAATGAACATGAGACCAGTTCATCTGTTACACTCAATGTCTGTCTGTCTGTCTGTCTGCACACATGCCATCATGTCTACGTTACACAGCACGCTTCTACCGGCAAAACAAAGTCATAAGACACCGAGAGAACCGGAGATTCCTATTCGCTTTTTGCAGCAGCTTTGCCGGCAGTGCTTCACCCTGTCAGCCTCCGTTAGCACCATCCAAACTAAATCTACGCCATCACGAAGTGAAGCAGCAACGTAAAGCTCCCGGGGAGCGAAGGACAACCTGCCCGGTCACTGGTGCTGCTTTTCGGTCATACACGAGTCATATTAAGTGTTTTATTTTAAGTTTAAATCGGACATGTTGGCATCTTACCGTCCAGAGGGGAAGAAGATGGCGGAAAAGGAAGAGAGCGATGCATGCTGGGATATTATGGTAAACAGAGGCGGCCGCTCATCTGCCTGAACGAAATGTTATTCATAGTTCAATTTATTCCGTTTTATTTGATCAGAAAGAAAACATGTTGAAACTGTTACACCAAACGTTGTATTTCAAATATATATTCTTTATTATTTTCGTGAATTTTTACTATTCTACCTGCCTACCTTATTTACTATTATACAACGTGTGGTAATTGTGCTTAAATAACTTCAGGAATCAGGAACATTTATGACCAAAATATGTCCCTCCATACACATTGGATGAATTTAATGTATTATACATATTTTACGTTGTTCATTCTGTACGTCCATCGCAGTCTGTCCGTCCCTGGAGGACCGTCCTGTGTCTCTAAAGGTTTCTTCCCTTTATTCTCCCCATCAAACACTTTTTCATTGTTTGGGGAGTTTTTCCTGTCGATGTGAAGGTTTCTGCACAGATGACTTCACATGTGTTCACACTGTAAAGACACATGAGGCAGATTTGCAATATTGTGCGATACAAAATGAAATGAATTCTATGATGATGTTAAAGACCGACAGCGCCCCCTGGAGGCTACAAGCCCCACAAAGTATCACACACGTTAACGTTACGCGTGATGGTAAAATGTAACGGCTCATTTAAGGGCCTCGTCACTCTAATCAATCACATTATATCTATTTAAATGTGGCTTCATGATGATCATCATCCAATGAGAATAAAGATCTCAACTCTTTCAGAGTATGTAGATGAAAACAAGCCCAAAGAATCAGATTGATACGAATGAATAGGATCTATGTATCAGCGTATGTATCATATGTATGTAGACGACCACATAGAACTAGTTTATTATATGTGTGTGAGAATCATTATAAATCCATCGTTCATCATCAGACATTTGATCAATTGAAGCAGTGAAATGTGGAACATCCAGAAGTTTATTAAGAGACAAATAAACCAACAGAACTTTACCAAGAGCACGACATGCAGCTGCTTTCCAGATGTTCTCTGCATCGCAACACCGTACAGACAGTATGTGAGACAGTGTGTGAGACAGTACGTGAGACAGTATGTGAGACGGTACGTGAGACCGTATGTGGGACAGTATGTGGGACAGTATGTGAGACAGTACGTGAGACAGTACGTGAGACAGTATGTGAGACAGTATCTGGGACAGTACGTGGGACAGTACATGAGACAGTATGTGAGACGGTACGTGAGACGGTACGTGAGACCGTATGTGGGACAGTACGTGAGACAGTATGTGGGACAGTATGTGAGACAGTACGTGAGACAGTACGTGGGACAGTACGTGAGACAGTACGTGGGACAGTACGTGGGACAGTATGTGAGACAGTACGTGGGACAGTACGTGAGACAGTATGTGAGACAGTATGTGGGACAGTATGTGAGACAGTACGTGAGACAGTACGTGGGACAGTATGTGAGACAGTACGTGAGACCGTCCGTGGGACAGTATGTGAGACAGTACGTGGGACAGTATGTGAGACAGTACGTGGGACAGTATGTGAGACAGTACATGAGACAGTATGTGAGACGGTACGTGAGACAGTACGTGGGACAGTACGTGAGACAGTATGTGAGACAGTACGTGGGACAGTACATGAGACCGTCCGTGGGACAGTACATGAGACAGTATGTGGGACAGTACGTGAGACAGTACGTGAGACCGTCCGTGGGACAGTACATGAGACAGTACGTGAGACAGTACATGAGACAGTACGTGAGACAGTACATGAGACAGTATGTGGGACAGTATGTGAGACAGTCCGTGGGACAGTATGTGAGACAGTACGCTCATGACCGGCCGTGGGACAGTATGTGAGACAGTGCGTGAGACCTTCCGTGGGACAGTATGTGAGACAGAATGTGAGACAGTACGTGAGACCGTCCGTGGGACAGTATGTGAGACAGAATGTGAGACAGTCCGTGGGACAGTACGTGAGACAGTGCGTGAGACCGTCCGTGGGACAGTATGTGAGACCGTCCGTGGGACAGTATGTGAGACAGTCCGTGGGACAGTATGTGAGACAGTACGTCAGACCGTCCGTGGGACAGTATGTGAGACAGTACATGGGACAGTATGTCAAGTCAAGTCATTTTATTTTGTATAGCCCAAAATCGCAAATTACAAATTTGCCTCAGAGGGCTTTACAGTCTGTACACATACAACATCCTCTGCCCCGAAACCCACCATCGGCACAGGAAACACTCCCCAAAAAATGAAAAAAACCCTTACAAGAGGGAAAAAAGGGAAGAAACCTTAGGGAGAACGTCAGAGGAGGATCCCACTCCCGGGATGGACAGACTACAATGGATGCCATGTGTACAGAATGAACAATGTATAATACATGCAATTCCTATGACAGAAATGATTCAAGTAATTGTGAGTAGTAAGCCAGGCGCACAGCAGGACCACTGCAGGGGCAACCACCATCAGATAGAACCACCATCAGATAGAACCACCATCCACAGAAGCCTGTGGGGAGGGAGAGCACAGAGATTTTAGGAGAGGGTAATGTCGGTTTATGAGTAAAGTAATATGATTAATATCTAAAATAATGATGATGATGGCAGCAGCAGGCGTCAACATGGCCACGGTAGGTGTCAGGACCAGGGTCCCGAAGGAACCACGATCTATGGAGACCTGATAGGGGAGAAAGCACACAAAAAAACTCCCCGAAAGAAGCTGAATTAGTCATGTGCATTAATAAAACGTGAATTATGGTAGAACGAGAGCGTGAGAGAGGAGCTCGGTGTGTCCTAAGAAGTCCCCCGGCAGTCTAAGCCTATAGCAGCTTAACTAAGGGCTGGTCCGGGCTAACCTGAGCCAGCCCTAACTATAGGCACAATCAAAGAGGAACGTTTTAAGTTTTACTTTAAAAGAGCTGAACGAATCTGCCCCCCGGACTGAAAGTGCCTGGTTCCACAAAAGAGGAGCTTGATGACTGAAGGCTCTGGCCCCCAGCCTACTTTTTAAAACCATAGGAACAACAAGTAACCAGCATCTATGGAGCGCAGCTGCCTTGTAGGGCAATAAGGTGTTACAAGCTCTTGAAGATACGACGGTGCCTCACCAGCAAGTGCCTTGTAGGTGAGGAGAAGTACCTTAAAATCTATTCTTGATTTAACAGGGAGCCAGTGCAGAGAAGTTAGTACAGGAGTGATGTGATCCCTTTTCTTAGTTCTTGTTAATACACGTGCTGCAGCATTCTGAATCCACTGGAGAGGCTTAAGAGATTTATAAGAGCAGTCTGATAACAAAGAATTACAGTAGTCCAGTCTGGAAGTGACAAACGCATGAACAAATTTTTCTGCATCACTTTGAGACAGGAAGTTCCTGATTTTTGATATGTTACGTAGATGGAAATAGGCAGTCCTTGAAGTCTTCTTTATATGCAAGTTGAAGGTCATATCCTGGTCGAAGAGAACTCCCAGATTCCTGACGGTGCTGCTGGGTACCAGAGCAATTCCATCCATAAAAACTGTATCACGCGACAGCTGGCTTCGAAGGCGCTCTGGGCCTATCAGGATAACTTCCGTTTTTTCTGAGTTTAGCATAAGGAAGTTGCCGGTCATCCAAGTTTTGATGTCTCCAAGACATTCTTGAAGTCTAACTAACTGGTCCGTCTCTTCTGGCTTGATCGACAGATACAGTTGAGTATCGTCTGCATAACTATGGAAGTTTATGCGGTGTTTCCTGATAAGATCGCCCAAAGGAAGCATATAGAGGGTAAATAAAATCGGTCCAAGTACAGAACCTTGTGGGAGTCCGTGACCAACATTGGTGGTCTTTGAGGATTCACCGTCTACAGGCACAAACTGGGATCGGTCCGATAAGTAGGATTTAAACCAGCTGAGTGCAGTTCCTTTGATACCAATTAAATGTTCTAGTCTCTGCAACAGGATACAATGGTCTATGGTATCAAATGCGGCACTGAGGTCCAGCAAGACAAGAAAAGAGATGAGTCCTTGGTCCGATGCAAGTAGAAGATCATTCGTAATTTTCACCAGTGCTGTTTCTGTACTGTGATGCACTCGGAATCCTGACTGGAAATCCTCGAACAAAGCATTGTTTTGTAGAAAGTCACATAATTGATTTGCGACGGATTTCTCAAGGATCTTAGAGAGGAAGGGAAGATTAGAGATAGGTCTGTAGTTAGCCAGCACCTCTAGAGCAAGAGTAGGTTTCTTAAGAAGAGGTTTAATTACAGCTACCTTGAAGGACTGTGGTACATGTCCTGTCAACAAAGACAGATTCATAATATCTAATAAGGATGTGCTAACTAAAGGAAAAACTTCCTTAAGCAGTTTGGTCGGAATCGGATCCAAGAGACAAGTAGAAGATTTAGACTTTGAAAATAAAGAAGTCAGTTGATCAAGGTTGATGGAAGAGAAGGCATCCAAACAGGCATCAGGGCCCACTGCTGCATCCAAGGTTCCTACATCGGAGGACAGGTCGGCACTGGTTGAAGGCAGGAGACCATCAATTTTCTCTTTGATAGTCAGAATCTTATCATTGAAGAAGTTCATGAAGTCGTTACTAGTGAGGTCCAAAGGAATACACGGCTCGACAGAGCTATGACTCTCTGTCAGTCTGGCTACAGCGCTGAAGAGAAACCTGGAGTTGTTTTTATTTTTCTCTATTAATGATGAGTAATAAGATGCTCTTGCGTTACGGAGAGCCTTCTTATACGTTTTAAGGCTGTCTTGCCAAACTAGCCTAGATCCTTCTGATTTGGTGGAACGCCATAATCGTTCAAGTTTCCGCACAGTTTGCTTTAGGCTCCGTGTTTGAGGGTTATACCACGGAGCAGACTTCCTTCTTGTTGCTATTCTTCTTTCCAGAGGAGCAATAGCATCCAGCGCCACTCTCAAAGAGCCTGTAGCAGTATCGACAAAATTATCGATCTGGGACGGACTGAGGTTCTCACAGGAGTCTTCTTGTATCTTGAGGCAGGGCACTGAACTTAGAGCAGAAGGAATGGCTTCTTTGAATGAGGCTACAGCGGTATCCGATAAGCGTTGACTGTAGAAACCTTTGGCAGGAGGAGGTGGTTCTGATAGTAGAAATTCAAAGGTTATCAGACAATGGTCCGACAGGAGAGGGTTCTGTGGAAAAATTGTTAAATGTTCAATCTCAATCCCATACACAAGAACCAAGTCGAGAGTGTGGTTAAAACAGTGAGTTGGTTTATTTACACACTGACAGAAACCAATTGAATCTAACAATGAAAGAAATGCAGTACTAAGGCTGTCGTTGTCCACATCCACATGAATGTTAGTCACCCACCCACCCACAATATGTGAGACAGAATGTGAGACAGTCCGTGGGACAGTATGTGAGACAGTCCGTGGGACAGTATGTGAGACAGTACGTGGGACAGTATGTGAGACAGTATGTGGGACTGGCGGTTGGTGCGTGACAGCAGACAGTACGACAATGGACGACACTTTGTTCTGATGGTTCTGATCTATAACAAGTTGTGAATCGGCTTATTTGATGAAATTGCACTTTCTTGTTTCTTGTTCTTCTGAGTTTGTGTCCTTATGGTTGAAATCCACTTATTGGAAGTCGCTTTGGATAAAAGCGTCAGATAATTGACGTGTGATGTGATGTGATGAAACAACACGACAGCAGAATGCAAGAAAGTGCACTTATGTTAAATTTACCAACCAAGGCGTCAGGTTCCTTTATCAGAACGGCACAAAGCGACCTCAGTGAACCGCCTCCTCGGGCAAATCACACTAAATGAGTATCTTCATGACGTGGGTTTGTCCCAAATGGAATGAATGTGGCACAACACAGCGACTCGCAGCGTCTTAAATAAAGTGAAGTGTCCCCCCATTAAATCTACCTCATCAATGGGAACAATGTGTGTCCGTCCTCAGTCACTGGGAAGTGGGTTCTCGTTTTATTTGATGAAGTTGTGCAGCATGCGGCGGATTCACGCGTCCCTCTGCTGTGTCAGCGTCTCTGAATGTCCCATCATGCGGGAAAAGAGGGACGAGCCATGTAATCGGGAGAGAATCATTGTTTCTGATTGGGGGCCGCTGTTATAAACTGTGAATGAGTTTGTGCAACAATAAATGAACACGAGAACTGATCTGAACTTTAATAATGAATATAAGTAGAAATATACTTTCAAAAGTTACAAAGTAGATTCTCTATATACACATAGAGATACACATATATACATATACATACATATATATATATACACACACACATATATATATATATTATATATACATATATATTAATTATATATATATGTATATATTATATATACATACATACATACACACACACATACAGATACACACTGCAACACACACCTCCTGCAACCCCTTGAGGATAAGCAGTATAGATGACTGACTGACTTAGGAGTATATGTGTACACAAATATTCAACAAATTTTGTAGTAGTGTGGCTGCAGAACAATAAAAATGTTCCTGAATGCAACAGAAGGACGGACAGAAGCTCGTCATCACCTGGTTGCTCCTTCAGTCTCCATCTGATCGCCATTATTTTAAATGTCGATAGAACTAAATCTTTTCTCTCAAAATTGCATGTAAGAAATGTTCTTAATAAATAATTAAATAAATTACAGAAAATTTGTTCTTTGGAAGATATCAAATTTTAAACAATTTAATCTGTAAATGTAGTTTTGGAAACTAAATACTTAACTCTAAAACTGATGACATCATTTATTGATGTTGGGTCAACCAGGTGGTGAAGGAGCCTCAAACAACTGTGAAACTCTTGGAAAACACTGTCATAATGTTTCAGCATTACTTAGACGACAGGTCTAAGGTCCATTGTGTTCTGGGTCATTTGATAACCAAGATGTTTTTAAGATGACCGTCTACAGCCGAGGTCCACTACCAGCTTCCGACTAATGTTCCCGCTGCGAAGATGAAGACCTTTGAGCTGCCTCCACGCATGACTTGTATGTGTGTATATTCGGTCTCTTGTTTAATAAATGTCCTGTTTAATGATTTTATAGAGGTGTAGCGTAAACAATGAGAGTTAAAAACAATGGTGAGAACTAAGAGACCTCCGCCATCCAATGCCAACAAACATCCCCCGAGTCGGACTTCAGGGGCAGAAAGTTGTTTTTCTTAGGGTCTGATCGCTGACGTCCAATAACAACTCAAAGCTTTGAATGAGAAAGTTTGGATCTGATGGAGAAAACAGCTGCAGACTCCACAGATGAGAGAAACGTTAACTCAAGTCTAATGTTGGAACTTAACTACTTTATCTTTAGCTCCATAGTTAGCCAAAGCTGGCACTGTCGGATATTTGGTAACATTAGCGCTGAGCTAGGTTGGCTTTAGCTCCTGTCTACTGCTGGCTACATGGGAACCAGCTACGCATGCTAGTTAACATTAGCATAGCGCGAAATTCAATTCAATTCCTTTTATTTTGTAGAGCCCAAAATCGCAAACTACAAATTTGCCTCAGAGGACTTTACAGTCTGTACACATACGACATCGTCTGTCCCGAAACGCTCCATCGGCAAGTAGTGTAAACCTGGGTACACTTGTTACCAACTAAAACCTAAAGTAACCACATTAGCATGAAGCTACATCACCTTTATATGCAAACCGAGTACATTAATATTCAGGTTCAATGTCTAGCGTTACAGCTATTTCAGGTTAAATTAATAATTAAAATGACTTTTAGCTAATTGTTAGCTGACCGAATGAATGTTGCTAATGTTACCGGTGATAATCCACGTTCGCTGCCATTAAACTTTAGACCATGTTTGGCTTGGCTTCAATCTTAAATCTCTGAATTAGTGTTATTTCAAGAAATGATACATATCAGAAATTAGTAGCACCACATGTAAACGTGCATTTTCATGCTGAAAGGTTTTCATGAAAAGTAACATGAGCATTTAGCTACATTAGCTTTTTTTCCTATAAAGTTAAAGTGAGGTTTTTAAGTTTTATTTATTTGTTTAGTGTCTAAATATCTTTGATATTGTTTGGCAAGTTTAGAGGATCAATAAATAAAATGTAAGCTGAACCTCCACATTAAGGAGATTAACATTCAAAACCAGGAGAACCATGAAGTTAGCCAACGTTAGCTGCGTCATTGGCTATGAAATGTTGGGTCATTACATTTTATGATCACAGTAAACTATTTTTAGGATTATAGTTGTTCATACATTTCTCTTTTCTCCATACAAGGTTTTTGGTCTGTGGTCGTAACGTCCTGATGATGTCGTGTTTGTGGTCGTAACGTCCTGATGATGTCGTGTTTGTGGTCGTAACGTCCTGATGATGTCGTGTTTGTGGTCGTAACGTCCTGATGATGTCGTGTTTGTGGTTGTAACGTCCTGATGATGTCGTGTTTGTGTTTGTAACGTCCTGATGATGTCGTGTTTGTGTTTGTAACGTCCTGATGATGTCGTGTTTGTGGTCGTAACGTCCTGATGATGTCGTGTTTGTGGTCGTAACGTCCTGATGATGTCGTGTTTGTGGTCGTAACGTCCTGATGATGTCGTGTTTGTGGTCGTAACGTCCTGATGATGTCGTGTTTGTGGTCGTAACGTCCTGATGATGTCGTGTTTGTGGTTGTAACGTCCTGATGATGTCGTGTTTGTGGTTGTAACGTCCTGATGATGTCGTGTTTGTGTTTGTAACGTCCTGATGATGTCGTGTTTGTGGTTGTAACGTCCTGATGATGTCGTGTTTGTGTTTGTAACGTCCTGATGATGTCGTGTTTGTGTTTGTAACGTCCTGATGATGTCGTGTTTGTGTTTGTAACGTCCTGATGATGTCGTGTTTGTGGTTGTAACGTCCTGATGATGTCGTGTTTGTGGTTGTAACGGTCCTGATGATGTCGTGTTTGTGGTTGTAACGTCCTGATGATGTCGTGTTTGTGGTTGTAACGGTCCTGATGATGTCGTGGTCCTGACAAAAGAACACGGCGAGTAAGGAACAGAACGTGTCCTCATTTAGTTAAAGTTGAACCCGTTTCTCCGTCAGATCCTTTAAAAACACAGGAGGCAGATTGAGCGTGTGCGGCAGGCGTCTACACGGCGGCGGGTGTCGTTGTCGTGGAGATCGGGTGTCGGCGAGGGGCCAGGTCCAGCAAGGCGCCCACGGTCCCAGCCACCTGCGGGAGCCCCCCCCCCTCCAGAATGTGAAGAGGTAGACACAGCTGAGTCTACGGAGACAAACACCACAGAGGAAGAAAACACGGCGAGGGACAAAAAAAACACAACGGAGAGGGGGGGTCAACGAATGGAAACTCAAACCAAGGAGCAAAACAACAGTAACCATGGCAACGGGAGATGTGGGAGAAAACAATATGAAACGACGGGACTCAGAACAAAATTTGTTTTATAATTTATGTTCTATAGGATACGTTACTAATAAAAATAATATACTGTATTAATTAAAATAAACATACTTCACACCCATTAACCAGCTGTAAATGATCTATTACTACACAGCAACTGTCACATTTGATGAGCCAGATGACGCGACTCATCAAATGCGATAAGACCGAGGATCATGTGACTCATCATGTGATCCGTATGGTCATATTAACAAGTCGCTGGGTTCTTTAAGCTTCTTCTGAAGTTCAGAGACAAACACACCAGGTGCTTCATATTTAATTCATTTATTCATTAGAGCTTATTCATCACCCCATAGCCTCATTCTTCCTCCTCACTTAATTCCCACTCTTGAACCTGACCTCAGTTCTATTAACTTGTCCTCCAGAAACTTAACTACAAATATCTTCACCCAGAGAATAAAACGGTAAATGTAAACACACTCACACACACACAACCGTAAGGCACAGAGGGGGCGGAGCTTCAACAAGAAGGGGAACAGGTTCGGGGATTGAAAAGGTTGATCATCTGAGGTTTAATGAACCCCTGATTCTCATGGAGGTTGACAGAAGTCACAGCTGCTGGTGACTGTGATCATCTAGACAGGGGAACCTTGGTACAAGGTAAAGCTTTCAGAGGCGTGATGGATACTACTGGTCATTAAAAAAGAAAATCTTTAGCTTTCCAACAACCGGATCTGGATTGAGGCTTTCTGACTTTAGGTGGAGTCAAGTCTTCTTCAATACAGCATGATGTTCATTTAGTGACTTATGGTGCATGTAGAGCTTGGGTCGACCAGACGGTCGCGTGCCATCGCTAAAACAAAAAATGACATCACTTCACGCATGCGCAGTCTAGCGTGAGAGATGACCGAAACTAATGCTAATGCTAACTAGTGATCCTTGTTTACTGACGGACGCATTTAATTTCATTCCAAAGCGACCCAGGCTGACTCCAGTAAGGTAAGAATGTGCGAGATGCTTATGACCTTTCTTCCTGCAGATGAGAGGCTCGTTTTATTCACATGGACTCGTTATGCGCTGGAGTGCGTCACCGCTACAACCCCCCGTCAGCCGGCACAGAGGGAAGGGGGCAGATCCCCATGACTTGGTTAGTTAAAAAGTAGCTTGCGAGCCGGTAAAGTGTGGGCACCCCTGATGTAGAGTAAACAGACCATAAAGCAGGGGATGCTTTAGGGCGGGGCTACACACGGATTGAGAGGTCTCTACTAGATAACCTATACAGCATCGCTACGTTGTCCTCAGTCCATATATGGTCACTTCCTGTTCACTGGTTGATAAAAAAACAGATGGCAAAAGATCACAGATGTTCCATGTCTCTGTCCACTTCTTAAATACAGTGGTTTAACTATTGCCTTGTTCGTGAGTTATTCTGGTGTACGCACATACTTCATGTATCACATGACATGTTATTAAGTTGGTTGAGAATCAAAAGTATGGCACCAGGTGTAAGTAGACGGTGCACAACACCGACATAACGGACAGGTAGAAAAGGGCGAAGCCAGCCAGCTGGACCAGAGGGGAGCGGCTTGTGGGGGGCGGGGCCACAGAGAGCAACAGGCCTACCGTCCCATAGACGCTGGCGCCTTCCCCCTCCAGGACCTCCCCTACTGAGCAGAGACAAGCCTGAAGGGGGGGTCGAGGTGTGTTGGACGCGGTGAGGGACAAAACGTTTGGACGAATGGAAGGAATAAAGTAAATAAATCGAATCATGAAAGACGGGAAAATGACAGAAAAATAAGAAAGTTTGTTAGTTCAGGAGAAGCAGAGGAGCAGATCATGATTTCACACAGATCCCGGAACGAGGCCACGCCCAACCGGTGGGTTAATTCCAAGTAATCAATTTAAAAGGATTCGATTGAGAAGTTAAACAGCTGCTGTGACTCAATTTCCATTCAATCATTCACTGTGACATGGTACCAGGTGAGACATGATCCGGTGCTGAGAACTAAACTTGACATCAGATCAAGTTTCTGCTGATCGAATAAAAAACAAGTATCACAGCTGAGGTATAATCTCATTGATTGTATGATGTGAGAGAGAGTTACCTGAGGAACACCGATTCTACGACACGCCTCCAGGAAGTTCTCTACATTTCGTCGACATTTGGCCATTGTGAGTTTGGGCTGCGAAGCAAAGGCGCAGCACCAGGGTTATTATAGTAACTAACATGTTATTATAGTAACTAACATTATTATAGTAACTAACATGTTATTATGGTAACTGACATTATTATAGTAACTAACATATTATAGTAACGGACATGTTATTATAGTAACTAACATTATTATAGTAACTAACATGTTATTATGGTAACTGACATTATTATAGTAACTAACATTATTATAGTAACTAACATGATATTATAGTAACTAACATGATTATAGTAACTAACATGTTATTATGGTAACTAACATTATAGTAACTAACATATTATTAAAGTAACTAACATTATTAAAGTAACTAACATGTTATTATAGTAACTAACATGTTATTATAGTAACTAACATATTATAGTAACTGAGATGTTATTATAGTAACTAACATATTATAGTAACTACAATATTATAGTAACTGACATGTTATTATAGTAACATATTATAGTAACTAACATGTTTTTATAGTAACTAACATTATTATAGTAACGCACATGTTATTATAGTAACTAACATATTATAGTAACTGACATGTTTTTATAGTAACGCACATGTTATTATAGTAACTGACATGTTATTATAGTAACTGAGATGTTATTATAGTAACTAACATATTATTATAGTAACTAACATATTATAGTAACGGACATGTTATTATAGTAACTAACATATTATAGTAGCGGACATGTTATTATAGTAACTAACATATTATTATAGTAACTAACATATTATAGTAACGGACATGTTTTTATAGTAACTAACATTATTATAGTAACGCACATGTTATTATAGTAACTGAGATGTTATTATAGTAACTAACATATTATTATAGTAACTAACATATTATAGTAACGGACATGTTATTATAGTAACTAACATATTATAGTAGCGGACATGTTATTATAGTAACTGACATGTTATTATAGTAACTAACATATTATTATAGTAACTAACATATTATAGTAACGGACATGTTTTTATAGTAACTAACATTATTATAGTAACGCACATGTTATTATAGTAACTGACATGTTATTATAGTAACTGAGATGTTATTATAGTAACTAACATATTATTATAGTAACTAACATATTATAGTAACGGACATGTTATTATAGTAACTAACATATTATAGTAGCGGACATGTTATTATAGTAACGGACATGTTATTATACAAGTTGACATGTTATTATAGTAACTAACATATTATAATAACTAACATATTATAATAACTAACATAGTATAGTAACTAACATATAATAACGAACATAGTATAGTAACTAACATGTTGTTATAGTAACTAACATATTATAATAACTAACATAGTATAGTAACTAACATATTATTATAGTAACTAACATGTTGTTATAGTAACTAACACATTATAGTAACTATACTGTTATTATAGTAATTAACAGCAGCACCGGGTTATTCTAGAATGATGACAATAACAATACTAACAATGATAGTAATACTTACTACAGCGGGAGAGGGGACGTGGATGCTGGGGACGGACCGGGGTCTCACGTGATTGGCCAGGTGACAGAGCACCACCCCGTCTGTCAGAGCGGCTCCCAGGTCGCTAGGCAACGACACCTTTAGACGAGCCTCGATATTCTGGAGGGACAGAGAGAAAGACAGAATAAGAGTATTTATCCGGTATGTTATTGATTATTAGTACTACTATGCAATTGGAGTACTCTATGTATTTATACACTACTTGTTATGGTCTCAGCACAACGACTCTAATGATCTTATTGTGACTACATAGTTCAGGAATCAGGAAACATTTCCATAATATGTCAGACATACAAGGAATTTGACTTGGCGGTTGGTGCGTAACAGCAGACACAACGACAATGGACAAGACAGCAGTGCACGAGGAATCAAATAAAATATAATGCTATGGGTTAGTAATATAAGGCTATGGGTTAGTTTAAAAATAAAGTGCACCAGCAAGTGACGTGTGCAGTGTGAGAGAAAGTGACCGGTGGGATGGCAATAAAAGCATAATAAAATATGATTAATTTATGTACAAAGAGGAAACCAGCGACACTGGCCGTGACAGGAAGAAACTGTTTTCTCTTTGGCTCAGAGGAGCAGACAGAGGTACAGACCTTCCTCAGCTGCTCCACCAGCTCAGCATCTTCTCCAACCAGAGGAGCAGCAGAAGCCTCTTCCTGCATCTGAGCAGCATCACCTGAGGTAAGGAGTTAGCAGGAGTCAGATGCTGAAGCCGAGGCTCCTCCATGGACTCAGATAAACGTTAAACCAGATAGATCCAGTACTTGATACACACTTCCTTAGTGATGTCACAGCTAACAAACCACTTCCCCTTCCTTGCTGCACCTGAACGCCTCACCTTTCCTCTTCTCCTGTTTCTGTCCGAGCCGAAACAGGAAGCTCTCTGGTCTTAGACCAGCTGTCCGACAGGAGGCCACGCTGCCTAAGCTGGGGTACGAAGGCGACGGATTGGCTGGAAGAAGCGATGCAATGGATGAATAAATGGAAGTCATTGGGTGAAATAGGAGTGGTTTCTGTTTCATCGTTACCTGTAGGAGACAGAGCAGCTCTGTCCTCCCCCTGCAGAGACACAACACAGCATATTTAATGGAGTACTGTAGAGGCTGTTAATCTTCATCATCGTCACTCGGACCCCTCAAGCAGCTAAAGCTCCTCCTAACTAGGAACCAACGAGCCTCAGACAGGAAGTCAGACGGAATTGAGAGACGGACCAACATGAGATTTAATAATGATTCATGAATATTTAGAAAAATGGCAGAGGCAATGTTTAAGCCAGACATGCACATAGTCAGAGAGACAGGCAGAGAGGCAGACAGGTAGTCAGGCAGTCAGACAGACGGAAAGTATGCAGGTTTCAGTACTTGCAGCAAACCACAGGCGGAGCTATTGGACGCTAGAGAATGAGAAACGTCAACAGACACTTGAGTCAAAGACTGACGGAGAGACAGACAGGCCGAGAGGCGGACAGAGAGACAGGAAAATAGAGGGTGGCAGCAATGAAAGCTGGAGGTGTCCTCACGTCTCGGCGCTGCAGGTCACGAGGACAGAGATGATAAATATCTGATCGGTCATATAACTCTCATATAACTCTCCTTATTTTATTTAGTAATCAACTCTACATCGTCTTTTCCATTCAGCTTTAGTAAAGAGTAAAGAGACAAACCTGTCTGCGTGAACAAGGACATCTCTTTATAGTGTTTGTGTAAAAGTCTGTCTCAAACACCAGGAGACACTGAGACACAAGACAGGCAGACGGACAGGGGCAGAGATAAAGTAGGAGGAACAAACTAAAGTGAAGAGAGACAAACATAAACAAACACAAATGAAGTAAATCAAAATTGAAGGGGAAGAATAAAACAAGGATTGACAGAAGAAGAAGAAGAATATTTAGTTTTCAAATCACAGATCCACCAAAGTTCTCTACATTTTATTTACCATAGCAGCTAATTGCTATTTTTAACATCGAAAAGGTTCTTATGTTCTAGATTTCAAAATATTGATTAGATCGCCACAGACAGGTGGACAGACAATGAGACACACAGACAGGTGGACAGATAGGTGGCGAGGAGTGATTGACAGGAGGGGGAAACACGCTGATCAAAATGACTCAGACTGATGTAGAGTCATGATCAGCCTCCATGACCTCTGACCCTTCGTCTACCTGATCCCTTGTGTGAATCGAGAGGTCTCTAGGTTGGAAAAAAAGACCTCTACTTCCTGTTTGTATGTTAGCCCTAACTACTTCCTGTTTGTATGTTAGTCCTACTTTTACTTCCTGTTTTCACCTTAGTCCTACTTTTACTTCCTGTTTGTATGTTAGTCCTACTTTTACTTTCTGTTGGCCCCTCAGTCCTACCTCTACTTCCTGTTTGTATGTTAGTCCTACTTTTACTTCCTGTTTGTATGTTAGTCCTACTTTTACTTCCTGTTGGCCCCTTAGTCCTACCTCTACTTCCTGTTTGTACGTTAGTCCTACTTTTACTTCCTGTTTGTATGTTAGTCCTACTTTTACTTCCTGTTGGCCCCTTAGTCCTACCACTACTTCCTGTTTGTACACTACTGCTACTTCTGCTTCTTGTTTGTACCTTAGTTCTACCTTCCTGTTATTGTATTAGCTCTACTTCTAATTCCTGTTTGTACGTTAGTCCTACTTTTACTTCCGGTTTGTACATTGGTCCTACTTTTACTTCCTGTTTGTAACTTAGTTCTACCTTCCTGTTATTGTATTAGCTCTACTTCTAATTCCTGTTTGTACGTTAGTCCTACTTTTACTTCCTGTTGGCCCCTTAGTCCTACCTCCACTTCCTGTTTGTACCGTAGTCCTACTTTTACTTCAGGTTTGTACGTTGGCCCTACCACTACTTCCTGTTTGTACCCTACTGCTACCTCTGCTTCTTGTTTGTACCTTAGTCCTACCTTCCTGTTATTGTATTAGCGCTACTTCCAATTCCTGTTTGTACTTTAGCCCTACTTATCTTTTCTATGTACTGTAGTCTATTTTATATTGTTTTAATTATCTTGTTATTTGTACATTTTTGGGGGAAGGGCCAAATTCTTACCACAAAGAGGGCGGAGTCATCTGTGTGGGTGGAGCGTCTGGAGGGGTAGACATTCTGAACACACATGGACAGACAGACAGACATGAGGTGAGGGTAACCCTGTGTGGGGGTGGAGGGCCGCGCTAAACATTAATTTAAAACAACAAATCTGATTCTGACAGATGAGAATAAAAGCTGTTTTAACGAGAGCTAAAGTTGATATTTTGTATCTTTTTACATTGACATGGTGAGCTGCTGATGACGACGACGACGAGATGATGTCACCTTTTTATTGTCAAGGTGGAGTGATAACAGAAAATGTGCCATCATTTGAGATGCTGTGACTGGTCATTGTTACAGGTTTGCTTTAAGGAATACTTTACTCTCGTGTCCGAGTCAGGAGTGTGTGAGCAGACACACAACGTCTTTAGGTAAAGAGCAGCTTCTTTTGATTCAATTCCATCATGTACGGGTTTGTTGCGTGTCTGTTGCTGGGTTGTGGTGTCGCTTGTTGTGTTGTGGTGGTGTGTGGTGTCTGTTGTTGTGTCTGTTGTCTCACCTCACAGTCTGGACTTTGAGCTGCTTTATGCTGAGAAACCGAAAGCAGAGTGAGTGAAACTTCATGACGTCAGAAGTACCGCAGTGATTTCTAGATTCATTTATTCTCTTGTCTACAGTTACTCTGTACAATGAAATATGCTGCAATGTCCTGCGTCCAAATAAATAGAATAACACACTAACCGACAAACAGGATTAAATATATTCTCATGCATCAGGCATACGGCTAGATGATCAATAAGAGGAAGTCCGGCGTACCTCAGAGTCTCTTTGCTGAGATCTGCTCTTGTGTCTCTCCTCGTCGTACCTCAGAGCAGCGTGCTGAGCCTCCCTCCTCATCCTCTCCACCCCCACTGGAGCAGCACCCCCTCCTCTCTGAGGGGGGCAGACAGGCAGACAGACATGAGCAGCTGAGATTTGTAGTTGATGGTCAGAAAAACATGTGATTTGAGGTGTTACCTGGCTCTGGGCACTAGGGGGAGGCGCTGTGACACCGTCAACCACACCCCTGCAGGACAGGCAGACAGGGACGGAGGGACAGACCGATGCAATGGGAGACAAATCAGAGTTGGTTGACAGACAGCATGTGTCAGCAATTATTTTATAAACCACACACCTGTTGTGTCTCCTCCCGTCTTCGGTCCTCGAGTTGGTTTTCACAGGAGAACCCTGAACACACAGGAAGGAAGTCACAGAGCTTTATGAAGAAAGAGGCGTGTGGAAATGTTCAGCGACTCATGTTTCTCTGGCAGAGAATCTATGAATGTCTTTGACTGCAGAGAATCACTGACGAGAAGAACTCAACCTTTGGGAAGCTGCGTGAGCTCCTACCTCTCTGGTGATGCGTCTCTCGATGTAGGCCATGAACTGAGAGCTCAGGCTGACGCTGTCTCTGCTGCTTACTCCTCGACTCCTCCCCTCCTCCTCCTCCTCTTCCTCCCCCACACAGCTGTCTATGAAGTCTATCTGCTCCGACTCCACATCTGGAGAAGACAGAGAGATCAAGACAAACAGACAGAATCTGTTTTAAAAAATCCTTCTAACTGTCTTTGAATAATGTAATTTTTATAGATGATCATCTTTTTTGAAACTCACGTTTGCCGTTAGCCAGCACAGGAGGTCCTCCTCCTCCTCCTCCTCCTCTGTGTCTCTGGTCTCTGCTGATCTCAGCCACTCTGAGTGGCAGCTCTGAAAGCTCCTCTGTGGGCTGGACAGAGACAGCAAGTGAGCTCACACACAGAAAGGAAGCAGAGGACAGGACAGGTGGAGTGTGTGTCTGACCTCGTTCCCTGACCACCTCTTGTCTCCGCTGTCAACACTGTTGAAGCCAGAGTCCAGAGCTCCGTATGATCGGCCGGGGTAAAGCTCATCAGCACTGAATCACACAGACCTTTAGTCAGACAGCACGACCACAGACCACTGGGCTTTTATTCTGAAGGTTAAAGTCAGTGGCAGACTGGGCTTTTATTCTGGAGGTGACGCCTTTTCTAGTCTTCCCAGATGGAAAAGATTAAAAAACATTCAGTTTACAACCGTTTCTAACAGAAACGCAGCAAATAATGAACTTGCCAGGAACTGAAGGTCAAAGGGCGTCTGTCGAAGTCTGGAAGGTCGGGGGTCGTCTTACTGGCCTCCAGGTTCAGATACTTAAATATGTGGACCTTTCCTTTAATACAAATCTACAAAAACACAGAAGCAAAACTTTTCTCATGAAAGTCAAACCGACGGCTCTGGTTGGACCCGAATGATGTCACCTCTGGTGCGTACCTGTGCAGGTGGGGTCTGCAGAGGGTTGTTGTCGAGGACGATGGTCTGTAGCTGCGTTAGCTGTCGGTAACAGACAGGGATGGTGGTCACTTTGTTACAGGAGAAGTCCAGACGAACTAGAGGGAGGTCTGCCAGCTCTAAACACAAGTACACAGGTATTTATATTACTGTGATCCTAGTACACACATATACATACACCCATGTACTGTGTGTGTACCTGGAGGCAGCCGGACCAGGTGGTTCCTCCTGATGTTCAGGTCTCGCAGAGCCTCCAGCTGACCCACCTGACATGGTAGAGTCCGGATCTCGTTACAGCTCACGTCCTGCAGGAGGAGGTCCACACACATCAATAAATGATCCAATCACAGATCAATGAGATCAAGACTCACATGATCAAACCCACCAGCTCTGTCAGCTGTCTCAGCTGGCCCACTTCTTCTGGAAGAGAAACCAGCTTGTTGTTGCAGGCAATCAAAACCTTCAGAGGAAGACTGCAGACAACCACAGGGAGGACAGACAGCTGGTTCCGACTGGAGGACAGACACAAAGGGGGAGGGGTGAAAATAAATATGAACTGGTTTTATTATTGCTTAAAGACGTCTGTGGCGCTCGGCCCCCTGTGTAATGATAGAGGGAACACTGATATGTATACTGTGGGCGGGAATAAGTTATGAGGAAAGGAGGCAAGTAAAGGGATCAAGGACACGGCAAACCAGGAACGGTAAGCTCAGCCTCCGTCCCTCAATCCTGTCTGATGATAAGCAGTTGTCTCAGATTGCTCGTGTGTGTGTGTGTGTGTGTTACCTGAGGTTCAGGTAGGTGAGGGCCTGCAGGTTGAGCAGACTGTCCGGTAGAGACCTCACACAGTTCTGGTAAAGATTCAGACTCTCCAGAGACACAAAGAGACAAACGTCCAGAGGAAGCTCCGAGAGGCGGTTACGAGACAAGTCTGGACATAAACAAACACACACGCATTATATTACACAACATGTAACAAACACTATGGTGCAGAGCAAACTGAATGTTCAGTTTAGTCTCCATGGTTACTAGGGCTGTCAAAATGATTGAATATTCGCTTAAAAAAACAACATGAATATATTTGAATATCTGGTTGCGCATTAGGGACGCCAATAACAGGACAAATGTATACAACGAGACATAACTAAAGTTAAACATATTTAACAACATCTTACCTACAAGAAAATAAGTAAATGAACTGCCTCCTCCTCCTAATGAAAGCAGTGCATGGAGCTGTTGTAGTTCTTTGTATTCACACAGTCAGTCAGGGTCCTTCCTATAGGCGAGCGTGTCCTCTAAGCATACGTCTTTCCCTCAATAACATTGATTAACGAAATAAAATGAAATAAAACCTTCATTCAAACAAATGAACATGGCGCCCCGGCGATATGTTGAAAATCAATTTCATAAGTGTTGGGGGGCAATGAGCACACTCAGATCAAGCTAACGTCAAGCTAAATGAGAAGGTCCAAATCTCTGGTGCAAAAGGACGAAAACAAAAAAAGGGGAGGAGAAGAAAGTATTTCCATCTCAGACGAGTCATTTCATGTCACACGTGGACGCTTTAGATTAACAGCCGGTGCCTTGTTAGCCAAACTGCGTTCAGCCTTAAGGAGCCGTGCAGCATCGTGATGGTGCCGTGAGGAGGAACGCCGTGAACCTCGACTCTTCAGGGCTCGACATGAAGACTTGTCCGGGACGCGCGTCTATTATACCGGTTGTATTTTACCAAGTCGCGTTAGCTAGCTAGCATTGTTCATGCGTGACGGTACCGGAGCGGCCAACTTTTCAAAAAGCCTTTAAGTGAGATTTTGTCGGGTGACCATAAGGTCAACGGGGGGGCGCTACGCTACGGGGGGGCTACCGTCGGGGAGCCAGAGGAGGAACCGACGCGGCTCGGAACAAAGTCAGATTTTTCTTCAGCGTGAGAAATTGGATGTGTGGCGTGAGTGCGTGTGAAAACATGCAGAAGCAAAACCAGTCAGCGTTGTACCTAGCAAGCAAGCCATCATTAGCATCATTTATATCGGTTTAATTTAGGTTCAAATCTTCTAAATTGTTACCTATATTGTTTAATGTTACAGCTCATCTTCATTGTCAAAGGGAAACGTGCCTAAATTAAAATGATTAAGCTATAGCCGGACTTTTGTGTGGCTGAGCCCATTGAAAAACGCTGTTTACACGGCCGATGACACGGCCGATGACACGACTGATGACACGACCGATGACACGACCGATGACACGACCGATGACACGACCGATGACACGACCGATGACACGACCGATGACACGACCGATGACACGACCGATGACACAACCTACGAGTTGTGTAGCTACAGTAACCAGCTAGCATCTGCTTTCCATTGACATTTATTTAAGTCCGCGTTTCCCCTTCGTTGTCTCTAGGAGTTTTTTCGCGGCAGACGGCAATTCTGCCCCGATGGAGACACGAGGCCACAGAGGACACAGAGCGCCCCCCAAAAAGCATTAAACTGAGGGTGTAGCAGTGTTCCTTCAGTGTTTTTGTCATGGAGCTGCAGACACGTGGCTTCATTTCCTCACGCACATGACAGATTGTTGAGATGTTTTGTCTTTATTTTGCGCAGCAAAGCGTAATAAATTGTGTCACACGGTAGATAAACAATATGCTGCAAACATTCATGTTATATATCTTTAGTTACAGCATAATGAGCATACGTCTAAGATGAAATGAATAATATTCCCCTAATTCCAACAAACTAATATATACACTGTAATTATACTGTAAACATAGTTTGAAGTTAAAAACTTAAAAAGATGTGGTTTGAAGCCATATTTAGAGTACTGTTTAAAAGTTAACACATTGTTCAATTTGAATAAGAAAAGTCCTCTTTTTTGTCGTCAATTGTTGCTTTAGCGATTAGCACCGGTATCTGGAAAAAAGAAAAGCGATACCCATCCCTACTGTTAAGATAACTACGAGCTGCTGATCTAACGTTACGTTGGTTTGCTTTTGTTTTAGAGGGTGCAGATTAATATTTCTAAGCTAAACTATATTGTCATTGCTGTAAATGCATCTGATGAAGAGCAGTGGCATCAAAAGACTTTTCAAAGCCTTCAGACCGGCCTCCTAAGACTTAATAGGGTTATCGTCAAGGGTTGATCAAAAAATGAATGAAAGGCATCAAGTCTCTGTGAGACCAGCGGCCTTAATAGGTCTTCATTCTTCTTTTACTTCCTTCAAGCAGAAATAAACCAAAGCACTATAAAACATTTTAAATAGGACTGCAGGTCTCGCCGGCTCAATGTGGATTAGTGTTGGTTTTCTGAGTGCTTTGAATCCTACCCACATGGTACATTTAGTGCTTTTGGACTTCAGACTGGGTTTCATTTAACTGGATTAACTGGATTCAGGCAGAGTATATCCTTAGAATGGTTTCTCTGCTAGATTACTATTGTATCCGCTGTAGGCTAACTAGACAGCTAGTTAGTACAGTGGTTGAAGGGCCAGCTTTGACTCGTACGGAGACTTGGAGGACAAAGGACCTTTCCTGTATTAACTACCACCCTCTGCACATGTCCAACACCTCGTCTCAAGGTGCCTCTGGATCTGCCAGTCAGCTTCTCACAAGACAGACTTTATCTCCTTGCTCTAAAATAACATTAACAAAAAACAAGTGTCTAAAATAGATGCTTTCTAAAGTGATTACTCTTTCTTAGAAGAAAAACAAACATTCATTAAAAACAACAACATTGATTAATCACCATTAATCAAGATTAATACATTTAAAAAAGTTATTTTTTTAACCTATGGACAGCCCTAAACCTTATTGTTTTAAATGTCGTGTGGGAAATTCCCTAGGATCAGCATCCAATGCAGCAAGGGTTCATAAAGGGCTCGAAAAGTCCGCCAGAGCCTCAAACCCTTGGAGCTGTGATAGTGGGACAGAACCAAACCATCACGGAGTCAGTGGGAGTCAGTGGGAGTCAGTGGGAGCGTAGGCAACCCAGTCTCACAGCAAAACGTGGAATAGCTGCTGCGGACCAATTGTCAGACAATAGAACAGACTAAAGAGCTGCCAAATGATCAAGCTCCTCCTCCTCTTAAGAAGCCAACCAATCAGAGCAGAGCACTCTGTCAACGAGCTGTCAATCCCCAGTATTGATCTATGATAAGACGCATGATCGGTTCTTCTGCCTCAAGTTTTACCTAAAGAAAGAATAACAAAGACGCAGAGTCACAAACTGTTCATTGGTATTCAATCTAAACTGACCAGAACGGGCAGAGAGACAGAGAAGGAGACAGGCAGGGAGACGGAGCAGAGAGACAGACAGAGAGAGCCAAAGGCGGAGACTCAGAAAGACAGACAGCGCGGGAGGCAGTCCAGAAATAAGCTGCTTTGCTCGGCTTGTTTTGTGTCGTCACGCCGGCCGTCAGCCTCGGATGGGCGGTGCGGCTCTCCTTGTCCAATCAGCCACCTCTCAATTAAACGAAAACAAAACGCCAGTTGTGTTCACCTTTTCACACCGACGTGTGAGACTCGGGGAGAGAATACAGCGCGGCACCCCCAAACCGGAAGGTCCAGTCTGTCCGATCCGAGTAGTAACTTTCATTGGACAACCCGCTTCAGACGGCTAACTGCTGTTAGCATGCTAGCTGGCTACATCCACTAACATCAACAAACCTCACAGGTGTACTGAAACAAGTGGTGGCCCGACATACTCCCCCTCTCCCGGGGTTCTCTCTCGCAATTCAGCCAAGGGACCAATTACACGGGCAATATACAGTTTAAACACGGTTTTTATTTGGCCCCGCTACATCTACCTAACTAACGTCACTAGCTAAACTAGCCCGGCGTTATTACTACCATAGTAATGTGGTTACCGTTTTACTCATAAAGTTACAGTGTGCCTCCTCTCGGCCCTGGAGTCCATTAAACTGACACTAAATACCTAACGTAGCGTTAACCCATCCCGGTCCTCTAGGGCCGGTCCCCGCTCCCCAGGCCTCTAACTCTGGTCGCCATTCCCCGGGACTCACTCACCGGCCCTGGTGGTGTCCGTCAGGTCGTGGTGGACGGCGATGCGGGGAAACTCCTTCAGCTTCCGGCTGCTGAGGTTCAGGCTCCCGGTGGCCGAGGCTTCGTCCAGAGCTCGGTCCAGGGCCCGGTTCCAGGGCACCGGACCCACCGTCCCGTTATGATCAATCCCGACTAAAATACTCCTGCTGCTGCCGCCTCCAACCGCGAAGTTGACTCCGACGTTGTCCATCGAGCCCAGCAACACTGATGCCGCCATTACACACTCCGGCTGGTTAGCTCTCAGTGCTAACAGCTAGCTCCCACCCTAAACTTCAGAGGGGAGCATGCGCAGTACGTCTAAACTGTCAAGGGGCGCATGCGCGGAGGGCGCTCCGACTGGACAACAGAAGCAATAGTTCTTGTACTACATTACTGCAGTACTGCGTGTACTACATGGCAATTAACACAACTCGTGTTGTTGTACATAAACTACAATTATACTGCTTGTACAGACTAACTTTGTTAACTGTACACATGACAATACATACATATCTTGAATCTTGTATAATGTTATATTATTTTATAAAATAATATAATATAACTTGCTAATTATTATATTTGTATTGTATTAATATTATACAATACTGCAGAAGCAATATTGCGTGTATTGTAGTAAATTACAATTATACTGATTGAACTATGATATACTGTAGTACAATAATATGATAGTAATTTTATATATAGTACATTTACCAACTGCATTCAACATAATACCAATACTTTGTGTACTATACTACTGACAGCACAGTAGCACACAAAGTACACACAGTGCTACAGTTCTAACATTATAATTAAAACATACATTACATTACATCACATGTCATTTAGCTGACGCTTTTATCCAAAGCGACTTACAATAAGAACATTTCAACCATAAGGTACAAACTCAGAAGAACAAGAAACAAGACAGTGAGATTTCCTCAAATAAGCCAAGTTACAACTTGCTGTAGATAAGAACCATTATAAGTCCAATGTAAGTGCTGCAGTTAGTTAGTGTGTTAGTGGAGGTAGAGTCTGAAGAGGTGTGTCTTTAGTCTGAAGATGTGAAGGCTCTCTGTGGTCCTGATGTCTTCAGAGACCTCCTTCCACCATTTAGGAGCAGGACAGGAAAGACTATAGACTATTAATTAACTAATACACACAATATTGTAGCCCGTCTCTCGCCCGATGTTAGCTGGGATTGACTCCAGCCTCTCTGTGAGCCTCTGTTCATAAGCGGCTGAGAAGATGACTAACATAATATTGTGTTGTTGTACATTCAGTCTTTGTACTGTAAGACATACTGTAGTATTGTAATACAGTATTACTCACCATAAATGAGTACAATTATACACTCTGTGTACCTTTACAAATAATGTATAAACAATACTACTTTGTGTACGATGTACTGGCAGTACAACAGGTCATACATTTGTATTGTAATATTGAACTTACAATATTACCCAACGAAAGTACGGACAATATTGTTGTACTACTGCACTCTGATAGTACATTTAAGCATTCTATATTATTAGTAATTATTACAGTAGTTCTTTTATACATCATCATGTAAAGTAAATTATTATATTAAAACATTATCAGGAATCAGGAAACATTTATTGCCAAAATATGTCAAACATACAATAAATTTGTCTTGGCGGTTGGTGCGCGACAGACAGCGTGACAATAGACAACAAGACAGCAGTGCACAAGTAATAAAATAAAGTAAAATGAAATGCTAATGCAATGGGTTAGTATAAAACAAGAGAATAAAGTTAAAAATTAAAAATATTTAAAAGGTTAAAAAATATTAAAAAATAAAGTGCACTAGCGAACAAGTGACAACGTGACGAGTGACATGTAACAGTTAAAGTGGCATGTGCAGTGTGGAGGGGAGTGACCGGTGGAGTGTTATAGTCAGTCAGTGGGGGACCGGCTCTGTTGATGAGCCCGACTGCCGACGGCAAGAAACTGTTGGTGTGGCGGGAGGTCTTAGTCCTGATGGACCTCAGCCTCCTGCCAGATGGAAGGGGCACAAACAGGTTTTGTCCGGGGTGAGAGGGGTCGGCTACCATCTTTTTAGCTGCTTCAGAGACCTGGAAGCGAACAAGTCCTGCAGGGACGTCAGATTGCAGCCGATCACCCTCTCTGCAGAGCGGAGGACACGCTGCAGCCTGCCCTTGTCCTTGGCTGTGGCTGCAGCGTACCAGACGCTGATGGAGGAGCAGAGGATGGACTCCATGATGGCCGTGTAGAAGTGGACCATCATCGTCTTTGGCAGGTTGGATTTCTTCAGCTGCCTCAGGAAGAACAACCTCTGCTGATCCTTCTTGGTGATGGAGCTGATGTTCAGCTCCCACTTGAGGTCCTGGGTGATGATGGAGCCCAGGAAACGGAAGGAATCCACAATAGTGACGGGGGAGTCACACAGGGTGATGGGGGAGGGTGGGGCTCTGTTCCTCCGGAAATCCACAACCATCTCCACTGTCTTTAGAGCGTTGAGCTCCAGGTTGTTCTGGCTGCACCACGACACCAGATGGTCAGACTCCACCTGTAGGCAGACTCGTCCCCACCAGAGATCAGTCCAATGAGGGTGGTGTCATCCGCAAACTTCAGGAGCTTGACGGACTGGTGACTGGAGGTGCAGCTGTTGGTGTACAGGGAGAAGAGCAGAGGGGAAAGAACGCAGCCTTGGGGGGAACCGGTGCTGATGGTCCGAGAGGCTGAGACATGTTTCCCCAGCTTCACGTGCTGCTTCCTGTCAGACAGGAAGTCTGTGATCCACTTGCAGGTGGAGTCGGGCGGTGCAGCTGGGAGAGTTTGTCCTGCAGCAGAGACGGGATGATGGTGTTGAAAGCAGAGCTTTCCAGATGCTGGAGGATGTAGTGGAGGACCATGTTGACAGCGTCGTCCACAGACCTGTTGGCTCTGTAGGCGAACTGCAGGGGGTCCAGGAGGGGGTTGGTGAGGGACTTCAGGTGGGTCAGGACTAGCCGTTCAAAAGACTCCATGACTACAGAGGTCAGGGCGACGGGCCTGTAGTCATTGAGTCCTGTGATCCTGGGCTTCTTGGGAACAGGGGTGATGGTGGAGGCCTTGAAGCAGGCTGGTACGTGGCAGGTCTCCAGGGAGGTGTTGAAGATGTCAGTGAACACCGGAGACAGCTGGTCAGCACAATGCTTCAGGGTGTGAGGGGAGACGGAGTCCGGACCGGCTGCCTTACGGGGTTTTTGTCTAATTCTAATTCTAATGATATAATATTATTATAATATAATATAATAATTATAATATAATATAATACTATATTATTATTATTATGAAATCGGAACAAAACAGCAATATTCTCCTGATTTTGCCTAATCTTTTAGCACCTTAAGTCATTGCAACTGACACGACAACTTCATCCCCCAGAATGCCCGGCGCTGTCGCATATAGACGCATGCGCGTCCGCGACAGTCTGTCCAAGGCCGGGTATCATGGCGACGTACGTGGACATCCTGAAGAGCGAGTTTCCAGAGATAGACACGGAGGTTTTCAACTACATCACGGGCAAGTATCGGGGGACAGAGCTGCTGTCTACGGGGACAGAGCCGTGGTGTGCCGGTCCAGCGGAGCCGTTAACCAGCCTGTTATTCGGCTAGCGCTAGCTCGCAGCTACAAAGCTAAGGAGCTAGCGTGGCTAATGCTAACCGGGACACCGGGTAGCACGGCGTGGCTCATTCCGGGTTCCTGGACCTGAAACCGGCCTAATTTGAGTGTATCGAACCCCCGAACACACACCGGGGTGATACCTTTATATTCCAGTTTTATCAGCAGTACTACACGAGAAAAAACGGTTTTATATGAGGCATTACGGCCATATTGTAGGAAAGAGTACATGAGGATCATAGGACAAAACTGTTGCAGGGAGTATTACTTCGCTAGTACAGGTGAAGTACACTAGTGTCGTAGGAAGTGCTACGAGAATGGTACAGAAGTTATTACAGCATTATTTAGGAAGTATTACAACAGTAATATGGGTAGTAGTACTAGTATTATAGTAAGTATTGCGTCAGGATTTTTGGATTTAGTACATCACTATTTTAGAAAGTATTTTAAGAAGTACTGCACAGTGGGTTCAGGTGTGGTAGGAGGTTTCTGCCGGTGTGAATGTGTCCTGTTTGTGTTTCAGGAGTGTTGGACAGCTGTGGAGGAGACTTTGAGGATGGGGACGAGGTGTACGAGGCCGTGGGAGGAGTCCTACAGGAGGTCTCTGCTGACAGTAAAAACGAAGACGACGTCAGAGAAATCTGTTTCCAGATGTTCAACACTCTGAAACTGTAAGTCAGTGAGAACGTTGCGTTTTTGTCTGTAATCTCACATTTCTAGGTTAATGCACATTCCCACTGGGTTGTCATGGAGATGACCGTGTCTTGTCATGGGGAGTAACCCCATTGTGTGCGTTGAACAGGAACAACCATCATGGCACTCAGAGGCAGGTGTTGCTGGACGCTCCAGTTCAGCTCTCTCAGATATCTGCAGAAAACGGTGAGAAACATAATTATTAGGGGTGTAACGATTCATCCACTGAATCGATTAATCGATTTATATTCCTGCGATCCAACTGAATCGATCTGTGCTCCGCAAATCGATTACAAATCGATTGAAATGGTACATAATCGATTTGTATCGTTACTTGGAAGCTGCACATTGGATTTAAGCACAAACGGTATGGATGTGCACTTTGGACACGTTAAACGTTACTGGATTCAGTCTGCCTGTCTGTGACGTCATCAGTACGCAGCGGCAGCCGCGCGAAACTCTGAACAACTACACACGGCGTGGAGGAGACGACTGCGAGCGAGACATTTACAAACCAACGTATCGATCCAGTGGAAACATTTTGGCTTTTGCAAACACGGAGGTGTTCTAAATAAGTCGCTCGCTGTTTGTAGAATATGTAGAAGACAAATAAAAAACCACGGAAACACGAGGAATCTTTCCGGCCGTCTACTACGGCACCGTGGGATTAAACAACGGCGACAGTCAGGACCTCCAGCAGCGTCACCGCTGCAGCAGCAGCAGCAGGTAACTCAGCTCTGCAGACGCCTCAGGCCTCGCCAGCAAACTCATCACAGTAACAAGTTCATCTGTGAAGACGTGCGGCCCTACGATGAGGTGTCTGTGAATTGATCCAAACATTGTTTAATTATTGTGTCATGTTTACATTGAAAATGGTTGCACAATAAAAGGTTAATACATTTGCCATCAATTGTCGTTTGCTTGTTTATAATATCCATAATTCATTTTAACCGGATTTCCTTAAAGGAAACAACAGGGATCTCAGAAACTTTGCCTGCACTGTGCAGTAAAGTCACTGAATCGAATCGTTCTAAATTGTCCATGAATCGAATCGGCAACCATGAATCTCGAATTGTTGTTAAAATGAATCGTTACACCCCTAATAATAATAATACATAAACTCACTCGGCTCATTTTAAACTTTTAACAACATTTCATGTAAACTGTAAAATATTTGCGTCAGTTTGTGCAGCAGAAGGCGGTCAAAGGAATCCGGGATGATTAAACGTGGGTCAGAACACAGTGAGTCCCCCTCGGGACAAGCAGGTGATTGGGGGACGTAAACATGTAAGTATCATTAAACTCATCATTTCATGTCTCTCTTCTAGACGGGGGGTCGCTCAGAAACTGGAAAAGTCGGCGGCACAGAAAAATAACTGAACATTATCGCCGCAAAGCGAAGGACGGCCTGAAGCCCCGCTGCTCCACTGTGAGCACCCGGCCCTCGCCTGAAGTCTCCTGTACTCTACGCCTCGCGTGAACTAGCCTGTACTAAACTACTCGACTGAACCCGCCTGTAGGATGACTAGTCGCCTGTACCCGCCTGTACTCAACAACTCGCCTGAAACCGCCTGTACTCATCTAGTCTCCTGTACTCAACTAGTCGCCTGAACCCGCCTGTACTCAACTAGTCGCCTGAACCCCATTTGTACTCAGTGTAGTTGCCTGTACTCAACTAGTCCCCTGTACTCAACTAGTCTCCTGACCTCGCGTGTACTCAACTACTCAACTGTAATCAACTACTCGCCTGAACCCGCCTGTACTCAACTAGTCACCTGTACTCAACTACTCGCCTGAACCCGCCTGTACTCAACTAGTCGCCTGTACTCAACTACTCGCCTGAACCCGCCTGTACTCAACTAGTCACCTGTACTCAACTACTCACCTGAACCCGCCTGTACTCAACTAGTCACCTGTACTCAACTAGTCACCTGAACCCACCTGTACTCAACTAGTCACCTGTACTCAACTACTCACCTGAACCCGCCTGTACTCAACTAGTCACCTGTACTCAACTACTCACCTGTACCCGCCTGTACTCAACTAGTCACCTGTACTCAACTGCTCACCTGTACTCAACTAGTCACCTGAACCCACCTGTACTCAACTAGTCACCTGAACCCACCTGTACTCAACTAGTCGCCTGAACCCGCCTGTACTCAACTAGTCACCTGTACTCAACTACTCACCTGAACCCGCCTGTACTCAACTAGTCACCTGTACTCAACTAGTCGCCTGAACCCGCCTGTACTCAACTAGTCACCTGTACTCAACTAGTCGCCTGAACTTGCCTGTGTTGTCTCTCTCAGAGTGCTGGAGGAGGCGTCGGCCAGTCAGGCCAGCAGTAAGAAGGACAACCGAGTCGACCAATCAGGGAAGAACCGCGGCTACGATATCCGCATCGAGAACTTTGATGTGTCCTTTGGAGAAAGGTGAGTTCATTAATGTTGCGTATGCGATTGACCTGAGATCAAACACCACCAGAAAAACACACCTCTCTGATTCAAGTCGGTACAGAGCTGAAATGTCACGTGACATCCAATCAATCATCACCCAGCACAATTAATGATCACATGATTACGTTTTTTTATTCGTTTTTTCCACAAGAATGTGAACAGGTCGTCATGTCTCCTCGACTCACCTGGCTTTAGTTCACTCGGCAGCTTCTTTTTTTTTGAGACCTGTTTATAAGTCTGTCATGTTACAAATGCAACAACACACACACACACACACACACACACACACACAGTCTACTGGCTACATGCATGATTGTCTTCAGAGACACACTAAGTATTCATGGCATAAGACCTGACCTCGCTACTCGTCTACACGTGTGCGGGCACCTCGATGCTGCTTTAATGAATATGAGTTTATGATGACCCTACCCCCCAGGTGTTTGCTTCAGGGGGCGGAGCTATCTCTGTCCACAGGCCGGCGCTACGGTCTGATTGGTCGTAACGGTCTTGGGAAGACAACGCTGCTGAAGATGCTGGCCAGTCGCAGCCTCCGGGTCCCCCCCCACATCTCCATCCTGCACGTGGAGCAGGAAGTGGCGGGCGACGAGACGCCGGCGCTGCAGAGCGTCCTGATGAGCGACGTGCTGAGAGAAGGGCTGCTGAGCGAGGAGAAGACGCTCAATGCTCGCATCGCCACCGGCACGTAAGAGATATATAAACATTACATCACAGAATCTTTAGTCCTGTCGCAGTTATTTATATATATAAATACATAAATTAGGGCTGTCAATAGATATAAAAAACAAAACATAATTAAAGTTTGCTTTTCTCTAAAGACTAAATCTTCTACACTAACGAGTAATCACTTTAGAAAGCGTCATCTTGGAGGTGGAACATGTGTCCTCGTGCACTTTGCTCTCAACTCTCCACCCTTTGACGTGTTGTCCCCACATTTAGCAGGACTAGATGTTGAGATGGAAGTAGCTTAGCATAGCAGCTAGAAACATGTTGGGCGCTATCAGTCCTAAAGTGGTCCGTTTGCACTCGTCCCCCTTCTGTTTGACACGTGGAGGAATTCTTCTGCTCAGTTCTTCTGTCACGTTTTGCTTCCAATGCAAAACGTTCTCCATCTTCACGTCTCGCTCTCTGCATCTCACTGACTGCAGCACACATATTGCATTAATCTCGTTCACAATAATCCCATAGATGAACACGTTTTGACAGCCCTGCTGTATATATATGTATTTGTATAATTAGAGAGAAAAACATTGTCAAAGCTTATGACTGTACTTTATTCATCGTTGAAGAGTTGTTGTTTCCTCCTCAGCAGCATGTTGGGCTAAGCGAGGGTTTGTCTTGGCTTCTGTTTGTTTCAGCGCCGATGGGCTGGAGAGCATCAGACTGACGGAGATCTATGCAAAGCTGGAGGAGATCGAGGCCGACAAAGCTCCAGCCCGGTAGCTATGCTAAGCCATGCTAAGCCATGCCATGTCATGCCAATGTCATGCCAATGTGTTTCCAACTGACGTCTCTCTCACCCAATCAGAGCCTCCATCATCCTGGCCGGTCTCGGATTCTCCCCCAAAATGCAACAGCAGACTACCAAGTGAGCTACTTCTAATGCTGCAGTACAGACGTCATGTGCTACTTGGGCTGTCACAATGTCACATTGTTGTTGTGCGATTATTGCACCAACATCTATTGCGATGTGCGATATTATTGCAATTTTCAGACCATTTTATGCCTCTGATAACTTAATGACAATATAATAGCATAGTAATAAAGTACGCTATTTCAAAGAACAACGTTTTATTTGTCAGAATAGTTAGACATTAGAAGCGGAATTCAAACAAAAAAAACTAATAAGTGCACGGGACACGGAGCGGGCGAAGCATCGGGCGAAGGAGCGAGCGAAGCATCGGGCGAAGCATCGGGCGAAGCATCGGGAAGGGCGACGCGCTTCGCGGCTGCAGGGAGAGACGGAGCGGCTTGGTGCCGCTAACAATCGGCCGGGCCGGGAGGAACGCAGGGCGGCGGTCTGGGGACGGCGTCCTCCCGCCCGAAGAGGCCAACGAGCAGTCCGGAGGAAGCGACAGTAGTTCAGGTTAAAGACGGGCGGACGGTTGTCGTTTGGGTGAGATGTTCGCTTAGTTAGCTTAGTTGGGTTCACTGCTTCTCTCTCGCTCTGTGGCGTGCTGCATAAGCCCCGCCCCCCTTTCCACATGGAAAAGGGACAGAGGATCAACTTAAATGTTGATGTTCATTTAGATGTAAAATGAATATCGCAGCACCAAAGATTATTGCACGCGATTTCAGAGCGTGTGCGATATGTCATTTTATTGCATGTTGCGACCGGCCTACGTACTACTACGTGTACTACTACATGTAGTACTTCTACTGTCGCTCCCTCGTTCGCCCTGCTGTTCTGAGTGTTGCCGCGGTAACGTGAGGGTCTGTCTGCAGGGAGTTCTCTGGAGGATGGAGGATGCGGCTGGCTTTGGCCAGAGCTCTGTTTGGCCGGTAAGGGGTGTGTGTGTGGGTGTGTGTGTGTGTGTGTCTGTGTGTGTTCATTCATCCTTACTCACCATCTATTGTCCATGTTCGTCCTCATCAGGCCGGACCTCCTGCTGCTGGATGGTGAGTCCGATCCTCCTGTTGACATTCACACTGTAGTCTTTGGTAGGAGTACTGCTAATAGTAGCAATGGGAGTACTAGCAGAAGGACAGGTAGTGATGGGAGGTTAGGGTTAGGGTTATGTATGACCTGTATAGAAGTTTAATGAGTACAAATGGTAGTATTGTTGGTAGTAGTCCAATGTACTGCGTGTGTGTTTCAGAGCCCACCAACATGTTGGATGTCAGAGCCATTCTGTGGTTGGAGAACTACCTGCAGGTCTGCTCCAGCAGCTACTTTAATGTTAGCGTTCCCCATTGAAAGCAGTGGGAATGCTTAGCCACGTGCTAAATGTGGATGAACGTCTCCTCCCACAGACGTGGCAGTCCACCATCTTGGTCGTATCCCACGACAGAAACTTCCTGAATGCTGTGGTAACGGACATAATCCACCTGCACTCCCAGAGGCTAGACAGTTACCGTGGCGACTACGAAAACTTCATCAAGACCAAAGAAGACCGACTGAAGAACCAGCAGAGAGAGTACGAGGCCCAGCTGCAGTACAGGCAGCATATACAGGTACTTCAATTCACTTTGTTTTGTAAAGCCCAAAATTGAAAATTACAAATGTGCCTCAGAGGGATTTACAGTCTGAACACGTACGACATCCTCTGTCCTGGAACCTTCACATCGGCTCCATCATGGGGACAAACGGGGGAGAAACCTCAGTGAGAGTCAGAGGATCCGTCTCCTGATGGACGGACTACAATGACGCCATGTGGACAGAATGAACAATGTAGAAGATGAACGACACATTCAATTCATACGACAGAGATGATTCAAATCATTGCGAGTAGTAAGCAGGACCACTGCAGGACCACCACCATCACATAGAACCACCATCACATAGAACCACCATCACATAGAACCACCATCACATAGAACCACCATCAGATAGAACCACCATCACATAGAACCACCATCACATAGAACCACCATCAGATAGAACCACCATCACATAGCACCACCATCACATAGAACCACCATCACATAGAACCACCATCACATAGAACCACCATCACATAGAACCACCATCACATAGAACCACCATCACATAGAACCACCATCAGATAGAACCACCATCACATAGAACCACCATCACATAGAACCACCATCAGATAGAACCACCATCACATAGAACCACCATCACATAGAACCACCATCACATAGAACCACCATCAGATAGAACCACCATCACATAGAACCACCATCACATAGAACCACCATCAGATAGAACCACCATCACATAGAACCACCATCCACAGAAGCCATGGGGAAGATTTTAGGAAAGGGCAATGTTGGTTTATGATGACAGTAATAGTAATATGATTAATATTACTATATATTAATATCTACGGAGACCTGCGAGGCGAGAAAGCACAACAAGCTCTGGGCAAGAAGCTGAATTAGTCATGTGCATTAATAAAACGTGAATTATTGTAGAACGAGAGCGTGAGAGGAGCTCGGTGTGTCCTAAGAATTCCCCCGGCAGTCTAAGCCTATAGCAGCTTAACTAAGGGCTGGTCCGGGCTAACCTGAGCCAGCCCTAACTATAGGCACAATCAAAGAGGAACGTTTTAAGTTTTACTTTAAAAGAGCTGAACGAATCTGCCCCCCGGACTGAAAGTGGAACCTGGTTCCACCAAAGAGGAGCTTGATAACTGAAGGCTCTGGCCCCCAGCCTACTTTTTAAAACCATAGGAACAACAAGTAACCAGCATCTATGGAGCGCAGCTGCCTTGTAGGACAATAAGATGTTACAAGCTCTTGAGATACGACGGTGCCTCACCAGAAATCCAGTCCAGAAGTAACAAACGTATTAAGTCATTTTTCTGCATCACTTTGAGACAAAGTTCCTGATTTTCACTACTACTGCAGTACAGGTAATATGTACAGGTACTACCAGCGGCGTATTTGTCTAATACATTCATGAGGTTTGGTGTGTTTTTCCCAGAATGCAATGTGCTTGTGTTCCAGGTGTTTATCGACAGATTCCGGTACAACGCTAATCGAGCAGCTCAGGTGCAGAGCAAGCTGAAGCTGCTGGAGAGGCTGTGAGTATTCACACCTGCTGGACGCCTGTCAACCGCTTCCTGTGGGGGGGTAGTCTGTCCGCTGCGAGTACTAGTACTCTTCCAGGTACTTGTACACACTGTGAATCCTACCTGAACACGTGGTTTCCTCTGCAGACCTGAGCTGAAGCCCCTTGAAAAAGAGACCGAGGTGACGTTAAGGTGAGCAGGGGAACTTCTGGAGGGTCCAGGCACCGAGGGTCTCTGGTTCTGCTCCGTCACCATGTGTTTCTTCCGCCAGGTTTCCGGATAACTTTGAGAAGTTGTCTCCTCCCATCCTGCAGCTGGATGAAGTGGAGTTCTACTACTCTCCCGACCGCCCGCTCTTCTCCGGCCTCAACGTGTCCGCTGACCTCGAGTCTCGCATCTGCATCGTACGTGTCACCAGCAGCTGTGTCACGTGACACCATTTCTAAACTTCATTGATCTGAGTAGGAGGAAGAGCTCAGTGGCTTTACTCTGTGCTCACTGTTCAGAGCTCTGTGCGTCTCTTGCGTTTGGTCCAGATAACACGGATGTTCTGACATGGACACAATGACTCTTTATTTTACCGGCAGGTCGGTGAAAACGGCGCCGGTAAAACAACCGTCCTCAAACTGCTGATGGGCGAGTTGACGCCGGTAGGCGGAGTCAGACAGTCTCACAGGTAAGACCACGGACCAGCTGCCTTCACTACGAACCAGGGAACGAAAGTTTATAGTTTGGTTCAGGGAACCTTTACTCAGGTTGGAGAACATATTACTTGTTTGTTGGTTCTTTTCAGTAACGATTAGTGTTTAGGTTACTGTCTACACGTGTTCCTTTTCCACTAACACATCCCGAAAAAGTGAGTAAAAGCTTCAACGAGCTGTTGACGTTTGTTCTGGTGGTTCTGGTTCCTTTCAGGAACCTGAAGATCGGATACTTCAGTCAGCATCATGTGGACCAACTGGACCTCAACGTCTGTTCTGTGGAGCTGCTGCTCAACCGGTTCCCTGGTAACCACGACAACCACACCCACACAACGCCGAGGAGCGACCACGCAGCGTTGTGATTGGCCGATTGTCTTTGTTTCTCAGGTCGGACGGAGGAGGAGTACCGGCACCAGCTGGGCGGGTACGGGATCACCGGGGAGCTCTCCACCAGGCCGGTGGCCAGTCTGTCAGGAGGGCAGAAGAGCCGGGTGGCCTTCGCGCAGATGACCATGCCATGGTAACCGAACGCTCAGCCTGTAGCTGCTAGTGGTGATGACCACCATGATGACGACGCTGTTGCCTCTTTCCTTCAGTCCAAACTTCTACATCCTAGATGAGCCGACCAATCACCTGGACATGGAGACCATCGAGGCTCTGGCCAAAGCGCTCAACAAGTTCAGAGTAAGTGTGAGACGTCGAACATCACGATGACATAAAGACGAGAAGCAAAGTATCGTCTCCAGAGTCGCTAAAAGTCCTGTGTGACCTCTTTTGTCTTTTTGGACTATTTTGTGAACCATTGACTCTCTGTTGATGTTTTGCTCACAGCTGCATCCTGAGGGCTCCTGCACGAAACCAGGATAAGGATTAAGTCGGGATATTCTCGTTATCCTGGATGAATTTAGCTTTGATTAAGCCCAGTAACCATGGCGATGTATTCTTTGCAGCTAGCCTGCTCCAGACCAGGCTAACAGATTTATTTCCATTAACATGCATTACTTGTAACATAATAATACATTTTATTTATATAGCGCTTTACATGGTAGGCTCATTAGCACATAAAACAAGCATATTAAAACAGTCTACAACTTTCCTGTAAGTAGATATTTTTAGACCCTTCGTCATTCCGTCGGTCAGCGATTGTCTAACAGGCTTTTCTCTGTTTAATTACAGCTGCGTTTTTCCCTTTTTGCATATTAGAGGCTTCACCTCCTCAGAAGTTTCCATAATTAGTTGCTGCTCAGCGGGTTAAAAATATGCTGCGTGCGTCTTCTCCATCTGTGCATCAGTAGATGTGTGATGGACACCGTGGTCTACTTAAGCGTGAACGTGCACTCGATAGACATTGACTATCAAATCTGCAGCAGGACTCGTTCAGCTCGTCTGCAGGCGGAGGTCATTCATGGAGGTCTGGCTTGTAGTTGGTGAGGTGTTTGTCTCCAGACCGAAGCAGAGTCACTTGCTGAGAACTGGTGTTGGAGTTTCTCAGAGTCGTTTAGCGTCTCACCGTCTTGCTGAACTTGTTTTGACTCTGTGTACAAGTCTTTGTCCCCGCTCCTAACGGCCTGGTCCTTCTGCAGGCGTAGTGTTCTGAGGCCCGCTGTGAAGCAGGTTTGTGGTTGTAACTCACCCTGGTGCATGATGGTACACAGCTGTCCTCACAGAAGCCTCTGTGAACTCATCCACACTGTCAGTAGCCTCCTCCTCATCCCGGCTCGGCAAACGTGCAACCCATTAAGATCACACTAAGTCGAGCTGCGCTTTTCACTACTGGATTTCTTTATTCTGCTTGAGTGTCTCACCCTGGTGGATGTGATTTGTCCAGGGCGGCGTGGTGCTGGTGTCCCATGACGAGCGTCTTATCCGCTTGGTGTGTAAGGAGCTCTGGGTGTGTGAACACGGGAAAGTGGGACGCATCGACGGCGGCTTCGACGAGTATCGAGACATCCTGCACGAGCAGTTCAGAAAGGAGGGTTACCTGTGAGGCCACGCCCACCACAGACAGACCACGCCCACAAACAACACAACAGCCAATGAGCTGTCGGAGCAGACTGGAGGACGTCTCTGAACTGATGATGATGATCTGTTGCCAGCTGATTGGTCGTTCCGGTTTACCCTGTGAGGTCACAGTGAACCCTGGAGAAGGAGCCATCACCACACATTTGGAGTTTATTTAACAGTATATTGAGTTAAACCTGCTTTTTTTAAATCAATTTTAAAGGATCCATAGCTATATTTCCACTCAGAGACTCAAACTTAATAAAACCATCCGATCATTTGTTTGCTTGCTTTTGTGGCTCTTTTAACGGTGACAATCTGATAATCTTAACATGTCTTCATTACTCGAGTGAGCCATAAATCAAGATGCGCCTTTTCACTTCTGCTGGATTTCCTTATTCTACTTGGTGTGTTGATCTGTAGCTGGTACCGCCTTGCCCTCCATCTGCATCCCCCAGGACACGGACCCAGCAGGACCAGAATTACCCGAGGCGTCCCAGTTTGAAGGGGTCTCACAGCAGGACCTGGATTAACTCCAGGGTCCCGTTCTGAGGGGGGCACACCGTAGCAGGTCTGGTTACTTGGGTCTGATTGGGCCTGGGTTTGGCTGGAGATTGGACCTTCGGCATAACAGCTTTTGAGTTCTGGTTCTGCATATTTATGTAGTGTACAGCAGGGAGCAGAACAGTCCCTGGTTTACATAAAGACAGACTTTTAGAAGTTATTATTGTTAGAATTATTTTATTTCACGCTCTTGTCGAAAAAAGCTGCAACACGAATTCGTTATGGGTTTTATTCTGAAAAATCAAAATTCCAGGCCGGAAACTCTACTTGTTGTTTACGATCCAAATCTGGTTAAACAGGTGAAAGTGACGTCTGCTGTCTTCCAAAGCATTTTTTAACATTCGCCACGATTACACGCCCCCCCTGGTACATGCCCCGCCCCCTACGCCACATCAGGGTCAAAAGTCAATGAGAAAAAAACCGATCGGAATGCGAAAAAACGATTTGAAAGTGAAAATAAACGTTTAGAATCTGAAAATATAAGATTTTAATCTTAACATGCCAAATATGCAACCGAAAATTATAATACAGTGATTATCAAAAATATATAAAGTGAAGATTGAAGAAAATATATTTTATTCAAAAAAATATAGAGCTGAGTCAAAACTATACTCATCCCGAGAATATTTTTCGGCCACTTATTTCTATTTTCAATACACTGTATTTTTCAACGTTCAACAACAAAACTTGTTTTTCAAATGAACAAAACTTGCAACTAGCAAACCTGGATTTGACGCCATACTTATCAAACATAAAGAATCAATCTGATCTATATCTTTACTTAAGGTCCAATCAGACTCGTCGATCAGCTTTTCTCTTGACATCAGATATTCGGCACTAAGCGCGTGAGCTGCATTGATTGCTATTTAAATCCACTGTGACGACCCCGAAAGCTCTTATCACGTGACCCGGAAGCCGAGACCTCCAGAAGGTTCGGTCAGGAGCCGAACCTTTAAATGACCCTTTTCTGAAGGAAGTCTTGCGTCAACGTCTCCGGAACAACTCGCGGGAGCCGCTTTTAATAAACACGTATGTGTGATGATCAATATCCGTCTAAACAATAAAAGTAGAAACAGTAAAACTAAAGTGGTTTTAAAGGGTTTATTGGCGCGTGGTAATAAGCGCGTGTATATGATCATTGTCTCTGCGCCGTGTAGCATCGTGTCAGGATGGCCGAGCGGTCTAAGGCGCTGCGTTCAGGTCGCAGTCTCCCCTGGAGGCGTGGGTTCGAATCCCACTTCTGACATAAACTTTTTGAGCCTTTTTATAAAACCAAGAACATTATATAAGGTTTCTTTCTGCCCCCCTCAGAGTCCTGCAGGCAAACAAGTCCTGAAGGGACGGCAGATTGCAGCCAGTTCCCCTCTGCAGAGCCAGATAGCAGATACGACAGCGTTGTATAATAACAATAGTGATGATAATAACATTAATACAAAAAATATGTTGATAACCTGTGAATCTTTGGTTTAGGTTTTAGGTTGGTGAAAATATATTTATGACTATGATTGGATCATTTAGTCCTCATTGCGTCATCATATAAGGGACGGTCCTGGTGATGGATCGCTGGTCTAAGTGAGATGTGTCCTGCAGGTCATGGCGGTCTCCGAGGTGCGGCCCGGTTTGTTCCTCAGTGGTTTGGACTCGGCTCTGAAGCTCAGTGTTCTGACCAGCAGGAACATCTTGCTCATCGTCAACGCCAGTGGTCTGGAGGACGTCCCCTACCCTGAGCGGGAGGGCATGGGGATCCTACAGGTACTGATCCAGGATCGACCCGACGAACCTCTCAGCCGCTACTTTGACCTGGTCGCCCAACGGATTCATCAGAACCGGACGGGAGGGACTCTGGTCCACTGCAGCGCCGGCCGGAGCCGTTCGCCGACTCTGATCATGGCCTACCTGATGAGGTAGATACTGAGTACACCTCAGTATACTTTAGTATCTACCATGTGTACTTCATAGTCAAAGTGTCCCTGAGCAGGACACCCAACCCCTAATTGCTCCATGGGTTCTAACCATGGAGCAATTAGGGGTTGGGGGTTTAACCGCTTTAACCATGGGTTAAAATGCAATGTAAGTCGCTCCGGATAAAAGCGTCAGCTAAATGACCGGTAATGTAATGTTAGATACTGACTGTGATGTCACAGCACACCTTACTGGGGCTCTGCTCTGCAGGTTTGAAGGTCTTAACCTCCGGAGGGCTCACGAGCTGGTTCTAGACCAGCGTCCCTTCATCCGACCCAACGGCGGGTTCTGGAGGCAGCTAATGGACTACGAGAAGAAGTTGCTCGGCAGGAACACGGTGAGGATGACGAAGACACCCAGCGGGGTCCTGCCTGAGGCGCTGCAGGACTCTGAGGACTCAAACTCACAACCAGAATACTGCATCAACATCTGAGAGGAGCATATCGGTTCTTTATTATTAAAGCTCTTGGCTCAGCGTCATCAATTCCGCTCTGTGGCTCACTAGTTCCTACTGAAGACATTGATGTTAATGTTACGATGAGAAACTAATTGGTCTGGAAGCAGAACCAGGACCAGGAAAGGTTTTCTGAAGGGACTCTGGTGAGAAGCGACAGACCGCTTTAGTCCACAGGGGGGCGCCACAATCAGCATCACTTAAAGATCAGCAAGGCAAAAAAAAGGCAACTTTATTTGTGAAAAAACATTTCACATTTAAACAACAAAGCCACGTGCCTCACATCCAGCCCGGGTCGCTTTGGAATGACATTAAACGCGTCCGTTAGTAAGCGAGGAACGCTAATTAGCATTGCCAATAGTTTGGGTCATCATCCGCGTTAAGACGACGCAGACGTGACGTCATTTGTTTTTTAATCAATGGCGCGCGATCTCCTCCCTGATCGAGATTGATGACTATTAGAAGTTTGTTTTTCTCAGACTAAATCTTATAAATGAACAGAATTTAGACACTTGCAGGTGGAACACGTTGAACTACGACTCTTCCTGTCGTCCTCGTTCACTTTGCTCTCATCTCTCCATCATTGGACGTGTTTGAAGTGCCAACAATGTCCCACATTTAGCCAACGTTTTCAAACCACTGTCGTTTAGGGACACCCTGGTGGTCCTCTGCAGACTGTGTGTGTACTGATGAACCACTAAAACTGGATCCAGAACCAGAAGGACCCTTTAGAACAAACACACTATGGCAGCAGAGTAAAAAATAAAAAAAGACAAATGAAGTTTATTGCGACATCAGAAAGACAATGACATGTGTGACGTCATTAGATAAGATGATCAGTCTGTCTGGTCAGTGAAGGACTCTGGGTAATATAAAGAGGGGTTGCTGGTCTCAGTACTGGAAGCTCCTTTTGGTCTGGATGTCATCCAGGATCTGCTGCAGCTCCTCGTCTTCAAAGCGACCCTCCACACTGAAAACACAGGGGAGGAAAGGGGTTGTTGGTATTTGCCCCAGTTCAGATCTGGTTCCGGTCCCAATCGGATCGGACTCACCTGGGGATCAGGGCTTTTGCCTCTTCGGCTGCTTCCGGACACAGATTGGCCAAACTGGCCAACTCAAACTTGTGTAGCTTCTTCTGCAGCAGAAGACTGAAACGGAGAGGTGGGGGTGATCAGAACCCAGTCAGAACCACATCAAAACCGTAGATAGCAGTGCAGGGCTCACCTGCGCACGGCGGTGATGGTCTCCCGGTTCTTGAAGCGGCTGAACCGGGCCGTGTAGTTGAGCGTCTTCATGAAGACCTCGGAGAGCTCCTGCTCGTCCTCGGCGCTCTCGTTCTGCTGCTTCCGGTGTTCCAGCAGCATGTGGACCTCTGAGTTCAGCAGGGTCTCTGAGCTCTCGAACTCTGGGGGGCAATCAGAGGGCAGCACGAGTTACATTGGGAGTATTAATGCCACTGTACTGTACAACTACTCTAGTCGGGCATTTGACATACCTTTATATTAGCTAATACAAATATATACACGTACATACAGACACGTGTACATTAAGTATACATATTTATAGATGCATATGTCAGAGACCTTTAGGAAACAGCAGCTGCGACGCGTCTTCTTCGACGTCTCCAACATGAGCAGAAGCAGTGCTTCCTCCCGCCGCCATGACACACGACGACACAACAGCTACCAGCTAGCGGCTAACAGCTAACAGCTAACTGTGAGCGTCATCTGAGGGGACAAACAGCGGCGGAGAGGAGCGCCGGCAGCCGCTACCAGAGGCGTTAAACGGACTGTCGGAGATCTCCGACGGGGATCGGGGGGACTCTGCGGATCAGTTGAATCACGGAACAGCGTTCAGTTTACAGACTGCGGCTACGGGAAAACAAAGGCAAACACTTCCGGCTGTGACAACTATCACTTCCGCTTAATGGTTGCCTTCCTTCAAAGTAAAAGCAGCAGTCCACAGTGCATTCTGGCGGGACCCCGGTCCGACATTTTTGTTTTCTTTATATTTTCTTTGTATTGGTTCTGATATTTATATATATATATATATATATATATATATATATATATATATATACACACACATATATACATATATATATATATCGTATATGATATTGCTATTCATTATTTTACAGTGCTCTACTTTTCATGCTGTCTTTGTTGTTTGACTGAATATATTTAGCGTTATGTTTTATTCTTAAAAGTGAAGGATGTTTTTGAAATAAACATAACAGAATATCTAACCAAAGTAAAATGAAAAAGACTGCGTTGGCCGGGAATCGAACCCGGGTCAACTGCTTGGAAGGCAGCTATGCTCACCACTATACCACCAACGCTGATGTTGAAATCTAAATAACAATTCAGTATACAAAAACATTTACTATAGGTCAGTAATATGGGTTAGTTTAAAAATAACGGAATAAAAGTTAAAGTTAAAAATGTTTAAAAATAAAAAATGAAGTGCACCAGCGAACAGAAAGTGACAAGTGAAAGTGACATGTGCAGTATGATGGGGGGAGTCAGTCAGTGGGGAACCGGCTCTGTTGATGAGGCCGACTGCCGACGGGAAGAAACTGTTGGTGTGGCGGGAGGTCTTAGTCCTGATGGACCTCAGCCTCCTGCCAGACGGAACGGGCACAAACAGGTTTTGTCCGGGGTGGGAGGGGTCGGCTACCATCTTTTTAGCTGCTTCAGGGTCCTTGTAAGAATACGTGTTCAAGAATTGGAGCCTGGTCGGGGTTATCAAAAATTCAGCCGAACGACTTCTCTCGTTCTGGGAGATTTATTTGTCAGATCACAGGTCAAGTATCAGCGCTGCGTTTGCAAAGGCAGGAGCAGTTCAGGCAGCACACAGGCCGGAAGAACAACTAACATCAGCAAGAACATCATGTTTTATAACCCTTGAAAGACAGAGAAGGAAAGATTTCTATTGGCCCTAAACTGGCGTAGAGGAGGACCTTCCACCTCCCGCATCTAAGATCCGGTCACTTCCAATGTCCAGACTCCTGACTTAACGTAAACATCAGCGAACACAGTGTGTATGTTGAATAGTGTTGGTGTGTCTCTAACCCCCCTTAGGCTGGTAAATCTGCTAGTTGACCCGCAGACCTTACATTCCTCAGCCAGGACAGAAACTGACTCCCCATCATCATGATTATCATCCTGGAAGCGAACAAGTCCTGCAGGGACGGCAGATTGCAGCCGATCAGCCTCTCTGCAGAGCGGAGGACACGCTGCAGCCTGCCCTTGTCCTTGGCTGTGGCTGCAGCGTACCAGACGGTGATGGAGGAGCAGAGGATGGACTCCATGATGGCCGTGTAGAAGTGGACCATCATCGTCTTTGGCAGGTTGGATTTCTTCAGCTGCCTCAGGAAGAACAACCTCTGCTGAGCCTTCTTGGTGATGGAGCTGATGTTCAGCTCCCACTTGAGGTCCTGGGTGATGATGGAGCCCTAAACAACAAAAAGCGAAGCGCACCGTGGCAGCCGCCGTCGGTGCCATGTTTACATGTTTATATCAGCCAGATGTGCGGCTTTACATTCTCCTATGTGCTGATTTACTGATTAGCCTTGTTTCACATGCTAGCTAACGTTAGCTAAAATGAGCTCGTATTCGCTTAAACTAAGGTTAGATTTTTGTAGTATGCATTTCGGGACTACAAACTCAAAGATGTATGTGCGAGTTCAGGTACTTGTTAGTAACACTGCTGGGGAAGCTTTTATATGTTTAAATGCGTCCACATGGTTTTAGTTGCATGTATGCGTGCTCCTGTTGTTATAGCAAACTCATACCACAGGATAGTCTCTCCCAGTTAGCCTACTGCCTACTACCTATCTTGAAATATGTAGGCCATGATGGGGTGAGATGTAGCCTAGGTGGTAGTAGACTTCACATATTCACAAGGCTGTGATTGGTCCGCTAACTACGTTCTTTACGGAGTCTCACATTCCCGCTTTCATAGCCCGATACGGCCATTATTAAAACGTCACTCCTTGTAAAATGACTTCCTGGGATACTGTCCTGATCACAGGAAACCACGTCCCAGTTCAAAAGGTCACAGACCTTCTGTCCACTCACTTTGGAATTTTTCCGACAAGAAATGATGAGAGAAAGAAAATTGTTTGCTAAGGGACAGACAGCGGATTGTTGTATTTGTGAGTACAGTGTCCACTGTTCTCGAATCTAAGGTGACGGTGGAGGGCAGCCTTCATGTTGTAGTCTCGTATTTTTTAAGCTTTTAGCAGTTTTTAGCTCTCAGTTCTCTGGTTACCAGGGAATAACTTTTGAACACCGTACCACTTAGCTTAGAAGAGTCTTCAATGCTGCCCGGTTTGCTCCACAGCGGCCGGTCTTCTCATACCCGGCTGCCAGCACGAGCCCACCGTTCACCCTGCCGTGATGCTTCCGTCCGGTTAGCAGACCTGGGTTGGTCTCTGCTAGCCAGGTTGACCTCCATTCTCTGGTCCAGAAGGTTGTCAGGCTAACAAGCAGGTAGCCCTCCAAACCGCAACGCAATGTCGCTGCACAACTCAAAGCCCACTACATCTCCAAAGATCTGGTCCAGCCATTTCAAACCGGTTGATTTTATTACATCTTAAACAAATGATATTACATTAACTCTGATTCATTGAGATGAGCATAGCACCTCAAATAAACTGTTGACTTCTTTGTTTGTGATGCAGAAAAGAGCGGAAAGCTGACTACTTTGTAGCCCCGTAATGCTACCTGTGCTTCTTTGTGCTGCCCGAGGCCCCGTAATGCTACCTGTGCTTCTTTGTGCTGCCCGAGGCCCCGTAATGCTACCTGTGCTTCTTTGTGCTGCCCGAGGCCCCGTAATGCTACCTGTGCTTCTTTGTGCTGCCCGAGGCCCCTTAATGCTACCTGTGCTTCTTTGTGCTGCCCGAGGCCCCGTAATGCTACCTGTGCTTCTTTGTGCTGCCCGAGGCCCCTTAATGCGAGCGGGGACAATGGTGATTTAAACACAACGCACAGCTTACTGGCCAACCTTACCTAACGTTGTACACATTACCGTCAGAGGTCATCTGAAGGTCACAGCTCTGCATATTGTCCTCGTTGTGGTGGACATGATGATGGAGTATGCCATGTTTACAGTATTGTTGGACAGTAGTGAGTCCTGGAGGAGCTCCACCAACACCAGAACAAACCCCGGAGGATTCTGCGGACACTGAAGGCTCCGAGCGGCTTCACTAATGAGCCAATTAGCAACCGCGCCCTGCGTCATGGGAGGGACGTGCTACTGTTTGGCCACAAGATCTCAAGACAACAAAGTGAGAATATGAACTTTGTGTTATTGATGGAGACGTAAAGAAATAAAAAGAATACTCTAATATGAAATAAGGAAATAAAAAGATTTTAAACGATTGAATCTGATTACTGAATTCACCTCTTCTTAAGAAACCTACTCTTGCTCCACGTGTTGGATACCTACAGACCTCAGGAATCAGGAATCAGGACATTTATTGCCAAAATATGTCAAACATACAATGAATTTGTCTTGACGGTTGGTGGTGACAGTAGACAGTGTGACAATAGACAACAAGACAGCAGTGCACAAGTAAAAAAATAAAATGCTAATGCAATGGGTTAGTAGAATAAGGCTATGGGTTGGTATAAAACAAGGGAATAAAGTTAGAGTTAAACATTTAAAATATTAAAAAAGTTAAAGAATATTAAGCATAAAGGGCACTGTGAACAAGTGACAAAGTGACAAGTGATAAATGACAGTAAAGTGACATGTGCAGTGTGAAGGGGAGTGACCGGTGGGATGTCAGAGTCAGTCAGTGGGGGTCCGGCTCTGTTGATGAGCCCGACTGCTGTTGGTGTGGTGGGAGGTCTTAGTCCTGATGGACCTCAGCCTCCTGCAGATGGAAGGGGCACAGACAGGTTTTGTCCTCGATGATCCCTGACAAATCCGTCGCAAATCAATTATGTGACTTTCTACAAAACAATGCTTTGTTGGAGGATTTCCAGTCAGGATTTCGAGTACAGTACAGAAACAGCACTGGTGAAAAGTACGAATGATCTTCTACTTGCATCGGACCAAGGACTCATCTCTGTTCTTGTCTTGCTGGACCTCAGTGCCGCATTTGATACCATAGACCATTGTATCCTGTTGCAGAGACTAGAACATTTAATTGGACCGATTTTATTTACCCTCTACATGCTTCCTTTGGGCGATCTTATCAGGAAACACTGCGTAAACTTCCATTGTTATGCAGACGATACTCAACTGATCAAACCAGAAGAGACGGACCAGCTTGTTAGATTTCAAGAATGTCTTGAATGACATCAAAACATGGATGAGCTGCAACTTCCTCATGCTAAAAACCGAAGTTATCCTGATAGGCCCGGAGCGCCTTCAAGGTCAGCTGTCACAGTTTCTCTTGATGGAGTTGCTCTGGTACCCAGCAGCATTGTCAAGAATCTTGGAGTTCTCTTGGACCAGGATATGACCTTCAACTCGCATATAAAGAAGACTTCAAGGACTGCCTATTTTCATCTACATAATATATAGAATACCAGGAACTTCCTGTCTCAAAGTGATGCAGAAAAACTAGTTCATGCGTTTGTTACTTCTAGACTGGGCTACTGTAATTCAATCAGGAGAGACTTGTTCTGCAAGATCAACCCTTTTATTACATACAGTAGGTAACAGGAATTAGTGGTCTTTGGCGATTGGACTCGGCCCAGATACTCAGGGGTCGGGATGCAGAGTTCTGTTCTGTATGCAGTTTATGTCTAACAAGAACTAAGAAAAGGGATCACATCACTCCTGTATTAACTTCTCTGCACTGGCTCCCTGTTAAATCAAGAATAGATTTTAAGGTCCTTCTCCTCACCTACAAGGCACTTGCTGGTGAGGCACCGTCGTATATTAAAGAGCTTGTAACACCGTATTGCCCTACAAGGCAGCTGCGCTCCATAGATGCTGGTTACTTGTTGTTCCTATGGTTTTAAAAAGTAGGCTGGGGGCCAGAGCCTTCAGTTATCAAGCTCCTCTTTGGTGGAACCAGGTTCCACTTTCAGTCCGGGGGGCAGATTCGGTCAGCTCTTTTAAAGTAAAGCTGAAATGTTCCTCTTTGATTGTGCCTGTAGTTAGGGTATACGATCTAAACTCTAAACAGTTTGAGTCCATGTGGGTTTCCAGTTGGTGCGTATCCAGTGAGGAGATCCGCATGTGGATGCCGTGGAGGTCACGGTGGTTTGGGAGGGGGGGAGTAGTTAGTTGTTGATGATCTCATTTTTTGCTTTGAAGAACCACATGAACTGAGCGGTTGAGGAGTTGATTTGTTGAGAAGAGGACCTTTGGGTTTGGTGGAACCGGAGTTGTTAAATGTTCTGTTTTTTCTCTCTGCTGCTGTACGTTGTTGTTCAGCGTGCATCAGATGGCACTTTGCTTCCCCTTTGTAGCAGAGCCTTTGTGGTTACACACTCAGACTTCACCTCACTCGGCCTCGCCAAACCAAAAAAGGTTTGTGCCGAGGGTCCGAGACATCAAGAGAAAGGAAGTAACTCAGACAGGTGGCCTCCTTCTGCGAGGAGATGAAGGATCTACATCCTATACAGGAGTGATGGTGCTGGAGGGGTCAGGATGGTTGAACTGTCTGTACCCACTCGGCTGCTAGTTGAAGCAACGCACAATGATCTCACTTACACCAACCAAGAGAGAGCTGCCACCTGCTCCTGAAATGACAAATAGCAGCAACACGTAACAACTTACATCCAGCTGTGCTTCTCACAAGAGACAAATACAAACATATTGCGACAGTTCACATTTGTTTTGTTGTCAATCAAAGTCTTGAACACAAGTGCTCTTATTTATTCATTATTTATTAATATCCACATACAATTGAAATCAGTAACCCGTTTTCTTCTGTGTTGGTGCAGAAGTGAAACGTTGACTCATTAGTCATGAACGAGGCAGCAGGTCGTGTGATGATGAGTTGGGGGCGTTTACCCTCCTGAGGAGGTTAAGAGAGGCGAAGAGGCTCAACGGGCTCAATGTGTTCAGCCACGTCTCTCCTCCAGTATTAAGTGCACGATGCTTCTAATTCTCTGTTTGCTTATTGAATAATGGTTGATTTCTTTTATCTGCACACAAAGCCTCTAATAACTGTGACAGAGCTCGAGTGCTTGATGATGACGAACTCCACGCAGGTTTCATATTTCACATTAAGTGCCTACTTTGACACTGGTGTTCTCCGATATTTCTACTTTTTCATCATCCTGTCTTTATATGTGTTAATAGTTTGTTCCAATGTGCTGCTCATTGTGGTTATCTGCATGAACAGAAGCTTACATGAACCCATGTACCTTTTCCTCTGCAGCCTGTTTGTAAATGAGCTGTTTGGTAGTACAGGCTTGTTTCCATTCCTTCTGGTTCAGATCCTCTCGGACATTCACACTGTTTCTGCTCCGCTTTGCTTCCTGCAGATCTTCTGTATCTATTCCTACGTGTGTGTAGAGTTCTTGAACTTATCCGTCATGTCCTATGACAGATATCTTGCTATCTGTTATCCTCTGCACTATCAGGCGCGTATGACCCCTCAGAAGGTCTCCGTGCTGATTGCCCTTACCTGGTTATTGCCCGTCCTTGCGATCCTGGTCCTGATCTCACTGAGTGCCCCTCTGAGGCTGTGTGACAGCGTCATAGACAGAGTTTACTGTGGAAACTACGCAGTTGTGAAACTGGCGTGTTCTGACACCAGAGTGAACAACATCTACGGGCTCCTGTACACCGTCGTCTCCCTCATCCTCCCGCTTGTTCTCATCCTCTTCTCCTACATGAGGATCCTGAAGGTTTGTTTCTCTGGTTGCAAACAGACCCGGCAGAAAGCCGTCGGCACCTGCTCTCCTCACCTCGCTTCCCTGCTCAACTTCTGCTTCGGCTGCTGCTTCCAGGTGCTGCTGAGCAGGTTTGAGGGCCGCGCCGTGCCCCCCGCGGGGGCTATTGTGCTGTCGTTGTACTTCCTGACCTGTCAGCCTCTCTTCACGCCGCTGCTGTACGGCCTGAACGTGTCCCGGATGCGCCTCGCGTGTCGGCGCCTGCTGCTCGGGGAGACGCATGTTGGTTAGATTCACCGTCGCAGGCAGGTTGTGACTGATCAGCGTTTAACTTTAATCTCTGAGTGTTAAAGACAAATAAGAGTCCTTTCACTTTTTAAATGTAGCTGTTGTTTGTTTAATGTTCTGGTGTAAAATAAGTTCATTTAACTGCCACAGGAACACGAGCTGGATGCAAAGAACATCCAAAGGGTTTCACCTCTTTCTTCTCCTCAAGGGAAGTTTAGCTGAAACTGAGAAAAGTACACGAGCCGCAACGTTAGAACTTCAAACTGCATCGTTGTATTTTCTGTCCGTCAGCGTGTCCACAGCATGTTCCATGTGGGGGAGAAACAACAGAGAACAATAAAGGTTCACTTCAGTGGTTTTATCTTTTTATTATCCTACATGAAGCAAATGTTCATCATCATAAATCATTAAACATGATGTTATATCACCTCATCTTTTAACCAGATTACTATTGATTACTCTGAAGACCACAAACAATCATTTAAAGAACACCTGTTATTATTTACTCTGACATTCAACCACTGAATCAGGTGACACAATTTAATTAATAAAACATAAATGTAAAATGACTATTTTTCACCTCTCAGGACATTTTTAAAACCTCCTGATTTTAATATTTTGATGAGAGATGTGATGGTTTTACTTCTGTTCTTTTAGAGGCCGGGATCCGAGTCCCGAGGAGTCCGCATCACTTACAGTAACATGTATCCTCAGTGATGATGTGATATTAATATATAACCGTCAGGGTTTCTTATGATGCTGCAACAAATTATGCGTTTACAGTATTTCACAATTGCCAAGACACATTTCTTGAAAACTTCACCCATATTCTCAAAACTTTAAACACAAAACCAAGTCTTTAAACTACATTCACAAAACCCCGGACTACATATGTATATGTGTATATATATATATATATGCATATATATTTGTATATATACATATGTATATATATATGTCTTTATACATATCTATATATACATATAGATATGTATATATATCTATATGTATATATACATATAGATATGTATATAGACATATGTATATGTCTATATACATATAGATATGTATATAGACATATGTATATGTATATATAGATATGTATATGTATATAGACATATGTATATGTATATATAGATATGTATATAGACATATGTATATGTATATATAGATATGTATATAGACATATGTATATATAGATATAGATATGTATATAGACATATAGATAAGTCCACCCGCCTGACGGGGAAAACCTGCCCACCTTGTCCCAGCTCAACCCCCGGTGGAGCGCCTGGTCCAGCTGCGGGTGGCCGGTGCTGTGGAACCTCGTGTTGGCGTCCATGTCCCCGTATGCTCCGTTATCGTCCCCCATCGTGGTCCCGCACAGCAGCTACTCTCCGCGGCTCCTGAACCTCACAGACATGTCCTCTGTTAAACGGCTAACGTAGCTCAACTCTCCCACTCTCCGGGTCGGGCCTTCAACGTCACACGGCTCCACCGAGGCCACACGGGGGCGCTGTGGCGCGAGGGGAATCCCAGCAGCCTCCGCTTTATTTCTTTAAAGGTCACTTGTATTCGGCACATAACATTTGAATGAGAAGCTATGATTGTTTTTTACTTGTGACTTGGCCAGATAGCACGTGACGTGACATCCCCGTTCCTTTGAAGCCTCAAATGAATACATTTTGTCATCACGAGTAGACTTGAAACTAGAGACTGAGACATAAACTCATGTTTACTGAGGGAATAAATCAAGAGAGAAGTAGAGTCATTTCCTCATAGACGTCTATGGGAGCAGAGGAGTCGCCCCCTGCTGGTCACTACAGAGAAGTAGAGTCATTTCCTCATAGACGTCTATGGGAGCAGAGGAGTCGCCCCCTGCTGGTCACTACAGAGAAGTAGAGTCATTTCCTCATAGACGTCTATGGGAGCAGAGGAGTCGCCCCCTGCTGGTCACTACAGAGAAGTAGAGTCATTTCCTCATAGACGTCTATGGGAGCAGAGGAGTCGCCCCCTGCTGGTCACTACAGAGAAGTAGAGTCATTTCCTCATAGACGTCTATGGGAGCAGAGGAGTCGCCCCCTGCTGGTCACTACAGAGAAGTAGAGTCATTTCCTCATAGACGTCTATGGGAGCAGAGGAGTCGCCCCCTGCTGGTCACTACACAGAATGCAGCTTTAACACAAAAATTTTCTCAACATAAACATTAACATAAAATATATTATAATTTGAAGACAAGACGTCACATATCTTTCTGACACTTTGATGTACACATTGATTTATATATTTCTGTTAACGAAGGGCAGCAGAGCTTCATGTAAACCCATTATGGACACAAAGCCTCATAACACAATGTCTTTATGTGTTTAGGTACAAAGTCTAATCAATGGGTAAAAGGACAACGTTACATCTGTATATTAAATCAAACAATTACAGATATTAAAGGGCAGTCTGTAAATGTTCTCAGGAAGGATGCCCCGTGTCTCAGCAGAACATCTAGTCTCTGGAGTCCATCAGCTGGCAGTGGAACTGGTCCCTGAAGGCCTCCAACAGGTGGGGGATGGCCTCCTCCACGCCGACATCTCTCCGCAGCTCGGCACTCAGAGACGTCACTCCTTTACCCACAATGCCGCAGGGCACAATGTGGCTGAACCACGACATGTCGGTGTTGCAGTTCAGCGCCAAGCCGTGAGAGGTGACGTAGCGACCGCAGTGGATTCCTACCGAGACGGGAAGAGAGTCTGACACTTGATGACAGCAGCTTCAATCTTCTACCTGAGCTCATTCAAACAAAGAATGTTACTCTGACTCCGTTTGTTAGGGATGAATCCGTACATGTACAGAATGAAACCACAGGTACCTCAGAGGCCTCCTCTCACCTCATGAAGTACTACAGAGACGAGCGAAGGAATCAAACCACACAAAGACGTTATATTACGGATGCTACCAATGGCACAGATCTTGTTCTCTCCGACCCAGACGCCGGTGAGAGGAGACGAGGACGCCGCCACGCCCAGCCGGCCGCACGCCGCGACGGTGGTCTGCTCCAGCTGGGACACGTACCAGCGGACGCTCTGAGGGGGGGCAGACCGCAGTGAGACGCACGCTCACGCGCTGTAACACGCCGACGCTTCATCAAACCCGGAGCCCCTCACCTTCTTGAAGCTTCCCAGGTGGAGGACCGGGTAACAGACCAGCTGACCTGGCCCGTGGAAGGTGATGAGTCCGCCTCGGTTGGCGTTGTGCACCTCGGCCCCCAGCCGCCGGAGGCCGTCCAGCAGGGGGGGAGGGTACGGTTTGTGGCGGATCCCGGTGGTGTAGACCGGAGGATGCTGACACAGCAGCAGAGCGTGTGACGGACCGGACCGGTGGCGGTCTACGTAGACCTGCTGCAGCCGCAGAGCCTCCCGGTAGGAGACCAGGCCCAGACGCACCACCTCCACCGCCGGCCTGCCGCCCCCCATATGGGACAGGAAGTGCTCTTAGGACACAGAGAAACAGGTGTTCATGGTCCTGAGGAGGTCTCCAGCTGGAGGTCCAACCTTAGGGCTAAAGACATTCAGCTAAATCATAAAGAACCTATTTTCTGTACATTAAATAGGTTCATTCAGCTATTAAAAGCACACTGTACTATAACCTGGGTTCTTAATGAACAAGTAAACTCTATAACGTATCATATGTACAATTAACAAATATAGTTTAGCTGATAAATGTGCCATAATATAAACTAGTGCATTAAATCCACTTGTTCTCGTGGTAACTTTAAGGGACTTTTACCTCGAAAAAGTATTTAATACTTTAATAATTATTACATAAAAATACCTCATATTTCGATAATAAATACATCTCTTTACTCGGCTTTATTTGACCCTTTATTTGTCCCGAGCCGTCCTGCAGCGGCTGGTCGCGCTTCTCGCCGCCATTCTTCTTCTTCTTCTTCGTCTTCTTCCTCCTCTTCTTCTTCTTCTCCTCCTTCTTTTGACGGCGGCCTCCAGCGGAAGGCGCATCACCGCCCTGCTGCCCCGGAGTGAGAGCGCAGGCAGCGGATCAGTCACGCGGTGCTTTCCTTCCCAGAAAGAATGCTTCTTTTTAGGGCAGTAGATGAACCAAAAATAACTAATTCATCTCACATTTTGAAATTCATTAATTTGCGATCAAAAGTTTGTTTTTCTTCTAAAGACTAAATTCTATAAATTAATCACTTTAGAAAGTGTGTACATGGTGAAACCACTAACACGCTAACTAACTGTAGCACTTACATTGGACTTCTAACGCCACTCATCTATAGCAAATTGTAAATTGGCTTATTTGAGGAAATTGCACTTCTCTTGTTTCTTGTTCTTCTGAGTTTGTGCCCTGTGGTTGAATGCACTTGTTGTAAGTCGCTTTGGATAAAAGCGTCCGCTAAATGACATGTATTTTAGACACTTTTGTTTAATTGTATTCTAAACACAAACTCCCCCATGTGATCGTCTTTGAGGTGACTTCATGGATGGAATGGAGATAGAAAAAGCGGTTCTACCTGAACCAGGATCCTTAGATCCATCTGTGCATGCTGGCTGATATGTTATCCTCCACTGTTCCTGCAATACTACCCATACGTTTAAAAGCTTGGCTTTTGTTCAGAAAATAAATGATCAACTCACACTGAGAAAAATAGTCACGGTGGTTTAGCTGATAGCGATTGTCTGATTCAACGCCACATCAGCCTCAGAGCTTGGGAGTGCACCACATCAGCTTCTTCAACAAGTTTTTACCGCTGACCGAAAAACCACACAACCATAATCAAGAACTCGTCTTATTGGACCAATATAAATATTTTTCATGGCAGATCTGCAGGTTTCCCATTCTGACCCTGCTAGACACCTTATTATATTTATAATATTCTTAAATGGAATCCTCCTCTGAATGTGAACGTTCCATGTTAATCATCGGACCACACAACTAACCCTAAACACGCTCTTCTGTCCATACATCTCTACTTGAGTATCTACTCCTCTCTTTCTAGTAGACCATAGTTTTACAGACATAAAACTCAAATCCACATGAATAAGACCATCGTTCTACATCATTAACAGCCTCTTGTACTTTCCCTTTAATGTGGTTTATGTTCTTCCGTCTCTTCCACAATGCTCCATTGTCAGCAAACAGGGAACCCGAAGGAACACATCATTAATCCTCCCATGACTGATGGGGACTGCTGTCGGAGGTTTTGCGGCCTTAACTGTTCCATCAGGTGCTCCACCTTGGCTGACCCTCTTCACTGCCCCTGCATACGTGATTTTATTCTGCACCCCCGCCTGCTGTATTTACCCATAGTGTGCCATAGTTACTACAACACATGGTTGTCCATGCTTATACTTGTAGTCTTCTTCTCTCCGTCTGCCCTTGCATGCTTTGGTTGTGTGTCCGAACCTTTGGCAGTAGTAACACCTCATGAACTCTAACAGTGTAACCTAAAGAGACTTTCTTTAGTTTTTCTTCCTCCTCCAAATCGAGCACAACGTCACTGCTCATCTCAATGTTCATCTCATCCCCTCTGCCATCTGCCGCCTTCGAGCTCCTTTCTCGGTTGGTCATGTGGTCATAGGTAATGTTAAATAAATAAAATAACGTGAAAGTAAACGCATTTTTATTTTGAAGTCTTACTTAAGCCGGACGTCGGAGGAAGGCTCGCTTCAGATTGGACGCGCGTGCCCGCCCATGAGTGTACGTGCGCTGCAAACGCGTTTCAAATCTGCGCAGCGGGGCGGGGCTTGTTTTTGAGAGCGAACCAGGGAAAGATGCGCGAACCGAAGGGTCCGCCGAACGGCCCGGTAGACCGGCCAAGTACGGGACCGTAGCTGGGTGCGGGTCCACTTCCAGTGCGCCGCAGAGCGAGCCGGAGCAGTGTGCGGGGAGGCGGCCCAGCGGCAGCCCGCCCCCCGCTCCCCCGGCATGTCGACTCCGCCGGACCCCGAGACGCCCCGGCAGTGGAGAGCGGCTCCGGAGGAGGAGCGAGCCCGGGAGAGGGAGCAGCGCGGCGGGCAGGAGGGACCGCGACCCCCGGAAAGGTTGGTGTGGTTAACGGGCTGTTTACGAACCAACGAGCGGAGTGTAACTTTATGATACGTTTAGTGCTGCAGGAGGCCTGAGGACGTTAGTGGACGTCACTCTGGTAAAACTCATTGATGACGTCATGAACTTTTTTTGCGGTGTTGACAAACTGATCTCAAGTCAGCTGGACCCGACACACGTGACCGAAAACAGCAGTAAGAACTGATCTCAGGTCTTCTGGGCGGCTTCATTCAAGTCTGCTTTAAGTTCCATCTGTAGACAGATCTCAGGCTACACTAGTCTACTACTATAATGGACTAGTTCACTACTATGTACTACTATAATGGACTAGTCTGGACTAGTTCACTACTATGTAGTACTATAATGGACTAGTCTGGACTTGTCCTTTAATGAGTACTACTATAATGGACTAGTCTGGACTAGTTCACTACTATGTAGTACTATAATGGACTAGTCTGGACTTGTTCACTACTATGTAGTACTATAATGGACTAGTCTGGACTTGTTCACTACTATGTAGTACTATAATGGACTAGTCTGGACTTGTTCACTACTATGTAGTACTATAATGGACTAGTCTGGACTTGTTCACTACTATGTAGTACTATATCAGGAATCAGGAAACATTTATTGCCAAAATATGTCAAACATACAAGGACTAGGCCCAATGCTATAGTGGACTAGTTCACACTAGTCCATTAATACTATAGTACTGTAGTGGACTAGGTCAGACAAGATCAGTATTACATTCAATGTATACTAGTACTTCTGTAGAAGAAGCTGATGTGTGACCGTACTAGTACTAATGTGTCCACTGATACTTTAAACATATCAAAGTCACGTGTGATTAAATCTACTGTGTATCCATTTCCAAATCTTACTTTTCTCTTGTACTTTTTGGTGTTAATATTACTTCTTGTACACTCTATATTTCTACTCTTGTATTTAACCTTTTGTGTTTTTGACTTTTTTTATTTTATTGAATTATTTGCTTAAATTATTGACATGATGCTTATTGATGCTTTATTAGTATTATTATTTCAGGCTTTTATCCAAAGCGACATACATTGCATTTTTAACTTTTTATTATTATTATTTTCACAAATGTGTTGGTATTATTTACTTTACACATGCTCATATACATTTATATTTTATTCTCTTCTGTCTTTTTTATCTTGAATAAAACAATAATTTACTTCATGATGAATAAAGTTATTTATATAAAGTTCTTTTATCCGTAAATGTACCCGTGTTGAATATCTAATATAGTCAGTAATATTTGACTTCTCCATACAGACATGATTCATAACTAAAGATGGTCCTTAGTAAAATAACATGTATAAACAATCCCAATGCATCATGGGACTTTATTCTGTGCAGAGTGCTTCGTGTCTCCGGCTAAATGTTGTGATACTTCGTCAGCGCCTACTAGCAAACACAAGGTGAGTCCGAATTCCCGCGGTCAATGAAGGCAGCTGCGTGGTGCGTTCGCTGACTCACAGAGGTTTGTGTTTCAGCCGGGGGCCGAGGAAAGAGAAGAGGCGAAGAGGAGGACTTGTAGAGACAAAGACGTGCCAGTAAGACCTGTGTGTGTGTGTGTGTGTGTGTGTGTGTGTTCTCTTGGTCCTTCTGTCTTGGGGGGTCCTCATTTGATGTTTTCTCGACCCCACTTGAAAAATATTCAAAGTTCTTGAAATGTTCCGGAGGGACTGACCTTCCTGTTTTAGAGTCATGATGGTCTGTGCTTTCTCTTTACTTGTACTCTATTATTAATTATTTCTACATTGTAAAGAAAATACATTGAAGGAGAAGGTGTGTCCAAACTGTCTGTGTGTGTTTAACGGTTCTGGTTCCTCAGGGAGTTCTGTCGGACTCTGAGAACGAGGAACCTTTTAGCAGGAGGATCAGAAACATCTCAGCCTTCATAAGGAAAACCCAGAACTCAGTGGCCGCCTCAAGGTGAGGTCAGCCGGTCGCCACGGTGACGGCCCAATTCGCCGTGAAAAATAGCTGACTGTTTTATTTTCCTTCAGTGGTGTTCAGAGGAGTCAGAGCTGCAGTGAGCCAGTGGAGGACCCAGGATGGAAGACGAAGGTCATCCAGCCCGCCCTCATGGACAGAGTGAGTTACTCTGGTGACATGTGCCCGGTGTGTGGACTCAACAGGAAGGGACCATATCCGGAATGAGGGCGGCCATAGAGACCTGTCAATCAGCGCTTAAGGCCCCGCCCTAAAGCAACCCCTGCTTGATGCTCCGTTTAGAGTCAAACAGACCATAATTCACTAAATGAACATCATGCTGTATTGAAGAAGACTTGAAACTAGAGATTGAGACCATAAACTCATTTTTACAATGTTTACTGAGGGCATAAAATAGCGTTGTCTTCTCGTAATGTCCTTTATTGATTATTAATCAGCTGGCAGCGATGCTCTGTGTCTTTTTGTCGTCTGTGTGAATCTGAAGCTTCCCTTTCCTCCTTCAGGTGGGCATCAGTCACAGCTACGCAGCAGGAATCCTCCTCTCCTCGGAGAACAGCCGCTCCGTCTCCGCTGCGATCACTGCCGACCGCCAGCTGGCCTGGCGAGCCGTCGTCTCCTCGAGTGCGGCCGGCGGCGCCCCCCCGCACCCCGAGCGCTCCATCAGCCCCGAGAGCAACGACAGCATCTCAGAGGAGCTCAACCACTTCAAGCCCATTGTGTGCTCGCCGTGCACTCCGCCCAAGCGCCTGCCGGACGGCCGCCTGCTGGAGCCCGCCGTGGTGAAGTCCACACCCAGGAACCTGACCCGTGGCCTGCAGAAGGCCACCAGCTACGAGGCCAGCCCCGCGGTGCTGCAGAAGTGGAGGCAGATCGAACTGGACCGCCAGAACCTCAAGACCAACTCCAGGGCGACCCTGACAAGCCCCGTCAACGAGCCGCCCCACCGCAAGTCCGGCGGGGTGGAGGAGGCCGAGGGCCGCGGGTCTCCACAGGGACGGGATGGGGTGCGGGCCGCCAACAAGAGGATGCTGCTGTTTGAGCCTCTGGCCGGAGATGCAGGCTCCTTCCAGAAGCATGCCGTAAAGATCCGGGTCCCCGCGATCCGTTACAGCAGCGAGACCGGACTCCGAGGAACCTCTGACTTTGAGCCGGCAATCGGCGCTCCTGAATCCGGCGGCGCGTTGCATTTCAGCCAAAAACAACAACAAACAAAGTCATTTTCACCGTATACCAAGAACTCCGGTTTACAATCCTGTAAATTGGTGCCGAAGGCCTCGCAGAGTCCCAGGAAGGAGTCCGACAGCAGCCTTCACAACCAGTCCATCTCGAGGAGGGGCAAGAAGCGGGAGCAGAAGACCAAACACTTGGACTCAGAGCAGGAGCCGGATCTGAAGAAGCGCCGCTCGCTCAGCCAGGAGGCCTTTGACGAGTGCTACGTCCGTCAGATCCAGCAGGAGCGCCAGGACCGGGCCGTCGCCTTGAGACTGCAGAGACAGTTTGACCGGGAGAACCAGACCACCGACCGTCGAAGAAGCCCTGACCAGTACTTCCTGCGATCCTGGATTTCCAGCAAGAACCACCGACGTAGGCGTGGCCTGAGGAGGTCTCGACGAATCAACAAGAAGCACTAAAGAGCGAGTCCTCTGTGGAGAGGTTCATATATGCAAAGTGACAAAAGGTTGGAATGTTTCACAAAAACCGCAAACTCTAAGATGCTGTAAGAGGAAATGGACATTTATTTTTGGCTGAAATCTGAACCTCTCACCACATCTTTGGGGAAAGATGGTCACATTTTGATTGATCTATTGACCGGAAAATCTGTCGACTGGTATTAAAAGAGAATTGTTGCTTTAAAACCTGAAGGTCTGGGGCTTTAGGGGTTACCCATGGTCTAGGTTCTTGAAAGTCTCAAGCTTTAGGGGTTACTGATGGTCTAGGTCAGGGATCTCAAACTCATTTCAGGTGCGGGCCAGATGCAGCCCATTCAACACGGGCCAGACCATTATGGTCGAGGGAGGGGGCGCAGACGGTCCGACCGGCCAACGGTACGGTTGCCGGGGGGGGGGGGATGACGGTCTAAATGGTGCGGTCGACGGCCACGATTGTGGCCCACGGGCCGGAGTTTGAGACCCCTGGTCTAGGTTCTTGAAGGTCTAAAGCTTCAGGGTTTACTCATGGTCTTGGCTCTTAAAGGTCTCAAGCTTCAGGGTTTACTCATGGTCTATGTTCTTGGAGGTCTTGAGCTTCTGGGTTTACTCATGGTCTAGATTCTAGAAGGTCTAAAGCTTCTGGGGTTACTCATGGCCTAGGTTATAGAAGGTCTAAAGCTTCAGGGGTTACTGATGGTCTAGGCTCTTGAAGGTCTCAAGCTTCAGGGCTTACTCATGGTCTAGGCTCTTGAAGGTCTTGAGCTTCAGGGATTACTTATGGTCTAGGCTCTTGAAGGTCTTGAGCTTCTGGGATTAGTCATGGTCTAGGCTCTTGAAGGTCTCAAACTTCACGGCTTACTCACGGTCTAGGCTCTTGAAGGTCTTGAGCTTCTGGGATTACTCATGGTCTAGGTTATAGAAGGTCTAAAGCTTCAGGGGTTACTCACGGTCTAGGCTCTTGAAGGTCTTGAGCTTCTGGGATTACTCATGGTCTAGGCTCTTGAAGGTCTTGAGTTTCTGGGATTACTCATGGTCTAGGTTCTAGAATGGTCTAGTATCTCCTCCCACCGTGCCACTGATCCAGTTCTTCCAGTTTGTGGGAAGTTCTTTCATTGCTTTGAAGCTTTGGACTCTGGACTCTCTGGTCTTTGGCAATGAGCCTTGTGGGTACTGTAGTCTCAGAGCCATTCACCAACCAGTTGGGATCGAGAGAAGAACTGTGTGTTTGGACAAGTTTGTGGGCAAAATGTAAAGCATGAAGCTTCAAGGAAGAGCTGATGTTTTATGTCTAAAGCAGCGTTCACATTAAGGTTTGAAGGCTGAAAGATGAATGCAAATACTCTAAAGCGCCTGAGATTAAAGTCACAAATCTGTGTGTGAAACTTTCTAATGGCAAACAATGGTACAACAACATTAGAACAACAATGTTAATGAACAACAACTATACAACGACAACGTTTAACAACGTGTTTACATGAGCAGCTGTGGACTTTCTTTAGGTGCATTCATGTTATTACAATCTCTGAAAGATTCATATGCTAAATCATGTAATATCATTTCTGTCTTGTTAGCAAACACTAATTAATTTGATATACTTTAAATGACTGTTTAATGCCGTTAAACTGTGATTCTTTAAGTTTACAACTTGAATTTTAAGGCTTTTTTTACTCTGAAAATTCGATGCGATAATCTGGAGGAAAATTGAAGGATTTGAGAGGATTTAATATGATAAATGTTAAATCCATAAATACCAAATCTCCTTTGAGGAGTGACAGTCGTAAAATCAGAGTGAACGTCTTGCCTAATGCTGCAGCTACCGATTATTTTGATGATTGATTAATTGGTAGATCTTTTTTTTTTTTTTTAGATTAATCAGACAAAAAACAAAACCGAATTTAAAAAAGCATTAATTCTATTCTAAAAAAGTGCATAAAAAACTTCAGAAAGGGCACAGTTAACATAATATATAAAAAATACAAATCAGAAAAGTTTGAACGTCGGAACTTCTACACTCAGACGCAAAGCTCATTCATTAAATGATTTATCATTGTACTTCAGTCAATTTCTAAACCACATTTAAACACAGTTTAAGATGACCAAGTTAAGAATGGCATCAAAAATGAGCGAGCTAACGCTATTAGCGAGCTAAGGCTGTTAGCGAGCTAAGGCTGTTAGCGAGCTAAGGCTAGCTCTTGACCTGCATAACGAGCAGCCGCCTCGCTCCAAAGCGGCCGTAGCGTTGCGTAGTGACGGACCTCATCAAAGGCTTTCGTTTGAGCGCTGACCCGCCGCGTCATGTGACTCTCTGCCTGCGCCACGTGACGCGCGCATGTCCGTGACTCATTGGTTAATAACGATTCGATAATGACATCTGTTGCTAACACTATTAATAGTCGATTTGTTGTGCCAGCCCAAGTCTCATAATTTATGCATTTCAACTTTAACAAACGTATATTATTGTTATTATTGAGCGAGCAGATGAGTAACCGGCTGATTTCTACTACAGTAGGGTTTTACTTCCTGTATTCAGTACCTTAAGCTGTACTTCATGTACTTGTACTTTAATGTGAATGCTGCTTGGCTGTAAATCTTTTTTTTCACATTCCTGCAGTTTGCAGCTTGATTAACTTGAGTTAAAGTTATGAAATCATCATGTTGGGACACTTCAGTCAGGAGGAGTGGACTTGTTTTCATTTATGAGATGATTATTATTGTTATTGACAGAGTTTCAACCTTTCCTCTTCAGAGACTCTGAAGGGCTTTCTTTTTTTAACTCTCCAACACTGATATGCACATTTTGTACCGTCGTAGTGTTTGCTGAGTGCCAACGATCCGCGAGTGTGTTGATATTCAGCTTCTCTGTGGCTGCATCAAGACGTATCTAACAGAGTCAAGTATGATGATAGAATACACAGGCCGATGAACATAATGCTGCCAAAGTGTCATCCGTATAATAAGGATAATATCTGAGAACACAATTCCAACCTAACAGGATCAATTATTCTGATAATCAATACAGAATTAAGACAAAATGTTGAAAACATCCTCAGGTTACTTTTCTGTTCTTCAGTGATTTAAACAGCTTTTATGAAACAATAAAAAAATAATCAAACAATAAATAACCTGTTTCAGTCCTGAACTAAATATACACTAAAGGCCGCCGCGTGTTTCTGCGTCTTTACGTGTTGACGCGCTGGTTTCACTTCCTGGTTGTAAAGTCTTTCTCTTGTAAACATTCTTGGTTTTAATAACGGCCGTATCGGGCTGTGAAAGCGGGAACGTGAGACTCCGTAAAGGACGTAGTTAGCGGACCGATCGCAGCCTGGTGCGCTGCGGGAGGCTCGGACACGCAGAAGCATAAACTAGGCTTTAGACCGTAAATAGTTATATAAGGTACATAAATAGTTTCAATAAGTAAACTTCCTTATAATATTAAGAAGCAGTAGAGCTTCATGTTTTCATAATATTTCTGAAGATCAAGTTGCGCTATTTCTGGCGCTTTATGTCCTTTTATTTGTTTTGTTTTTTTAATTGTGAGGAGGGAAAGGAATAGAGCGCGCGCACTATGACGCGTAATGTGGGTGCCTCGGGCACGCGGGCGCAATAACGTGTCATACCACGTGGTCCTTTTGCGAGAGCCAATCAGATGCGTCCAGATCACAGGTTCCGCGTTCTGAGCGGAAGAGAAGATGGCTGCTGCGAGGAACGGAAAGAACGGGATCCTGGAGAAAGTGAGTTTAAAAACACGACAAAGTTTGATGATTTCTGACCGGATGCTAAGAAAATGCTCCCCCGGACGTCAGACTATTGGAGCGGGAGTTTTTGTGAGTGGGCCAGATTTATCATCTGCGTCGGTGCTGCCGTTATCCAGCGGAGCTAACGCTAGCAGGCTAAGCTAATACTAGCAGGCTAAGCTAATACTAGCTGGCTAAATTGAATGTAGTGGTACAATTAAGCGGAATACGTTGATTGACGTACTGCTGCAGAAAGGAGACCAGACTCCACAGAGAAAACGGGTCATTCAAGAGTTTTATTACAATTCAAACCTTTCATTTTACTACGTAAAGTAACGTGTTTGTTTTTCTGTCGGCGCACGTTAAAACAGTGACGTCATCCGTTTAGATATAAGGTGGGTGGAGCACATTCATGTTTATTGTAAGTTAGTTTCTCATCAGAATATTTTATTTGGGTCATTAGTAGTTGGTTGGTTTATTGATACATTAAGTATTGTGCCTTGATCATAAAATATGTTGACATGGTTACTCTTGTTGTGTATCACCATGTTTTATGTGCCGTTCTTTACTTTAATATAATATCTCCAATAACCGGAGGTTGTTTAAGTAAAGTGTATTCATATTGCCTGCTTGACGATGACGACTAAGTGACTATTTCTAATGATCTAAACCTATTTGGGACATGTTCTATACATGTTTATCTGCTCTATAGATTCATAAATGATACTATATGTTAATGATGGCGAGACGAGTTAACCTTAGGAAAATTAGTGTTGATACGACTGAACAGTTTAGAAAAAAAGGTAAATTGTTTTAAAACAGGAAGTAGTCCTGCAGATTAATAATATTTCTGATAATGATGAATCTTAATGGAAATGCGTTTTAGTGGCGTATCGATGAGAAACCAGTGAAGATCGACAAATGGGACGGAGCTGCTGTGAAGAACTCTCTGGATGACGCCGCGAAGAAGGTGAGCTTTTGTTCTTAAGTGTTGTCTGCTATCATCAGTGGTCAATAACCGATGATGATGACGACGCCGGTGACGACCCCCTCCAGGTGCTGCTAGAAAAGTACGGCTACGTGGAGACCTTTGGGCTGGTGGATGGTCGTCTGGTCATCTGCACAGTCTCCTGTCTCTTCGCCATGTTGGCTCTGATCTGGGACTTCCTGCACCCCTTCCCCGAGTCCCGACCAGTTCTGGCCTGCTGCGTCATCTCATATCCTTCTGAGGCCCCAGTACACCCCCCCCCCCAGCCCGGATGAGCTGGTTCAAAGGTTCAACATCTGAGGTTCTGATTCCGGATAGGACTGGATGGTGTTGGCGTCCGTACCTATGACGAACGGGTGGTGTTTGGAGCGCCTACATATGACTGGTGGTGTGTGCTTAAAAAAAAATTGTTTAGGCACCGGTATCGGGAAAAACCCAAACGATACCCATCCCTACATATGACTGGTGGGGTTGGGAGTCTTTATATATGATGGTTGGAGTTGTCTTGGTGTCTCTCCTTAACTCCTCCATCACCTACTTCATCATGATGGGCATTCTGACTCTCTACACCTCCTACAAGGAGAAGAACATCTTCCTGGTGTCTCTGCAGAGGGACCCTTCAGGACTGGATCCAGACCACATGTGGCAGCTGTCCTCGTCCCTGAAGAGGTGAGGACAGTTACCCAGCATGCACTCTGATGACCCACAGACATACATCGGGTGTACTTGCATTACATTAGATGTCATTTAGCTGTTTATCCAAAGCGACTTGCAATGAGTGCATCCAACCATAAGGATTCAAACTCAGCAATTCATTAAATAAGCCGATTTACAACTTGCTATAGATAAGAACCATTATAAGTACAATTTAAATGCTACAATTTGTTTAATGTTTTTAGTGGAGGTCGTCTTTAGTTTGAAGATGTGAAGGCTCTCGTGGTCCTGATGTCATCAGAGAGCTCATTCCACCATGGACATGTATACGCATAAATGTACTGTGTCCCAGATGTGATGTATTTCTTCATGTGCTCTGGCCCAGGTTTGATGACCAGTACTCGCTCAGAGTTTCCTTCTCTGACGGGAAGTGGAGAAACTCTCGTGAGGCAGAGTTCACCAAGTCGGTGTCTTCGTTCTTTGACGAGAACGGGACTTTGTCCATGGACCAGTTTGAGAAATGTGTCTCAAAACTCCACGACACGCTGGCATCCGACAAGAAGACCAAGTAACCACTGTGTCAGTACGTCAATACTCCGGTGTATAATAAAGTATTTCTCCTCCCTCACACGATGTTCTTGTTAAAGCACATGATGCCTTCAAGGACACTCAGAGATTCAAAGACTCAATGTCAGCTGCAACAAGCAGATTTTAAAATTCGCAGATGAGAAGAAATGTTGTAAAAGAAGCTGGTGTTTGATGTTGTATCTTCGGTTTCTCGACATAACACCACCTGAGATCCATGTCTTTGTGTTGAGCCAACGGCTCATTTTAAGCTCGGTCTTTGTCGTCTCTATTTAAAACAAGATCACATCACTGGTGGGTGGAGCCTCTGCGGTCACATGGGCGGAAACGAGCAGCCTGATTGGTTCTTTACCAATGATAGAAATAAAAGGTCTGAAGCGTTTGTTTCCGACTGCAATGACAGAAATTTCAGATTTACATTGTTAGCATCCGTGAATGAACGCGTCGAAGCCTTCAAACCAGAAGTGTAAACTTTACTTTAAGTGCTTTTCCTTTTTTAGCTCTATAACTTCATAGTTTGGAGAATTAAAGATGGAGATTGTTACAGAAACGTTTGTTTATTCTGTAGAACCTTCATTGTTCCAGCAGGTGGAGCTGCTGCTCCTCCACTCACTCATATTCAATAACAGACTACATCTGTTCACCAATGCACTAGCATATAAATAAGAGAGATTTTATAAATAATAACTCTTATAAATAAGAGTAAGAGATTTGACGATAAATAGATATAAAAACATCAGTTCATTCACCATTTATTGCATTCATGTGTTGATTGAATATATAATACATCAGTAGTTAATGATCTGCAATTATATATGTATTCATATTAAATGTGTGGTTGTGGTGCATTCGAGTATCAGACATCAGGTCAGTGTACAGGGGGCGGGGCCAGGAGGAAGGACTCACTGACCTGGTGATCGGTTTGAACTATGGTCGGGCTTTACAGTCTACACATGTGACATCTGTCCTGAAACCCTCAAATCAGCACAGGAAAAACCCTTCCATGGGGAAAAAGGGAAGAAACCTATAGCAGTTTAACTATGGATAGAGCTTGATGACTGAAGGCTCTGGCCCCCAGCCTACTGTTTAAAACCATAGGAACAACAAGTAACCAGCATCTACGGAGCGCAGCTGCCTTGTAGGGCAATAAGGTGTTACAAGCTATATAATATACGACGGTGCCTCACCAGCAAGTGCCTTGTAGGTGAGAAGTACCTTAAAATCTATTCTTATTTTAACAGGGAGCCAGTGCAGAGAAGTTAAAACCGAAGTAATATCCCTTTTCTTAGTTCTTGTTAATACACGTGCTGCAGCATTCTGAATCAACTGGAGTTGCTTAAGAGATTTACAAGAGCAGTAACTAGTTTTTCTGCATCACTTTGAGACAGGAAGTTCCTGATTTTCGATATATTCCATAGATGAAAAAAGGCAGGCCTATTTATAGTCTTCTTCATGAGAGTTGAAGGACATATCCTGGTCGAAGAGAACTCCAAGATTCTTGACGGTGTTACCAGAGCAATTCCATCCATGACAGCTGACTTTGAAGGCGCTCTGGGCCTATCAAGATAACTTTAGTTTTTTCTGAGTTTAGCATGAGGAAGTTGCACTTCATTCAAGACATTCTTGAAGTCAAACAAGCTGGTTGGTCTCTTCTGGTTTAATCGACAGATACAGTCGAGTATCGTCTGCATAACAATGGAAGTTTATGCAGTGTTTTCTGATAAGATCGCCCACCCACACCATTCACACACTGATGACAGGACTTACCACGCCACCTGAACCACCAGGAATCTAACTAACTATTCTCACACCAGCAGGGAGCTATTTGGGGTCAAGAGTCTTGCCGATGTAATTCACTTCATTGCATTTTATTTTATTTTGTATAGCCCAAAATCCCAAATTTGCCTCGGAGGGCTTTACAGTCTGAACATTTGGGACATCCTGTCTGAAAACCCTCACATTGGAACAGGAAAAAAAGAAAAACCCTTCCATGGGGAAAAGGAAGAAACCTTAGTGAGAATGACGAGGATCCCTCTCCACCATCATACAATATATAACCACCATCAGATAGAACCACCATCCACAGAAACCTGTAGGCAGGGAAAGCACAAAGACTTTAGGAAAGAAGCAAAGTCGGTAATGTGGTTTATGATAACAATTATAGTAATGTCATTAATATTAATAATGCGAGTGGTAGCAGCAGAAGGCCCCTTCTGTTCTGGGACAAGTTGCTCTGTATCAAGCAATCTGCTCTCCAGGGACAACGGTACAAAAGCATACTGGCCATGATAGACTGGGGCAATCACACCTGTCAAAAAAAGATATCTACGCGGTAACTAAAGGAAAAACTTCATTAAGCAGCATACTCGGTATCGGAAAAAAGAGACGGGTAGAAAATTTAGACTTCGAAATTGTAAAAGTTAGTTGATCAAGGTTGATGGGAGAATAGCTAGGGCTGGGCGGTATGGCCAAATATTCATATCAAAGGTTTCTGACAGTATCCCGGTATATCAGTAGTTTTTTTGGAGCAAACACATTTATTCATTAACGGCGAAAAGGACCGTTGGCCACCTGAACAGCTGTTTACCGATTGTTGTTCACCGGTCACTGGCCAACTCGCTCACAGCCGGCCGGTAAGTTAGCTTGTTAGCGTGTTAACTGTGGTTGCTGCTAGTGTTGCCACCAGAGGCAATATCAGCTCTACCAACTTTGCAATAAATCGTTTTCTGATCTAACGTTAACAATACATACAAACCAAAAACCCTCCAAGCAGCACACAACTCCTCTTTTGGCCACAAATTGTGTTGGTGTATCTCTGGTCTGAGTGGTGAGGTGCAAAAATTAATTTGGCCCGCCAAAAAGCAACACCAGTTGGTACGGCTATACACACTGGAATGACGGTACGTGACAAGCTCATACTGTAAGGAAATCTGGTACCGGTATACCGGTTGTTCCCACTCCCAAAGGCAGATTGGCACCTGTTGAAGGCAGGAGACCATCAATTTTCTCTCTAATAGTTAGAATCTTATCATTAAAGAAGTTCATGAAGGTGTTACCAAAGGAATATGGCTCAACAGAACTGTGACTGTCTGTCAGTCTGGCTACAGTAATGACGAGAGACCTTTTTCAGAATTATAAGCTGCTCTTGCATTATGGAGAGCTTTCTTATATGCTTTAAGGCTGTCTTGGCAAACTAGCCTTGATTCTTCTATATCGGTGGAACACGATACACATTTAGGCTTCTGCACAGTTTGCTTTATGTTGCGGGTTTGAGGGTTGTACCAAGGAGCAAACTTCCTTCTTGTTACCACTCTCCTTTCTAGAGGAGCAACAGTGTCCAGGGCCACTCTCAAAGAGTCCGCAGCAGTATCAACAAGATGTTTGATCTGGGACAGACTAAAGTTTTCACACGCCTGGTATCTTGAGACACGATACAAACTTAAACCTGAAGGAATCCCTATTTTAAACGTGGCTTATCAGATAAGCATTGACTGTAGAAACCCATATCAACAGCAGCACAATTAATAAAGATTATTATACAATGGTCTGATAAGAAGTACATGGACACACAAACGTGGAGACAGGGCGCCGGGGATCAGAATCGTGGATCCCCTGACTGAGGGACAACCCGCTCTACCATTAAGTGGCCATGATAGACAGGGGCAATCACACCTGTCAAAAAAAGATCTACGTGGTAACTAAAGGAAAAACTTCATCTCGCTTTGGGCGTACAGGGATTGGATGTCCGCAAGATGGCCACACCCTGTACTCTCGCAGCACCTTTCACAACATCTGTCGGGGTATCCGATGATACATCTTCTCCAGGTCCACAAAACACATGTAGACTGGATGAGCATACTCTGAGGCCCCCTCCATGATCCGTGCAAGAGTAAGAGTTGGTCCATCTTTCCATGACCAGGACGAAAACCGCATTGTTCCACTTCAATCCTTGGTTCGCCTATCGGCCTCTGTTACGTTTCCTGCGTTACCCCGTGAGTCTCATACCAAAGAGAGGCAGCAACATGGATGTTTCGGGTTTGTAACACGTTTTTATTGTATACTCTTTTAGGGTACAGTGCACACACGTAAAGTCACACTTTGCTCCGCCCTCCTTCCTCCGCTTTTCAGTCACTAGTGCCCTTTATTGGGGAGAGACACAAACATACACAGATTAAACCCAGCTAAGGCTCCACTCCTTTGGCACTGTCCCAGACTTCCACAAAATGTTGAGGAGTTTGATTCAGGAATTTCTCAAAGTTCCCTTTTCACCGCACAATAACCTCCTCAGTTGCAGTCAACAAGGTGCCATCCTTACTGTACGCAGCTTGGATTATTCCCCGTTCCTCCTGAGGTGGCATTTACCGACCGAAAGTCCTTCTCCATAGCTACCCCGAACTACTGCCACTCTGCCGCCCTTCGAGCCTGTCGGTACACTGCAGCTGCCTCAGAGTCCCACCAGATATCATAACCCGGAAGGCCTCCTTCTTCAGTTGGATGGCTTCACTGACCACCGGTGTCCCCCATGGTGTTCAAGGGTTACTGCCCCTTGATGCACCTAAGACTTTGAGGCCACAACTCACCGCCGCAGCTTCAGCAATGGAAGTTGTGCACATGAACCACTCTGGTTCATTCCCCCACATGACTACGAGAGAAGTTCCGCCGAAGGTTGAAAATCTTTTGGACCTCCTCCAGTCGTTCCCAGTTACATTACATTACATGTCATTTAAATGACGCTTTTATCCAAAGCGACTTACAATAAGGGCATTCAACCATAGGGATACAAACTCAGAAGAGCAAGAAACAAAGTGCTATTTCCTCAAATAAGCCAATTTACAATTTGCTATAGGTGCGCTGCCTTCTGAGTGGGAAGGGGACGTATTCTCCTGATGTTGTAGAGCGTGTATTTATAGAATCGTGTTGTTGCAGTGATGTTGAGAGTCAGGGAAAGTTGGCTGTTGAGTGTGACGCCGAGGTGCCTAGCAGTCAAAGTGGGCGTTAACACGGAGTTGCCAAAGTTGACCGTCAAGTCCTGGGTCGGAGAATCTTTTCCCGGAAAGAGAAGTAGTTCAGTCTTGTCGGGGTTGATTTTTAGATGGTGAGCGGACATCCACTGAGAGATGTCAGTCAGACAGGTGGAGATCCGTGCCGCCACCTGGGTGTCCGAGTGAGGGAAGGAGAGAATTGGTTGCGTGCCATCGGCATCGCTGTGGTAAGAGAAGCCATGCGAGCGAATGACAGCGCCAAGAGAGTTGGTGTAGAGCGAGAAAAGGAGGGGATCCATGACGGAATTTTGAGGAACTCCAGTAGTAAGAGGACAAGGTTCCGACACAGATCCTCTCCAGGTTACCCGGTGGGTGCGGCCGTCGAGGTAGGACGAGAGAAGGGAGAGAGCAGAGCTTGTGACACCAAGTTCCTGAAGGGAGGAGATAAGGATCTGGTGGTTGACTGTGTCAAATGCAGCAGAGAGGTCCAGAAGGATGAGGACAGAGTGGCCTTGAAGCCTGACTGGTGGGGGTCAAGGAGGTTGTTATGGTGGAGATAGGAGGGGAGTTGGTTAACGATTGCACGTTCAAGAGTTTTGGACAAAAAGGGAAGAAGAGAGACCGGTCTGTAGTTTTCTACATAATTGGGACGCAAGTAGTAGGAGGTGGGTTTGAGAAAGACCAGCGCATGTCAGCTATTTTCTGACATACGCAAAGTACGTAAAGCAAATTGTACGTAAAGTAGTTGACAAAGTCTCCCGGAAGAAGAGTGGAGGGGGGAGGAGGGGTAGGGGGTTCGAGGAGGTTGGTGAAGATCGAAAAGAGTTTTTTGGGGTTAGAAAATGAAGATTCAATTCTCGATTGGTAGAAAGAGCTTTTGGCAGCAGAGATAGAAGCAGAAAATGAGGAGAGAAGAGCTTGAAACTCAAGCAGGTCATCGGGTTGTTTATATTTACGCCATCTCCTTTCCGATGCTCGCATGGTGGCTCTCATGGCACGCACCGGCTGAAGAGTTGAGAGGAGAGTCTCTGCAGCAGCGTTTCTAGTGAAGATGTAGTCAAGGTGATTGCCAGCTTTGTGAGTTGGAGGAGAGGGACTGAGTGACAGAGTGAAGGAAGAAAGTAGGTGGAAGAGATCAGATGACTTCTCTGTCTGGGTGTTGAAGCCACCCAGGAGGATGAGCGGAGGGCCGGGGTCGATGTCTTCTCAGGTGTGATCCAGGTCTCGGTGAGAGAGCGAGGATGTCAAGCGATTGCTGGATAGCAAAGCCGGAGATGAAGTTTCCCACAAAAGACTCTTTTGTCTTCGTTCTGCTCGTCTTCGTGCTGCGAGGTTATGCAAACGCTGAAGCTAACGCTTCACTCAACCTCTAATTAAATACTCCCTCGTTAGTGGAAGTCGGCTACAGCTGCGCTGACAACTCCCCCGTCGACAAAAGGTCGATTGGCCTCGGCAGAAACTCCTCAAAATGCAAAACACCAATTGCTGGACACTCTAATCAGTGAACAATCACCATGTGGCGTTTTGACAAACTGAGAGTTTAAGGGTTTCAGTCTTTTCTGCTTCAGAAGAGAAGGCAAAACAGACTTAGATCACCCGCACTACGTGCTTGGGTTTACCAGTTCTATCCCAAGTCTTTCCCCGTCCTCTGACCCAACCACCAGATGATGATGATCAGCTCTGCCCCTCTCTTTACCAGACTGTCCAAGACATGCAACCTCTGATTACATACGATTACAAAATCAATCATAAATCTTTGGCAAAGGTGGCTCTGGTACGAAGTATACTTGTAAACATCCTTATGTTCGTGGTGGTGTTCGCTATGGACAGTGGCTATGGAAGTCCAACAACAAACGGCCGCTCAGTTTTAGATGAGTGCCCTTTGCTGATGTAATTTCCCCGCTCTGCGACCGATAAAGGATTATCTTATTTTATCCTATTTTTATCCTTATCTCTAAAAGCGAGCACAGCTGAAGGGACATTCTTTGGTGTCTCATGTGATTCTTCAGCTGCTTGATTCAACGTGAGCGGACTGCTGATGAGTAGAAACATTGAGGAGAACACATTTCATCAGTTAATATGAAAATATTTGGTCACTGAGTCATTTCATCTGATGCAACCCTCACCCAGGCAATTGCATCACTTTATTGTTAATTAAGTCCCTCAAGTCAAAGGGCAGTTCAGCCTGTCAACATGTTCGTCCCGGATCATCCCTTAGGCTTCTTCACATTAGCCACAGTCTCCACTAATTCCCTCTGAAGCAAATTAGTCAGAACGGTTTGACCAATTAGTCCAAGCAGACCTTACTGGTTGCTCTGAGACAACCTCAGGAAGGACACACACGCATCGGAAAACATCAATTCTGGAAAAGTTGCATACGTGTTTCATATTTCATTCAGACTCCTAAAAGTGCAGGATTAGAGAAGTTGAGCTGTGACTTATTGGTAGAGCGGGTCGTCCCTCAGTCAGGGGATCCACAAAAGGAGAGTGGCAACAAGAAGGAAGTTTGCTCCTTGGTATAACTCTCAAACCCACAACATAGACTGTGCAGAAGCCTAAATGTGTATCGTGTTCCACCGATATAGAAGAATCAAGGCTAGTTTGCCAAGACAGCCTTAAAGCATATAAGAAAGCTCTCCATAATGCAAGAGCAGCTTATAATTCTGAAAAAGGTCTCTCGTCATTACTGTAGCCAGACTGACAGACAGTCACAGTTCTGTTGAGCCATATTCCTTTGGTAACACCTTCATGAACTTCTTTAATGATAAGATTCTAACTATTAGAGAGAAAATTGATGGTCTCCTGCCTTCAACAGGTGCCAATCTGCCTTTGGGAGTGGGAACAACCGGTATACCGGTACCAGATTTCCTTACAGTATGAGCTTGTCACGTACCGTCATTCCAGTGTGTATAGCCGTACCAACTGGTGTTGCTTTTTGGCGGGCCAAATTAATTTTTGCACCTCACCACTCAGACCAGAGATACACCAACACAATTTGTGGCCAAAAGAGGAGTTGTGTGCTGCTTGGAGGGTTTTTGGTTTGTATGTATTGTTAACGTTAGATCAGAAAACGATTTATTGCAAAGTTGGTAGAGCTGATATTGCCTCTGGTGGCAACACTAGCAGCAACCACAGTTAACACGCTAACAAGCTAACTTACCGGCCGGCTGTGAGCGAGTTGGCCAGTGACCGGTGAACAACAATCGGTAAACAGCTGTTCAGGTGGCCAACGGTCCTTTTCGCCGTTAATGAATAAATGTGTTTGCTCCAAAAAAACTACTGATATACCGGGATACTGTCAGAAACCTTTGATATGAATATTTGGCCATACCGCCCAGCCCTAGCTATTCTCCCATCAACCTTGATCAACTAACTTTTACAATTTCGAAGTCTAAATTTTCTACCCGTCTCTTTTTTTTCTGATACCGAGTATGCTGCTTAATGAAGTTTTTCCTTTAGTTACCGCGTAGATATCTTTTTTTGACAGGTGTGATTGCCCCAGTCTATCATGGCCAGTATGCTTTTGTACCGTTGTCCCTGGAGAGCAGATTGCTTGATACAGAGCAACTTGTCCCAGAACAGAAGGGGCCTTCTGCTGCTACCACTCGCATTATTAATATTAATGACATTACTATAATTGTTATCATAAACCACATTACCGACTTTGCTTCTTTCCTAAAGTCTTTGTGCTTTCCCTGCCTACAGGTTTCTGTGGATGGTGGTTCTATCTGATGGTGGTTATATATTGTATGATGGTGGAGAGGGATCCTCGTCATTCTCACTAAGGTTTCTTCCTTTTCCCCATGGAAGGGTTTTTCTTTTTTTCCTGTTCCAATGTGAGGGTTTTCAGACAGGATGTCCCAAATGTTCAGACTGTAAAGCCCTCCGAGGCAAATTTGGGATTTGGGATTTTGGGCTATACAAAATAAAATAAAATGCAATGAAGTGAATTACATCGGCAAGACTCTTGACCCCAAATAGCTCCCTGCTGGTGTGAGAATAGTTAGTTAGATTCCTGGTGGTTCAGGTGGCGTGGTAAGTCCTGTCATCAGTGTGTGAATGGTGTGGGTGGGCGATCTTATCAGAAAACACTGCATAAACTTCCATTGTTATGCAGACGATACTCGACTGTATCTGTCGATTAAACCAGAAGAGACCAACCAGCTTGTTTGACTTCAAGAATGTCTTGAATGAAGTGCAACTTCCTCATGCTAAACTCAGAAAAAACTAAAGTTATCTTGATAGGCCCAGAGCGCCTTCAAAGTCAGCTGTCATGGATGGAATTGCTCTGGTAACACCGTCAAGAATCTTGGAGTTCTCTTCGACCAGGATATGTCCTTCAACTCTCATGAAGAAGACTATAAATAGGCCTGCCTTTTTTCATCTATGGAATATATCGAAAATCAGGAACTTCCTGTCTCAAAGTGATGCAGAAAAACTAGTTACTGCTCTTGTAAATCTCTTAAGCAACTCCAGTTGATTCAGAATGCTGCAGCACGTGTATTAACAAGAACTAAGAAAAGGGATATTACTTCGGTTTTAACTTCTCTGCACTGGCTCCCTGTTAAATTAAGAATAGATTTTAAGGTACTTCTAGAGCAGGTTCAGTGGAAGGCTGGGCCTTCCACTGAACCCAGTGGAAGGCCCAGCAGAATCCACTTCCCAGTGGAAGGCCCACAGAATCCAGAAATCACATGAAGCAGAAAACACAAGCTGTAAGTTCAGACATAAGTCAAATGACTCAATTCAGCTGAAAAGAGACAGATTGTTCCTTCTCCCTCAGAGGAGCAGGAAGATCTGACCAAGCTTCTTGGTGTAAGAGACGCTTTTGATACACATCAGAGATGTTTGTATTGCTCAATCAGAAAACACCACTTTACAAGGAATTTGACCAGAAACCAGACGCTGTAGGAATGTTCCCTTTGACGCTCTTCCCCTCAGTTTGACCGTTAGGTAATCATTGTATGAAAGACAGATGGAAGAAAATAAAACATCGTTCCATTTGTGAATCAGTTCGGTCCACAATACAGGTCATTAAGTTAAAAAGAGAGAAGACATGTTCTTTGAGTTATTGAGAGACTCATAGCGTGCATAAGATTAATCAATTTCCCCCCAACAGTTATTATGTATTATAATATTTATCAGTGCTTATTGCGTGTTACCAGAGGTGTTACCCGAACAACGTGTATTTTGTTATTGTTTATTGGACAGTTTGTGCCACATCTTTTAACAAGAATGCATTTCAAAATGCTTTACGTGCTAGAGTAAAGGATTTAAGAAAGTATATATAAACAAAAAATAAATAGAAAGGCAAAATACTGCGTTCAAAATAGTGATTGTGACAAGGTACTTTCATGTTATTGAAACTGAAGTTATAAACTACATGTCTTTCAACAATACGTTACATTTGACCAGAAACAAGACTTTTACATATGATGCGTATTTTTGTCAAATTCAGTCCGTACATTAAAGGGTTGAAGAGAAGTTTGGCAAGTGAGAAAAGTATAAAGACAAACAGATGCGCAACAAAATGGGTGCTCTGTTCATATCAAATCTGCCCTGTGCTATTTCAAAGAAACACCCAAAGGAGAAGTTGAGCAGAGAAGCCAGGTGAGGTGTACAGGTGCTAACAGCTTTCTCTCTGGTCTGTTTGGACCCAGATAAACAAACTCTCAGGATCCTCATGTAGGTGTAAAAAATCAGAATTGCAAGACCAAATAATACAATGAAAGTGTACATGAGTCCATAGATGTTGTTAACTGTCGTGTCAGAGCAGGCCAATTTCACAACAGAATAGTTGTCACAGAACAATCTGTCAATAATGTTCCCACACAACCGTAAAGACGCACTCAAAGATATCATGATTACATTACTTAGAAAAGGGAATACCCACGTTAGAACAAGAAGCATAATAACCTTGTTAAATGCCATGTAAGTGTTGTATTGTAAAGGATAACAGATGGCAAGATATCTGTCATAAGACATGACGGCTAAGTTATAAAACTGTACATTTGCATAAGTGTACAAACAGAAAATCTGCAGGTAACAAGATGAAAAAGAAACAGTGTGAGTGTCCGACAGGATCTGAACCAGAAGGAATGGAAACAAGCCTGTACTACCAAACAGCTCATTTACAAACAGGCTGCAGAGGAAAAGGTACATGGGTTCATGTAAGCTTCTGTTCATGCAGATAACCACAATGAGCAGCACATTGGTGCAAATAGTTACAACATAAAAACACATACTAATTATGAACAATAGGTATTTAAAGAGTCCAAGATCAAAGTAAGCACCAAATGTGAAATATGAAACCTGTGTGGAGTTTAACATCATCATTATCATCCTTTGTTTCACAACGTGACAATTCAAGTTTGCATAAGATAAACAACTAACAGTGTTTACATTTTACAGATTTAGTGAGATCAGACTAGTTTAGATCTGCTTTTAGGCTTTTTCCTGACTCAATCCATGAACACATTATTAAGCCTTTGAACAGCAAAGATGTCAACTTGCACAAACTCACATATGACAGATTCTCCAAATAAATCACTTGTTTATATTCATTGAGATGATTAGCTTATAAATGACAGAACAAGTGGTGACCATGTTTGAATGCTTATAATAACCTGCTATGTAGTCCTGACGGCTTTGGAATTGAGGCAAAGCTCTTTCTCTGCTTCTTTAAACTCTTCAGGTGAACTGATGTTGCATCATTACCACAAGACACTAACTGATGTCACCAACTATTACCATATTACAAAACAGAGAGGGTCCGTTAAACCAATCTTAATTATTTCTATCACATTACATACAGCTGTAGTCATCAACCTATATCTCCAACAGTCAATCAATACAAATATTGCTAATATGTTGATAACCGAGTAATCATCATTTGTCTGTATGTGAAATATGGGTAAATATTCACCATACTTTACTTAAGTTTTCCTCACTTCAGTTACTTATTACACTTTTATTTCACTTTCATTTATTATTACTCCTCATTCTCCTCTAGAGGGCGTCGCCTATGTGAAAGACCCCCAAGCCATCGTGCCGATGTTCGGTGACGGAGTGGGCCTTCTTGCCTTGTTTTCAGGGAAGGCCCAAAGTACGGTCCTCTTCCTCGTGGGGGTATTTCCAGGATGTACAAAAAAAGCTATCCTTGATAGAACTGGCTTCGCCTTCAAAGACACCGTCACCGGTTCCGGGCCGCAATGTGGCCCATCCCTTTGTATGCGCCCTGCAGCTGAGGGATGTGGCAAGGAAGGTGCCAAAACCAGGGGAGTCTGCTGGCGACCAAGAAGATTCTGGAGAAAGGTGTGGTCAAGCAGTTTGGGGGGGGCCGAGCAGGATCTCGGATTGGGTGCAACAGACCTGGAGCCGGCAATCACCTTAGAGTCCACCCCGAGGCCCGGCAGCAGAGGGGCAGACATCATCAACACTTCAGCAGAGAGTGTCCACTTATTGATGTCGGCAAGGTTGTCAGAGTTGCCGGCCCGCCAGCACCCTCCTCCAGTGTAGGGGGGACATACAGCGTTCTGGTAAGGATCCATCACCTGGCTATGCTGGATTCGGGCTGTACGCAGTCTATGATCCTCCAGAACCTGGTTCGGACTGGGGAGTTACTAGAGTATAAGTATGTGAAGAGTGTTTGTGTGCATGATAATGTTCACAGATATCCTGTTATTCGAGTGGAATAAAAATAAGGGCAAAATGCATTGAATTAGGGCTGCAGTTAACTCCCGCCTTGCACACCCACTTATTTTAGGCACAGATTGGCCCGAGTTTAGGTGTAGGTTTGTAGACTAATGTGTGGGTGTGCGATTGTGACCGAAAGGGGCAAGTGTTGTGTGCTGTAATCAGCGGTAATACGACATGGTCCGACCCTGCGGACTGCAAAAGGGGGAACCAATGGTGCAACAAAATAAACTCCATTGAAGATTTTTCAACAGGACAGTCTGTTGACTATCTTTCTTTGATAGTCCTTTGAGGAGTGTGGCTAATTGGGGATGATTCCAGGCTGCATGTGTTTTCCCGGTTAAGAGTTTGCAGAAGAAGTTTATGCCACTATGGTAGGTCTTTATAGTAGGCGTTTTGATCGCCATCTCAGAATGAGCAAAGGATACGATGCATGTCATTGACACCAGGTCGGATGACAGGAAGGTTACTTGGTAACCTACTCGGTTGTGGAAGCTCTTCCATGCTGTCCAGTAAGACGCAATGGAGTGCTTTGTGTCTGATAGGCTGTCGAGTATGGAGTTTTGTGAGCTGGCGGTTCCGCCACCCATTTGGCAATGGGTGGCGGTTGTGTGGATGGGCAGATCATAAAACCGTCTTTCACTTCCTTGGCGAGGAGCTGGTTGACTGATTCTGGTTCTTTCAAGGGGTGGACGGTTGAGTGGCGAGTGGAAACCTTTTTTAAGTCCATCAATGAGGAACTGCACAAGATGTACGCCAGCATCCCAGTGCCATGAGCCTTGCCTACGGTTTGCATTACGTTGCTGCCTTGTTGCGTTGCATTCTTGACAGCATTGGGTTGCCTTTTTGTGTGACGTTGTTACATTGTGTGAATATTGAACATCAGGGTTCCGTCCTGGGTCCCCTTCTCTTCTCGCTCTACACCAACTCTCTCGGCGCTGTCATTCGCTCGCATGGCTTCTCCTACCACAGCTATGCTGATGACACCCAACTAATTCTCTCCTTCCCTCACTCGGACACCCAGGTGGCGGCACGGATCTCTGTCTGTCTAACTGACATCTCTCAGTGGATGTCCGCCCACCATCTGAAAATCAACCCAGACAAGACTGAACTACTTCTCTTTCCAGGAAAAGACTCTCCGACCCAGGACCTGACGATCAACTTTAGCAACTCCGTGCTAATGCCCACTATAACCGCTAGGAACCTCGGCGTCAAGATCGACTGCCAACTCTCCCCGACTCCCAACATTACTGCGACAACACGATCCTGTAGATACTCGCTCTACAACATCAGGAGAATACGTCCTCTTCTCACTCAGAAGGCCGCCCAGGTACTGATTCAGGCTCTTGTCATCTCCCGCCTGGACTACTGCAACTCGCTCCTGGCAGGTGTCCCTGCTACCACCATTCCACCTCTGCAGCTCATCCAGAATGCAGCAGCTCCACTGGTCTTTAACCTTCCGAAATTCTCCCACACTCCTCCACTCTCTTCACTGGCTACCGTTGGCTCATCCAGTTCAAAACACTGGTGCTCACGTACCATGCTGTGAATGGATGGGGTCCAGCTTACATCCAGGACGTGGTGAAACCCGACATCCCAACCCACACTCTCCGCTCTGCATCTGCAAAACTGCTCGTCCCTCCCTCACTGAGAGCAAAACACTTGACTAGATCACGACTCTTTGCTGTCCTGCTCCTAAATGGTGGAAGGAGGTCTCTGAAGACACCAGGACCGCAGAGAGCCTTCACATCTTCCGCCGAAAACTAAAGACACACCTCTTCAGACTCTACCTCGACTAAAAGACTAACAAATTGTAGCACTTAAATTGTACTTGTAACGTCACTCATCTATAGCAAATTGTAAATTGGCTTATTTGAGGAAATTGCACTTTCTTGTTTCTTGTTCTTCTGAGTTTGTTGTTGTGAGTGTTGTTGTTGTTTGTAAGTCGCTTTGGATAAAAGCGTCAGCTAAATGACATGTAATGTAATGTAACATGGACGTTAGCTGTGACGAGGCATTCCGGTGCCGGTTGCTCCAACCTGTAGCCATGAATGGTGCGACTGGGAGGCGTAGAGCTGTGGCATCCCGGTGCCAGAGGTTACGCCGAGCAGTTAGGGAGGCTGGGAGAGGGTGGTTGGGTGAGCGGGCGTCTCGGTGCCATGAGCCTTGCTTACAGTTTGCGTTATGTTCCTGCCTTGATGCTTTAAATTCTTGAGAGCATTGGCGTGGCTGGGAGAGAGTGGTGGGGTGGGTCGGCATCCCGGTTGCTCCAACCTGTAGCCGTGAAGGGTGCGACTGGGAGGCGTAAAGCTACGGCTATGGCTTGTGTTACTGAGTTACGTTGCTGCAATATGCTGCGTTGTTACCTTGTTGCCAATGCGTTCCTTGTTAAGTAACGTTCTTGAGTTACATGTTAGGGTACATTGTCTGTGTTGCATTGTGTAAATACTAAAGATCAACTAGGAGGTGTGAAGGATTGGCATCCCGGTGCTGTGTGCACTGGCTAGAGCTAGCTACTGTGGTAGGAGGAATTTCAGGGCCCTGGCATCCTAGTGCCAGGTGCTCCTGCCAAGGCCTGCTGGAAAAGGTACTACTGTGCTTAGATTTAGGGTAATCACATAATGCTCGAGGAATATCGCTGCGAAGCCGGCATCGTGGATCCGGGTGGCTCCAACTAGCATAGGGGTGACTTGAAGGCGTGATTTCTATTTGGTGTTGCAATGCACTATGGGCAGTGCTGGGGGTAGTGTTGCCTCCATATTTAACTGAAACGAATGCAATGACGTTAAGTAATTTAAGAGTTTAACTTTTGTGTCCGATCTGTTGAAAGGGATTCGGTTTTCCATTAACGTTGGGGCTTTTTTGCGGGGCGCAGCGTGGTGATGGAGCTTCCGTGTCGTGAGCCTGGAATGGTTGGGGGAGGTTGACTTACTCGGCCGCTTCTCTGGCATCTGGATCACGGAGGCGCGGAGTAAAATACTGTCCCTTCAGACGATTTTGTGGAATCGTCTGAAGGGAAAACTGCAATGGCATCTCGGTGCCGAATGTTAGATGATGTAACGTAGGTAAGGTGTAAGTAACGTGCAGACGTTAGATCATGTGTTACCTGACCTCGGCCGTGTTTTAGAATGCGTACTCAAGAACGAGAAGAGTGGGTTGAGCAGTGTTTATGGAAATACCAGAAGGGCCGTGTTGGAGGTGTGGTCCTGCTCCAGAAATTACGCTAATTATCTTTAAGAGTGGAGACAAACCTTTTCTTTTCTCTACGGCTGTCAAAATGAACTAAATAATGTCACATTTCGAAATCCATTCATTGCGATTAAAAGTTTGTTTTTCTTCTAACAAAGACTAAATCTTATGAATTAACGAGTAATCACTTTAGAAACCGTGTACTTTAGACACTGTTGTTTAATTATATTTTAAGCATACACACATTTGCTCTCAACCCTCCATGATTTGACGGCTGTGTTTGTGCCAACAATCTCTTGAAATTTAGCCAGGACGTTTTCCCAATCACTGGTTTTGACAGGACACAGTGCTGGTGCCCTGCAGACTGTGTGACTTGAAGGGTGGATGTTGAAATGGAAGTAGCCAAGCAGCTAGCTTAGCCCACCAGTGCCTAAAGTGGGGCATTTGTCACTCATCCCCCTTCTGTTTGACACATGAGAATCCTCCGTACAATCTCCGCTGTATATCACGCCTCTGTTTTACTTCCTGAATGCTGCTAGTGGCAGTTTAGTTTCCACCGGAAGTAAACAAAGTTGCGTCAACTGCGTTAAAATATTTTATTGCATTAATGTCGGCCACATTAATCGGATAGATTAATGCGTTAATTCTGACAGCCATCTTGGCAAGATGGTGCCGCGGATGGCAGCCTCGGCACTGCGCTCTCCCTCTCTGATCAGCAAATCAGCAAGAAGGAACTCTTAAACTTCAGACATAACACTGGTCAAACTTTTCCTTTCCGCCTTACTTCACAACAGATCTGCAACAGGTGCTCAGCGCAGTTGCATCCCTTGATCGTTAATGAAGTCCCAATTGTCTTTTCAGTCTCTCAACACGTTCGTGCCCAAGGCTTCTTGACATTAGCTACAGTCTCCAATAATTCCCTTTGAAGCAAATTAGTCAGAGCTGTTAACCAGTGAGACCAATCAGTCCGAGCGGACCTCACTGTTTCCACGGATGCCAATAATGACATCAGCCTGCTCTGAGACAATCTCAGGAAGGACACACACATCGGAAAACATCAGTTCAACTATTCAGGAAAAGTTGGATATGTGTTTTAACATTCAGGCTCTTAAAATTTAGTTAGCGGTCAATGTTGGGCTGTATGACAACAGGGCAGGGTGGACGACGACAGGGCAGGGTGGAGGGTATGACCATTGGGACGTTCCTCACCATGACGATGGGACAAAGCTTATTGCAATAAAGTAAATGGGTGATGATGAGACAACAAAATGATGATGAAGTCATGAAAGGACTACTACGACAAAATGGCGCTTTGTTCAGTAATGCTCTCTAATAAACTGTGAGGCCTCCACAAAACATGTGTATTTATACTGAGATATTGTACACAGGTAGACCCAAATTTACTAATTATTGGAGTTGCAAATGTGACTTGTGAATTGTCACACCAGATCTTTGTGATGGGTTTTACAGTAAAGGGAGTGAATACATTTCAATACGGAGAGACTTGAAATTTGAACATTGCTTTATTAAAACATTTATTTATACTGCAAAGTTGTTTGAGGCTTGGACTCCATCCTGCAGTGGGATAGACCAGGGGCTATTATGCCGAGCTGAGAAGAGGCATATACCCCTAAACGAGATTTATTTTATGAAGGAATGAAATAAATACTTACGGCCACTGAGAGGTCCTAGCCGGACTTCCATCCGGAGCTTGTGTCACAACGGGGTAGCTTTGGTAGAGGGACAATAGACAATAGAAGCCAAGGTTAACAAGAAAAGGAAAGAGAAAGATCTCGTTGATCCATAGACAAGGACACGGCGAACAGGGACGCCGCAGGACATAGCGAGGGTCTAGCTGGACCACAGTAAGGCATGGTGGGATTTCAACAGATCCCGAAGTAAATGGGAGACTCTGCTAGACCAAAGGACAAGATAGGTTGGGGTCAAAGTTGACTGGGAACAAGGACAGGTTGTTGTTGTGTAAGCCCGAAGACAAGATAGGGGTGGTCAGGGCAGACCGCAGAAGAGGACAGTCAGGGTCAGGGGAGACCGTAGAATAAACATAGTTGTTGAGGGCCTCCTCACAGAACTACTTGACCGGGTTTGCTTAGACCTGGAAACAAATGTCACAATGGTGTCACTTCACTGGTCGTGTTAGTATTTATGACTCTTGCCTTTTAATAAACCTTAAACCTAAGGTGGATTATAACTCATTTGAAAGCCTGGTTCTCAGTATTTCGCAACCAACTTGGAAAATAATACAGCCGGTTCTCTTTTCACTTACTAGTGTACAGGTAGGTAGGTAGGTACCTTATTCAGAATTTCTCAGAATTTTCAGGAATCAGGAAACATTTATTGCCATAATATGTCAGACATACAAGGAATTTGACTTGGCGGTTGGTGCGTAACAGCAGACAGTACGACAATGGATGACATGACAACAGTACACGCAGATATCAGAGTTAAAAATATTTAAAAATTAAAAAATAAAGTGCACCAGCGAACAGAAAGTGATAAGTGAAAGTGACGTATGCAGTGAGAAAGAAAATGGCCGGTGCGATGTCAGTCAGTCAGTGGGGGACCTGCTCTGTTGATGAGCCCGACTGCAGACGGGAAGAAACTGTTGGTGTGGCGGGAGGTCTTAGTCCTGATGGACCTCAGCCTCCTGCCAGATGGAGGGGGCACAAACAGGTTTTGTCCGGGGTGAGAGGGGTCGGCTACCATCTTTTTTGTCCTGCAGGGACGGCAGATTGCAGCCGATCAGCCTCTCTGCAGAGCGGAGGACACGCTGCAGCCTGCCCTTGTCCTTGGCTGTGGCTGCAGCGTACCAGACGGTGATGGAGGAGCAGAGGATGGACTCCATGATGGCCGTGTAGAAGTGGACCATCATCGTCTTTGGCAGGTTGAATTTCTTCAGCTGCTTCAAACTTTAACAAGTTTGGTCCTTAAAACGGACAAGGTAATTATCGCGGGGGATTCATGTGGATGTCGATAACGACAGCCTTGGTACTTGATTTCTTTTATTGTTACATTACATTACATGTCATTTAGCTGAAGCTTTTATCCAAAGCGACTTACAATAAGTGCATTTCAACCAATAAGCAAATTGTAAATCGGCTTATTTTATGAAATTGCACTTTCTTGTTTCTTGCTCTTCTGAGTTTGTGTCCTTATGGTTGAATGTACTTATTGTAAGTCGCTTTGGATAAAAGCGTCAGCTAAATGACATGTGATGTAATGTTCTAGTCTCTGCAACAGGATACAATGATCAACGGATATCTCAAGGGTCTTTTGAGAAGAGGTTTAATTACAGCTACCATGAAGGACTGTGGTACATGTCCTGTCAACAAAGACAGATTCATAATACCCTAAAAAGACGTGCTAACGAAGGAAAAAATTCTGCAAGCAGCCTATTCGGAATCAGATCCAGGGAGAGGTAGACACAGTGCCTTATAAACCAACAGCAGGATTTTGAAGACAATTATTTTTTTGAATAGAAGCCAGTGTAAAGACCTAAGAACTGGACATATACTGGATATGTATATAAACATATATACATATCCAGTATACAGTAATCCCTCGTTTATCGCGGGGGTTACGTTCCGAAAATGACCCGCGATAAGTGAAATCCGCGAAATAGAAAACTTTTTTTTTTTTTACAATTAGCAACTATTACATGTATACAAATACAGTGACTCGCGTGTAGGCCGTTTCACTGCTCTTCAGACTGGGCCGCTGCATCCTGACTGCGCTCTGCAGTGTTCTCTTCTTCTGAAGCCCGCGGTGCAGGTGTGTTTGTTCGGGAGAAGAACATAGTGATAGGCAGCTGTTGTCGCTCTTTTTTCTTCTTTGCAAAAAGATCCTTGTACACCGACATGCCACCATCGATTACGTTGGAGAACTGTAATGAACGGCTCATCAAAGGGTCCCATTCCATACAAAATGATAGCACAATTCGTAGCATGTTTTGATACAAGAAGCGGGAGTGAGTTTTTAGCGAATCAGAATGCAGAGCACAATGCACCAAAAAAAAAAAAAATGCATTATGAAAATCCGCGAAATAGCGAATCCGCGATAAGTGAACCGCGAAGTGGCGAGGGATCACTGTATATATATATATACTCACACACATGTGTAGATGATCTCTTCTAACCACTGAGATACACACCCTTCTCTTTATCTCTCTTGTCACTGTAGTTTTTAGATGAAGCTCTCACAGTTTGCTGGATTCAATTCAATTAATTTTATTTTGTATAGCCCAAAATCGCAAATTACAATTTGACCTCAGAGGGCTTTACAGTTTGTATACATACGACATCCTCTGTCCCACCATCGGCACAGGAAAACCTCCCCAAAAAATTAAAAAAAACCTTCCAAGAGGGAAAAAAGGGAAGAAACCTTAGGGAGAACGTCAGAGGAGGATCCCTCTCCCGGGATGGACAGACTACAATGATGTCATGTGTACAGAATGAACTGGATGGTGGATGGATGGTGATCTGTTGTCACACGACAGCGTGTCGAAGTGGTACAGGGGTATAGAGGGTGCGCCGGGAACTGCAAGGTTGGCGGTTCGAGCCCTGGCTGCTCCATATCCCATGTCGAAGTGTCCCTGAGCAAGACACAAAACCCCTAATTGCTCCCTGGGCAAAAATGTAAAAGAAAAAGCCATGGTTTAGAGATGCAACGTAAGTCGCTTTGGATAAAAGCATCAGCTAAATGACCTGTAATGTAATGTAATGACATGAAGTAGGTGGGACTGATAGGCCTTTTCTCTACATGAAGAGGTATAAACAGCAGATATCAGAGCAGACTGACATATTTACTCCCCTAAATATCATCTTACAAATATTTATCTGTCTGTTGTATAAATGTTTTTAGGAACTCCAATTTAAATGTATTTATTCCTCCATTGAGGTAAACTTGTTATTATTGTTGCTCTTGTCTTTGTTTGATTATTTTTAATTTGAGAAATATGTCTTCTATTTCCTACTGGTTTGAAAAATGAGAAGCGGACGTTGTTACAATTGTTTGTTATCTTAGTAGAACGATGGCAAATTCAACTTTAAATTATTTCATTCTTGGAACTTACATCCAGGTAGGGACTTTGAGATATTTGTATTTCATGTTTACTTTAATGTTATACATTGTTATAGTTATCCTCAACATTTGTGTCATTGTGGTTATCTGCATGAACAGAAGCTTACATGAACCCATGTACCTTTTCCTCTGCAGCCTGTTTGTAAATGAGCTGTTTGGTAGTACAGGCTTGTTTCCATTCCTTCTGGTTCAGATCCTCTCGGACATTCACACGGTTTCTGCTCCGCTTTGCTTCCTGCAGATTTTCTGTTTGTACTCTTATGCAAATATAGAGTTTTCTAACTTGGCCGTCATGTCCTATGACAGATATCTTGCCATTTGTTGTCCTTTACAATACAACACATATATGACATTTAACAAGGTAGTTACCTTTATCGCAGTAATATGGTTTTATTCTTTTGTGAAGTTCTTAATTACTTTATCTTTGAACATCCGTTTGAATTTTTGTGGAAACATCATTAACAGTTTGTATTGTCATAACTACCTTGTTGTTAAGTTGGCGTGTTCTGACACTCAAGTGAATAACATATATGGACTTTTTGGTGTTGTTCTCACCATCTTAGTCCCTCTGGTTCCAATCCTTTTCTCCTACATGAGGATCCTGAAGGTTTGTTTCTCTGGTTCTAAACAGACCAGACAGAAAGCCGTCAGTACCTGCTCACCTCACCTCGCTTCTCTGCTCAACTTCTCCTTTGGCTGCTGCTTTGAAATCATTCAGAGTAGGTTTGATATGAGCGGTGTACCCGGAGTGCTGCGTATCATCCTCTCACTGTATTTTCTCATCATACAGCCTCTTTTGAATCCCATCATGTTTGGATTGCAAATGTCAAAGATACGGAATAAATGTAAACATGTTCTATGTCATCAAAGGTTGACTTGTTGCAGAGATACTGTATAGAAAAAATGAGAACATTTTCAGTAAACATTTATCTTTTTCTAAAGTGTTGTAGCTGGTTTTTTCTACTCTCATATTGTATTATATTAACTAAAATAATTCCATGGAAGAATTTTTAAAGCATAGAAAACGTTGTGTGAGCTTAAAGACGACTCAGTTGGAAGAGGGGTTGATTGTGTTTCTAATATTGTTGTATACTGATAACACAAATGAGTCCAGTGACTGATTCAGACACCAGAAAAGAAGCTCTGGAAGAACTCAACATGTTTCCTCTGTGCCCTAGAGATGATGTGGCTTATGGGTCATACATCTCGTTCCTGACGGTCCTTCTCGTTTGTCGTGAATCTTGGTTAAAGGGCTCGTTCGATACTCAGAAATGCCTCAGATAAGACCCAAAATGCTGGATCAGACTTGAGTGTGCACGTGAGCCTTCTCCCCGTCAGTACTCTTCATTTTGCCAGTTGGTTTGAGGCTTTTACAGACTCACCGTGCACTCATTACATACTAATTTCTACAACAATAACAGACGCATTTGTCTGTCTTGAAAATCAAGCCATCTGATCATTAAATATGTGCTTAACTTAAGAAAGAAAATTGAATCTCAAGTCGATATTGAAATATTTACAGCACAAAAGTTCAATCATTGGTGAATTTGTAGGTATATTAAATGATAAATTTATATATTTGTTGTGCAGTACTTTTCAAATGAATTGAAAACAGGAATGAAACAAATATATGTATTAAATATATACGTGTGTGTAGATCTACACTGTGCTGTGAAAAAGCCTTTTTTTGCATATTTGTCACACCTAAATGTTTCAGATCAATTCAGTTTTAATATTAGACAATGATGACTGGAGTAAATACAAACACATTTTTAAATGATGATTTCATTTATTACGGGAAAACAATATCCAAACCTTCTTGGCCCAATGTGAAAAAGTAATTTCCCCCAAAATCTAAACCTGGCTGTGCATCCCTTGGCGGCAATAACTGCCAGCAAAGCCGGCCACGAGCCTTCCACATTGCTGTGGAGGAACTTCTGCCCATTCTTCTCTGCAGATTTTCTAAATTAAGCCACATTGGAGGTTTGAGCATAAACAGCGTGTGACAACATCTGAATCAGATTTAAGTCCAGACTTTGGCTTGGCCACTCAAATAACCTTCATCTAGCTTCTTCTGAGCCATTCAGAGGAGGACCTGCTGGTGGGTTTTGTCCTGCTGCAGAAGCCAAGTGCTGTTGAGCTTGAGGTCACAAACTCATGGCCAGACATTTTCCTTCAGAATTTTCTGTTGAAGAGTAGAATTCATCAAAATGGTCCACCAGGTGAAGGAGAGAGGGGACTTGGACTCTATTTAGAAGAATCCAACAAGGGGTGTTGGATACTTGGCTAAAGATAGCCAGACTGCTTTTATACCGAAATGTGAGAAGCACAGCGAAACACCAGTTAAGATTCCCACTTGATACCACTGAGATTGATGTTTTGGGCTTATTTTGAATGTGTCTACGATCTCCGTTTTGGAGTTTAGACACTACTGCTGGTTCTTATATTGCGGACTGGAGATCTCTAGACCCGTGAGAGGACGCTGAAAGTGAGACGACCCCTACCCGGAACCCTTGTGAGAGGCAGCATGCAGACAATCAACAAATACAGAATCAGGATGAGAAGACAGTTCTAATGGAAGTGCTGAGACATTGTCGGTGTTGAATGATGGACTGTCAGTAATTCCTAGACCCTAGATGCTTCTGTTGGAACTGGACCGTGCAAGGGAATGCCGATTTCGGCTGCATATTCTGGCAGCGGCTTGCGGCCGCAGCTAACGTCTATTTTCCCCCGAGGGACCGAGATCATGGTAGTGGTTAGTGCGGTCAAACGGTTCCGTAGGGCAGAGAGGTGCTGAGTGGCCCAGGACGCCACAGGTTTAGGCAAGTCACTGGCTGCGAGCCGCCCAAAATTATAACTAGCAGTTCTTTCTCCGAGACCTACCAGTTCCGTCAGATGTTGGATTGGGCTATGTATACTGCTTCTTCGGTAGATTAATTAACGTTAGCAGGCCAAAGGTGATATTGAGTACAGCATTTTGATTTTTAAAGCCCCGGTAGTACTCGGGCGCACTTGAGGTTTCTTTAAACCATTCTACAACTCGTCTGCTTTCTACATAATGGATGTCAAGACTCCCTTGTATGTGGGGTCCAGCACTAGACTTCGATTGGGTAATTTAGACATGGGGATTGGTCCGTTTCTGACCGTGGTATTTATTTTACCGGCGGTAAGGGATGTGTGGTCGGGTATCAGAATGCGTCCTGTTTTGTAATAGTAATGCATGACGTTGCCCCAGTGTGTGGTGAGTTACCTTTGCTTTCCACGCCACCACCCTTAGATTGGCTATTAAGGTGATGATGGTGAGTAGGGCGATGACCAATATTACTTTGGTGAGTTTATACGATACCCGCTTGATGAGTTTGGTGAGTCTTTTCCTGCAGGTGCGTGGTGAGGTCTTTCCTTGTAGGTTGAGTTTTTTAACCTTTTTTCGGGTTTGGTCCATCGCCGTCCGTGTTCGGTATGTTTGGCATCTTTGGGCATGATCTATTGTGGGGACAGTCTTTCAGAGGCGTTATTTTTCCTGAGGGGCCGCCGAAGGCCCTGCCACGGGCTTTTCTTCAACGACCCTTGGCATTGGTAGAGTTTTATAGGGCGTGTTGCTATCGTGGTGAACATAACATGTGAACCCATGGTAGTTCATGTTTGCCTTTTCCAGTGTCTTGTGGGAGCTGCTTAGGACGGAGTTTTTGTCTGTTTTAACAAATTTCGCAATGATGTAGCTGACGGTAATGGGTTTACCGCTTTTTCCGTCTTCTGTGGGTTCCCCTTCTAGTTGGAACTTGCCTGATGTCTTATACCCAGCTAGAGGTTCTTTTGGCCAGGTACCGGATGTAACCCAGTCTCTCTGTTTTGGACTGGTTTTAACTGTTATTAGGTCATTCTTGGTGACTGTGGGTGAGTGGGGAGCACGGTCGTCATCCAATCAGAGGGTTGGGGGTTCGATCCCAGGCTCTGCTAGCCCGCATGTCGTTGTGTCCTTGGGCAAGACACTTAACCCAACATTGCTCCTGTAGCTGCGACTACAGTGTGTGAATGTTAGTTACTGATGGGCAGGTGTCACTGTGTGTGATTCTCCTGTCATCAGTGTATGAATGGGTGTGAATGGGTGAATGACGTCATGTAGTGTTAAAGCGCTTTGAGTGGTCGGAAGACTAGAAAAGCGCTATACAAGTACAGTCCACAGTCCATTCCATGATGGCAACGCCGAGCTTCCCCCTCTTTGGACCCGAAGGGGGGCCTTCCTATCTTGTATACTATTTGGGGATATTGTTCTCGCACCATGTGGCTGCACTCTATGGGTTGCATGGTGAAGGACTTTCGTGTCGACATACGGGACACCTGCTGGTTAGACAGTACGATTCCTGCTTGACAGGGGCCACCCCATAGTGGGTATTCTTACAACAGTGGCCCATAGTTGGGTGATCGTATCTGGCTACAATGTACTTAACATTATGGTTCATCCAGCACTTCTGACAAAGAGTCACTTTGTAGCAACCTTCTAGCTCCACCCCATTATCGTCTTCAGGTGGTGGGGCCTCCGGTGCTTTGAAGTCTTGTGGCCGATCATTTCTTAACCCTTCCCACAGTAAGTCGAATACGGGGGCGTCGCATAATACGCATTCCCCCGGGTTACCTACTGCTGTGGCTGGATGG